CAGGATTCTTAGTGTGCATACGACAAACGTTTTACTGAAACCAGCGGTCCTTTAGCGAGATGACAGGATGGAGACAAATGATCTTTTTGTCATGAGGTGCAGTGGGTCTTCCCCAAAGTGTGTGTGTGTGTGTGTGTGTGCTGTGGATTTGACAGCTTTTTCAAGGGCATTGCTGGTAGGCGAGGGTCCCTGTCTCACACTGGGACTGAGGTCAAGTGTAATCCGGTCAGGTTCACGTCAACATGCCTGTCGTGCACATAAGCAGACAAACATGTCCGAATGACATGGTGCATTTATTTCTGCTGCGGCGCTTGTTGGGGAGGAGCAGGACTATCTGTGTGTCTCTGGCCAATAATCCAACCCACGCATGCCTCTTTGACCCTTTCAATAAGAGCTTCTTCCATCCCACCCTACATGCCCCCCTGCGCACACACAGGCATGAATCTGCGTGTTGACACTAAACAGAGTGTGTGGCTGTGTTAGTTCTGATAGAGTGTAAACGCGCTCAGTAACACCTCGCTGATAGCAGGAACAGAGAGAGACCTGTAATCCCATTTTTACATAATGCGGAGCGGATCATTGTTGCCAGGCAGTGGCGTAGCTGTGATTGGCTTTACTTTGCAGGATGAACTTTGTCTGCATTCCTTTATCCGTCTAATGGCAGTAGAAGACGAGCCATCACACCGTCTCTAAAGGTTCTGACAACGAGGCCAACAAATAAAGCAAACTGAGGGTTCAAATTCTGCTTGAAACGAGTACGAACTGCAAAACATCTGGCAAGCACATCCCATTACAGCCCTTGTACCATAAATAAATGAACACTGTGCCACTTAAACACTGAAGGTAACCTGCATCTGAAACAAGAGTCTGCATTTGTTAATTCTGTATATTTTTATAAGACCAGCTCTCTTATGAGAATAAACACTGCCATCTAGTGTCCTTGTGGTTGATGCCTGCAGATCAGGAGCTCAGGATGAAACACCTAGAGAACTGTGTTCACACTGCTAATTGCATCCACTGCACTCTCATTGTGGCCATCTGTGTTTGCTGATCTGGTCCACAGCCAGACAAACACATGCACGCGGCTTACGCAGGGAGCCAGCAGCAGTCCATCTCCTAGCAAACAACATGGAACATCTACAGCACACTGTAGTGTGCACTCACTACCTGTGGAACTATATGTTCACGCAAGTTCTAGACGGTTCTTATTTGACGGTGTCATTCTCAATACACACACTTATAATACAGCTAATTCATTTTCTGTCATTTTGTGCATTCAGTGTCTCGGTGCGTTCACATCAACCACGATGTGATTGTTACGCAGCACAGGATTGCACGTGAGCTGGGCTAGAACGGTGCAGTGGAGAACCAAGGATCCTTGGAGAAGGAAGGCAGGAGCCAGACTCGTAAGGAGGGAGGACTCCCTTCAGCCCAAAGTAAAGGGGACAGTTTCTTTGTGTTTTGAAGCTGCAAAATGACTGAATGCATTTATTCCGTTGAAACCTTGTATTTTGCTTTGGAATCTGTCGGTGACGTTACGTTCGCACTGCCCCACTCTAGCTGGCCATATTCTACACAGTATGAACAAATGGCTCAATTCCTGCTTGTTCCTTAAAAACATTGCCAAAAGGTGATGGAAGCAGAAATGAAGCATGCTGATGAAGGAGCATGAAACGGGCTGATGGGATGGAAGAGGTTGTATTTGGGAAGCTGATGGGTTTGGTTGACGGTTTAAATGATGATCTGGGAAATCAGGGCTGGGGGAAACCAAAAAGCTCCCTGGAAAATCACCCTTTGTGAGCACAGAGCGCAGACATTTTTAAATTTTGAGGCGGATCAACCACATGCAACATCCCATGGTTTGATATGGAGCTCTGATAAGACTGACAGTGGTAGGAAATGGCTCTTATTTGTTGAATTTTTAGAACTCATTGCTCTATTTCTCCTTCTTTTCAGATCCCTCATCATTGAGCTAACTTGGCTTTCAAGATGTCTGTAACGAGAGCAACGCCCGAGATATTATTGATCTATGGCCTCAATTACCTCCCAACTCTCAATTATTAAATACAGTTCCAGCTCCTTAACTTACAAGTTGTTCAAAAGGAAGAGAAGAAGGTTTAACGAGCGCCTCTTCCTCGTTTATGATTGGTTCTGCAATACTACGAAATATCTATGCTCCTTGATTTGTAAAGCAAGCGTTCTGTAAGTGAGCTCGTGCTGCCGAGGTGGGAAGTCTCTGCAGCCACTATCTTTAGAAGCAAATATGCTTTTGAAGATTTGTGCCAGTGCATAGCCAGTAATCATGTGGACGTACGTAGCTATGTGCATGTAAACATATTTACATGCACATGAATTCATAAATGTTATGTCTTATGCAGATGTATTCAAGTGTGTTTATTTTCACATCTGTATAACTTGTAAATTCACCACAAACAAATTGTCTTTATTTCTTTGTTTTTAAATTGCAAAAAGGGAAATAGTAATTATAAAAAAGGCAAACTGACACTCTTGCCTGAGGAACAGTTTTACCTCATCTATGTGACAGACTGCGTCACATTATGATGTGTGGTTATAAAAAGAAGGAAACACGGGCAGGCGAGATGTTGAGCACCAGCCAAATGTCCTACAGCAGAAAGAGGGCACAATAATGAAACGGTATATTTCATCATCAGAATAATCAACCCCATATTTGACTATTGGAAATGTTGCATGTTAGAGACTAACTGAACGGTGTGTCAGTCAATCAAAATGTCCAGAGTGGAGGGAGAGCTCCTCTCCACCGAGCTTTCATCGGATGAGTGAAGAAAAAGGTTTTCTCCTAAGCGTAGTTTCTGAACTTCATCTGGCCTGCTTGTATCTCTTTGAGCTGCCCTGCGCTTAACTTGTAGTTTAACAGCTACTTATCAGATGTGTTGTGTTTCCTTCTCTGCATCCTCACAAATAATCCAATACATTTTATTTTGAATACCCCAAAACTAACTCAAAGTCAAAGTCTATACACATGCAACATTCTCTGTCCCGAAACCACACGAAACACTCTGAAGTCACTGAATTATCTGGTAATTCAGAGTAATTATTCCAAAGCAAAGATGCATCTCAGGCATCATGAAATAACCTGCTGATATGCACAGCCGTGTATTAACGCCGTTAGAACTTGGACCTGTGGGCACACTGCAGGTTGGTAGCTGAACTTCAATGGCCATGTGTGACATTTCCACACTGCATGAATGGCTTGAGGTGGAGGGGTTGTGTGTTTAATAAGCATAAGCAGCATGCAAAAACCCTGTACAGGAGAGATATTTAGATCCTCTGCTGTACATGGGTACTGCTGCTGAAGCAATGCGGCGCTTTAGACCGAGTACTGGAAGGATGACTGGCGCCCTCTAGCAGGCAAACACATGTGCACAGATACCGTGTGCGCCTCCATGTTGTTGGAATTAGTCACCACAACAACACTCAGAAGGCCTTAACGCTGCCCTTCTGTTAGAGGAAAGACTGGCGAAAACGAGGAGTGAGTCACGTAACGGTCAACGGGTCAGTTCTGATACCTTTCTTCCATCTGTTGGTTTCTCCCATTTCTCCAACGTTCTTCTGCATTATATGATGTCATCAGTTCCCTGTCCAATGTGTTTCATTTCAGCTTTTACTTTGCACTTAACTTCAGCAATACAATAATGTACAGCTTGTCATAGGCCTTTTCTACATAAAGAAATACTAGAAATACTCTTTTCTGATTTCATTTTCTAGTCCTGGATCAATGGTGCTTCTGCCCTTTTCCACTTTGATATTTTAGTATTTCTTTTTATTCTGAATAGTATGTCCTCATTTTTCCATTATTGTGCCCACATGTGATGTCAGAACTCGATAACAGACAGACTCCCAGACAGACATGGACCTTTGTTTGGTTTGCATAAAGGAACAACCGCGGATTCTTTCCACTTGTTGTACAACGCTAACAAAATGTCTTTTATTGGACATACAAGGAAATTGTCATGCTGGGTGGTGCATACATGGAACAAAAGAGAATAATGTACAATTAAATTAACAATAGAATTTAAAACAAAATAAGATATAAAATACAAAATAAAAAAGGAGGTGCAAAGAGCAAGCTTAGCAGGAATGAGGGAACCAGGCGCATCAACATCACTCAATCGATACGTATAAACTAACGTCTGATCGTTTAACTCGGTTTATCCAACAGAATCCAGCCTCCCGCGTGTTCTGAGGGTGTGTTACTGACAGGTCCAGGTCTGCGAGGGTGAGCGGCTCATCCAGTTAGACTATATTTCAAAAGGTTTTTGTTTTGTAATCCATTCGCTTTTCAAATCTAAGCTCCTTTTTCCTTCCTACTTATTATTTTATTATTCATACTTCTTTTGATTTCTCATTGCATTGTTACATTCCAGTGTCCACCATGGTACAAAGTTCTTTTTTTAAATTTCCATTTGATTTCTTTCTGAATGAAGTCTGTCAATTTGATGATTTCTGTTGACTTCTTTTAATCTGTTTTCAGTTACTGCCCTATATTTACCCCAGTGTCCACCCTCCCCGTCCCGTTACATGTCTACATATTGGATAGTGATCACTTCCTGTAGTCCGCCGCTTATCTACTGTTCAATCAACTCTGCCGGCTAATTCCTGTGATACCAGTGTCAGATCCATCAATCGGGTCTGTGGCCCTCACCGGATCCTAATGCCAGACCTGTTATTTATACACTAAGTATTTCCTTTTTGAACCAGCTGTCAATTAAACTCTTACGGAAAACGTGTTTTCCCTCTAAAACGCCTTCAGTGTACTTTGCTCTTCTGTAGAGAAATAGGGTCCAGTTCTGTTCGCTGCCCTCTTGTACTTTATGTTCCTGACGGCGACTGAAGCATCGTTTGTACCGCGAGGACATCGATGTGGAACCTTTTCACAGGTAACTCGTCCAGCTCCCAAAGATGAGTCCAATTAAACCAGCGGGACGGTAAATACCGGTAAATACCGGTACCGGTATTTGCTTGTCGATGCGTCGGCACGCGGGTTCGTCCCATTCGCGTCGGGCGCGTTGATCTGAGATCGCCCACCTGAGCGGTGACGTAGCTGAAGGGTGGAGTCTGCTGACAGGTGAACACCTCGCGCGCAGGTTTGGGGAATGTGCACGCTGGAGGAAGTCGCGCGTCTCCGCTATGGCCCGCGGGTGCGTGGGGAAGTGCGCGCCGTTATTCACGCTTGCCCTCATTTTTGACGCGGTCGGTCTGGTGGTTCTTCTGGTCGGGATCTTCGGCGACCTGAACTTAGGAGGCCGCTTCTACGGAGATTTCCTCATCTACACGGGCTCGCTCGTCATTTCCCTCAGCTTGGTGTGGTGGGTTCTGTGGCACACGGGCAACGTGCGGCCGCGCGCGGGGGACCGGTCGGGCTCCCCGGGCATCAGCTTTACGCAGTGGGCCAGGAAGCTGTCCGAGAGTCTCTCCAAAGGCGGCATGAGGCCGCTGGAAGCCCGGGAGGAGAAGAAGCCCGGGAGCCCGGGCACCGGGAAGGAGTGGGTCACGCGGGGAGCCGTGACGGGTCGCGACAACGGAGGGTTTGATGCAAGCGGCGAAGGGAGAGGACCTGCGGACAGAGACCTGGAGCTGGGGGCGTTGAACGTTTGCAAAGCAGAGAGGCTGCTCTGAGATGGTGCGTATCACTCGGTCTCCTGATGCTTTAACCCGTGACAGGCTCCAAACGTTACAGCAAGCCTCTTGAGGTGGTTTGGACCCGTGGAACCAGCAGACAAACCATAAATATTCTGTCAGTTTGCTGCAGTTTTTGTCTGTTTCATTATTGCTGCTGGCATGCAGCGTTCACTGACAACCTTCTGTCATCTCCAACGGTTTTGCTGGTCGTCAGATGTCCGCCTCTCACAAACATTCCTCCCTCACTGCTCATTAATACGTCTCTGATCCCTGCTGTGAAAAGAGGAGGCCTGTGGGGCCTTTTAATTAATGAGCCCGACCCGTTCTGCTCACCTTCACAGTTCTGCATTACTGTAGCCATCGGTTTGCATTTAACCAGCAATGGCAGGTAAAGGTGCAATTGCATTTTAATGGAACTCAGCAGTGCGTGTTGTGGCTGCAGGGATCAAGTATGTCTCCTGTATTCACGTTCCTCCCTTCCACTCGTTCTTGATAGTTAACTTTAATGTGTTAATCTGATTACCATATGGGTTAAACCAGTTATTCTAAGGTATGGGAGTGTGTTAAATGACATGGTCAAGAACAATGAAAGCATATTTGACCATGAGGCCGATTCTATGACTTAACTGTTAAATGTGAAAGAGCAGGGCAGGGTTACAATGGAGGCCACTCATTCAAGCCACATGTTGTTTCTCATCGTCCTGAAGTAGACACTGTGCAATCAAACATGTCAAATGCTGTCTCTAAATGATATGTCTTTACATTCAACCCATCTCAGGGCAAAATATTCATTAAGATGAAGCAACGACAAAAGCATGTATCCAACATAAAAACCTAAATTTACAAAGTTCAGCTATGAAATAAATTAAAGAGTCTTTGCTGTGTCCGGAGTTCCATGCATTCCATAAAATAAACCTTATAGGCAATGATGTTTGGCAGGTAAAAATTAACATAATTTGGCCACAAATTACAAATAAAATGTGTGGTTGTTAATTAGATGGCGTCTTCAGAAACAAACACACTATGTTCTTTTATTAATAATTAATATAAGTATTTTCTGAGGGCGAGTTCTGCACATCGACATTTTTTTCGTATCCATTATTATTTTCAGATGTATAAAATGACTTGATTGACACGTATCTAGTTGGGACGAAAAAAAATATTTTTCATCAAGTGGGGCTGAAATAAGGAAACCGAATCTCTCATTTCTAAATCCTGGCTTCGATCCTGACTAAGTGCCTGTGATAAGAGTTTTATTGCCGGGCATTCCCAACGAACACGGGCCTCCACCCAAAGACAACATTGCTATTGTAGCAGCCAGCCGCCTCGGCACAACGTGACAATCATTTAGACCTGAGAGTGGACAAATCGCATGGAGAGATAAGGTGGCAGTCTAAGTGATGATTGGCTTATCTGCATGCATTCATGTTTCTGTGTATTGTCAACGTGAAACTAGTAATGATAACGGGATTGTATCGATGTTTCACAGCAGTGGTCAGCTTAACCCTGTAGCCAAATGAACATTTAGACTTCGAAGTCCCTTTCAAAGAGTTAAATAACACACGTATTATGTCTGTTCATTGGATATTCATTTACGGAGGCAGAAGACTGCAAGCAGGATGAAACCGATCAGCCAATGCCAGTAAAGATGCAGCGTGATCGATCTGCTAAAACATTCTAAAAAAAAGCAAAGTGTTTATGTATCGTGTTGGGGGGATACGTATGGACTGAAGCTACAGCCTGGTCCATCCCGTCCAGAATGTGGACAGTCTGACTGAAGTACTGTCCAGATGTGGCAGACACATGAGCCGTCATAGTTGGTGTGATTAGTTTCAAAGGGACAGAAGAGAAAAAGACTGTGGCATCATCCTGCTTCTCTGGGAGTACAGCACTCAGCCGACCACCGACCAGCCGACCTGATGAACTTAATCACGTTGATATTGTTAATATCATTTGCTAATTGCAGCCTGTACTATTATACTAAACCCTTTTTCTTTTTACAGGTGATGTCCAGCTGATGATGTTTTCCAAAGACTCCAGCAGATCGAAAACCTGGATCTATGAACTAAGGTCACTTTTTTGTTTTTATTTTTATCAGAAGACACTTTTTTTAATCAGGGAAAAGCCTGCGTCCCCAGCAAGGGAGAAGGGCCGTGCACGGAGGAAGAAAAAGGCCTTTTACAGAATTCCTATTTTGATGCGCTCATTTTGTGACGTATGTAAATATTTTTTCATGGGAATAAAGTTTACGTGAAAGCTGATGTCATTGTTGTCCGAGGGTGTTTGTGCGTGCATGTGACTGAGGAGGCTTTGGTGAAAGCAGCACAGTCACGCCAATACACATTGCGCAAGATATCGGTTTCCTTCTCTTCCTACCTTTTCATTGTTTGAATACGCCACAAAGGAAGCTGTTTTTCTCTCATTGGGGCTTTTTGAAATAAATCAACGAGCACCAGCTGCACTTGTTCTCTCTTTTGTTCCATCAAGCTTTTTCCAATCCACCGCGGTGAGACATCAGATCTGGATCAGTGGATCCTTGAACGTAACCTAATCATGAAAGGAAGCCAGGTCCAACAACGGTGTCCTCCTCTCCTACTTACCGGCAGCCCAGAAAAGATCATTTTCTCCCCCAATTAATTTCACTCCCAACATGTTTCAAAACTGCTGATGCTCTGAAGTTTTGCAGAAACTCAGCAGTGTCAGTTACTGCTATCACAGATTATCTGGACTCACTTGGCCTCGTCCTTCTTCATTTCATTACATGGCATTTAGCGGACGCTTTTATCCACAGCGACTTACAATAAGTGCATTTCAACCATAAGAATACACACGCAGAAGAACAAAGTGCATTCCGTGGTTTGTCTCGGCTGCAGAGGAGTGAGAGGAGTGGCTCAGGAAACCGTGCCAGGAAATGATATTTGTGTGTCTCCCTGTATTTGATGCAGTAGGGGCGATCCGGCGAGAGGACGCCAGGAGCCCACAGAGCATTCCCACCGAACGATATAAAAGTATTCTAACAACCCTGCCGTGGTCATCCTTCATTCCGGACCTCCCAAGGACCCAGCTTGTTGCATTGCTAAAGATAAGAGCCAAGTACAAATGTAAGTGCTACAGTTAGTTAGTGTGTTAGTGGAGGTAGAGTGTGAAGATGTGAAGGCTCTCTGTGGTCCTGTACACGTCCTCTACAGCGAGACACTTTCTGGCAACCAATGCTGGTCGAAGTAAACCGAGCGTACAGCGGATGTAGTCTTGGTAGAGATCTACAGATCTCCACTTACACAATCACGCTTGTTGAGTGAAGGATTTCCTTTGTAGCTTTATTCTCAACGGGTGTTTCATCCAGCTAGTGGATGTTTGTGGACGCTTCAAATGCATAAAGGATTATCATGGACACAGCGGGACACGGTTTCAAAGCAGGGTGCACATTTGTAAAATGATATGAACAGAAAGATGAGGAAAGACATCTAAAACACTCCTTTATGACAACCTTCATTCATTCACTTTAACAAATGAATGTTAAATATCAATACACAGGTCATGTTCTAAACTACAGTGAACGGCTGTTGTCTTGGTGATTGTTTTGCATCTCTATGTAGTTGTTTGGCTACTCTTTGTTTTCACTTTGTAGTCAAATGTCCATATTTCGGGTCCTCGCTACGACTATTTGTAGATGAATCTATTGTATTTCAAGGAATTATTAGTATTCTCTCTAAGGTTTTTTGCCTCTTGGGGTACATACCTCAAATTGTTAATTTTCCATGCATATGCACATCGGATATTTCTTGAGTGTCATTTGGATTTAAAGAATTGTCTATAGCGCCCCCTAGAGGTAAACTCTTCCACACTCTTTGCCCCCATTCACCCATTGACTTCAAAATGTTCACATATGTGCTCTTGGTTATGCTCTACAATAAAGTAAATCATGGCATTTAAATGCGCCTGATTAGATTTTCTACCTTTTTTAGAATTTTGTCAAAATCATATTTTTGCCAACTCCTCCTAAACGTTGGGTCCGAAATCTTCTGGGGATCATTATTGGTTCATGGTCATCAAAATTAATAATGATCTTGATAACTCTTGGAGTTTAGAAGATATAAATTAAAACAAATAACTCATAACTCATTCATGGACGATCTGGGTTCATTTAGAACGATTTGATTCTGTGACTTGAAATCGATTCAGTAACTTTACTGGACAGTGCAGGCAAAGTTTCTGAGATCCCTGTTGTTTCTTGTAAGGAAATCAGGTTTAAATTAATTATGGATATTATAAACAAGCAAACAAGCAATTCATGGCAAATGTAAAAAAAACTTTTTATTTGAATCAAGTGCCATTTTCAATGTAAACATTACACAATAATTACACAATGTTTGGATCAATTCACAGAACCCCGGATTTTCAACCTCATTGTAGGGTCTCATGTCTTTACAGGTAAACTTGCTACAGTGATGAGTTTGGTGCTGGCGAGGCCTGAGGTGTCAGCAGAGCTGAGTTACCTGCTGCTGCTGCAGCGGTGACGCTGCTAGAGGTCCTGACTGTCGGCGTTGTTTAATCCCACGGCGCCTCAGTAGACGGCCGGAAAGATTCAACGTGTTTCCCTGTTTTTTATTTGTCTTCTACATATTCTACAAACAGCGAGCGACTTATTTAGAACACCTCCGTGTTTGCAAAAGCCAAACGTCTCGCTCGCAGTCGTCTCCTCCATGCTGTGTGTTGTTGTTGTTGTTGTTGTTCAGAGTTTCGCGCGGCTGCCGCTGCGTACTGATGACCTCACAGACAGGCAGACTGAATCCCGCAACGTTTAACGTGACTAAAGTGCTAAAAAAAAAAAAAACACACACACATCCATACCGTTTTTGCAGTTTCCAAGTATCGATACAATCGATTTGTAATCGATATATGTCGTCCGGAATGCCGATTTGCGGAGCACAGATCGGTTCAGTTGGATCGCAGCAATATAAATCGATGAATCGTTACACCCCTAATTTTCACACATTTGGTAGTCCGCCGTGAAACCTTTTATATGATCAGATTGGTTCATTGTGACCAGACGGGCTTCATTAAGTCACGACTGCCCTCTGTTAATATGCACCAGCTTCTGCACATTATTCATGCTGCGAAAAATATCACATCTCAAAATGCTGTTCTTAATAATCGTTTAATTTCTTTATATGCTCATGATGTTGTATCATATGCTGACAAAGCTCCTATCTCCATCCCTCCTATCTTAAGAACATTTGAACATCTGTTCTTATAATTTACTTTTTAAGGCAGAACATGTAAATCAATAAATGTCAGGGTAGGGTAGGAAGGCAGGACTCAAGCGCAGACTCCTTAAACAAAAGAGACTTTAATCGTCCAAAAGGCCAACAGGCAAAAACGCACAGGAACCAGGGGAAGAACAGCAGGCAGGAACTACGAACATCCACGACCATAGACAATGTGACAGGAGACACACACGGCTTAAATACACTAGGGAGGTGCAGGTGATTGGACACGGCAGACAATCACAGGGGAAGACATGGCAGGAAGTGAAGCCAACGCAGGGACACAAGAGGCAGGAAGCTACAAAATAAAACAGGAAACAAACCCACACCGTGACAGTATACAGTATGTGCAAACACACATCATTCTGCTTAAAGGCTCCTTTTACGTGCTAATTTAGATATTGTATCTTAATGGGATATTTTTGTAAATTTAAACTTAAGTAAAAGAGTACTAATAAAATCTCCTGAGACTGAACCTCCATCACATCAAAAGCCAGAAGAGCGCTGCTGCAGGACCTACAATGACCACTAACAGCTGAACGTAATCCCCGTCCCCCCTGTGACCCAGAGAAGGTGTACAAGTGTTTGTGTGCGCACACACAGGCTCCCAAGCAGGCTGGCATCATGTGACGGAAAGACACAATAGGTGTGAGGTGAAACCTGAAGCTGTGGAGAAAGACACAGAGGGACACCTTAGAATCATATGTGGACTGGTGAGCGGTTCTGGACATTAGGGTGCAGTTCTAAATACACAGCTGAACATTTTCAAAATACTAAACTGTGGGTTGGGCACATGAAGAGTAAAGTGGTGCCTAACCACCCCCCCGATACGTTTTCCAACCCATTCGTTTGAAGACCCAGTTCATGCAGGTGTTACTTCTACACTAGAACATCTAATGTCCTGTTCTCTGCCCGTCGCCACCCTCACCAGCCTCCACTATTGTGCAATACATGCTATGCTTCTCCCACTGGTCTCCAGCTCAGGCCTGAGGTGAAAGGCAGTCCGTTTGGCTCAATGTTAAATCAAGAATACAATTTAAAGTACTTCTCCTTCCATCTCCTTCTACAGTAGCTTACAATGCAATATTAAACAGCTGCGCTCCGTAAATGTTGGGTTACTTTGCTAGAGACTTAAAACGTAGGATGGCAGCCGGAGACTTCCGTTATCAAGCTCCTCTTTTGTGGAACCAGCTTCCACTTTCGGTCCGGGTGGGTCATTGAGGAGGTGAAAGCTTGTAGTTGGCCGGCTCAGGTTGGCCTGGACCAGCTCTCAGGTTAGCGGTTATAGGGTTGCACTGCTTGGGGACAGACTGAGCTCCTCTGTCTTCTTCTCTCTCTCCTAATGTTGTATTCTGCTTGCTAAAATATATGAATAATTTATGACACACTCATTGAACATTCAAACATTTTATTTTGTTCATGCTGTACACATCCTGGCAGAGGGATCCTCCTCTGCTGGTCTCCTTGAGGTTTCTTCACCTTCTTCATCTTTGTAAAGGGGGGGTGGGGGGGGCAGTACAAAATACATTTAATTTAATTGATTTCAGACATGTTATAACATTGTGGGGTTTAGCAAATCCAAAGCAATTAGAAGTCAACTTTTTGTGTTTCCTCCCTTCGCTGTGGTGCGTGTTGTTAAAACTGAGGATTCTTTTTTTGCGATCAATTGTTTATTTATGTCACGGTGTGGTTTTATTTCCTGTCTTATTTTGTAGTTTTCTGCTTCTTGTCTCCCTGGGTAACTTCACTTCCTGCCTTGTCCTGTCTTCCCCTGTGATTGTCTGCCGTGTCCAATCACCTGCACCTTCCCGGTGTATTTAAGCCATGTGTGTCTTTTGTCCCTTGTCGCGTCATTGAATGTCGTTCCTGAAAGTCTTTCATGGAAATGTCTTCCCCACGTTTGTGAGTTCCTGGTCCCCGTCCTGTCCGCGTTTTTCCCCTCGGCATTTTGATTTTGATATTTTGATTACTAAAGTAGTTTTTGTTGTGTTACACACTAAGAAATGAAGAAAAAGCTCCATCATTGTTTAGGATCATTGCTTAGAAGTAAAACAATTACTCCCCTGTTAGATAGTAATAGTCATACGTAAAAAAAATAATTTATTTTAAAGATAAAACAATATCTGTATATTTATGTTTCAAGACTAAACAGTAAAACAAAAACGTATGAAAATGGGCAATTTACATAGAAGTTGATTTTTACATGTGGAGATGAAATCCTTTTCAGATATTTATTTCATAACAATAACATACATATTAATTTCCAATACCGATTAACACAATGGAGGGTGAAATTTCTGTCACATGAAATATGAGCGAATGTCTGAGGAGAACCAACGTGAATACATTACAAAACAAATCTTACTGAGATGAGTTGAACAGATTTTACTGGCAAGGTTAAATGTCTAGCACGTTTTAACAGAAAGGAAATTAAAAGCGAGTCACATAACCATTAAAAGGCTAAATGAAAAGAAAATGACCTCAACAAAACAATAAACAAGAATAAAAGTTTAAGACATAGAATACGGAAGTAAAAATGGTCAATTAAATGGAATACTTAAAATCATTGTTAATGTGTACAGTAATTATATGACTTAAATGACTATAAATTGTTTCGATTCATATAGCAATTATTTCATCTAACAAGCTAATGTAATAACTAATATAACACAAAGTGCAATTTTAACCCTAAACATCACTACGTGTATTGGAAAATCCCTCACAGTATATGCGCATTTTATCAAAACCATTTGGATGATTATGCAACATGTGCATTGACCATAACAATGTGTCATCGTGGCGTAACGTGCAGTACCGTAGTTAATGGTAATGGTTCAATACAAGCACTAATCCAATAGCTCTTCTGCATCTCCTGGTTAGGACGTCAGCTCATGACTTCATGTCCTGATTCTCCCTGAGTGACACCGTGTGGTGTATCGACCTGGAGGGGAATCATTATGTAACTGCACTGTTTCCTTTCAAATCCAACCAAAGTTGGCTCATGAATGACATTTTGAAGGGCTTACATGTTTAAATGCTACATAGGAACGTGCTGATATGCTCTGGTGTGTAAATGTATTCTCTATTAATATATGTGAATACGTAGTTACAGAATTGAAACGACATTTTCTTTTAATACAGTAATGATTATTGTGTGAAGACACCTATTGCTTCTGCATCATTACATTACTGCACTATTAAAGGGTCACTTTCGGTTTCATCTTTCTTTCATGCTGAGGATGAAAGCCAGTGGGAGAGGGAGAGGAAGAGGGAGAGGGAGAGGAAGAGGAAGAGGGAGAGGAAGAGGGAGAGGTCACTAACGTTCTGTCGCCTTGACTCCATCCACCTGCAAGCCGCTTGTCCTGCACACAGGGTCGCGGGGGGGGATCTGTCCCAACTGGGTTCACTCTTACTATGGAAATATCTTTATTTCCGCTTTTGCTGCTGCGCTTCATATTTGCATTTGTAGGAGAAAAACTAAAAAAGGGCCTTTACGAAATGAAATGAAATGTCGTTTTCTGTTGTAATGTCTGTGTAACGTCTGTCGTGTCGTTGGGTAGGAACCTTCCGCATGTCCCCGATGTCTCCTGAGGGGGGGGGGGGGTAAATAGAACAGGGTCCTCACAGAACCGCGTGTGTCCGCGAGTCTCCCCAACACACAACACACCGCTGAGCAGTCTCCGTGCGACACGGAGCTCCACTTTACCACGCTTGTCTTAGAGCGTGAAGGCAACACGCGCCAGCTCTCCCGCTTAACGCGATCCTGCCAAACAAACACGACTCGTCCCTCAGCGAACGGCACCGGTCACGGCCGCGGCGTCTCCGACCAGCAGCCCGCCGACAGCAGCGTCTGAGTGCCGCTCCTCTCCGGCAGCACCAGCCGCTCGCCGGGCGCGTCGCTGGCAGCTGTGACGTAACTGGTTTCTGCTGCTCCGCTACGTTGTTGATCGGCGTGCTTTGTCCTCCTCGTCTCCTTTCCTTGGCCTCTGGTCGGCGGCGCAGAGGAGGGAGGAGGTGGACTGAAGCTCACGGTACGTGAACACGGCCCGGAGGAGCGACTCACAACTTCCTCCTTGAATCACCCACACAACGTCCACACGAGTCCGACTGTTGTCACACACATATATATATAAATATATACACACGCCATCGTGCCTCGTCTGCAGGCAGGAAGCAGCCAGACGGGCCAACGCGTGACTTTGGATCATCCATTGAATCCCTGTTTATTTATGTAACAGCAAACCGAGCAGGATGATAGTGAGGCGCTTTTATGACTCAATTTGCCGTCATATGGTCAATGCCCCAACATTAAGCTTTAACAAACAGACCTAAATGAATTAGTTAAGTTAGACGTGGTTAAAGGTGTTATGCAGCTTGTTGTCCTCTGTCTGTCTGAGGTGTGGCATAACCATTTCCAGGAACACTGAAGGGTTACTTTCGCTTTCGTTTTTCTGTGTCTGACAATGAAACCCAGCAGGCGAGGAGGAGGAGGAGCAGGAGGCGCTTTAAAAGCCGAAGGAGGAAGGGTGCCGGTCTAAACAAGCGGTTCCACTTCTGTGGAGATGATCCACAGCCGAGTCCTTTGAGCGAATAGGTAAGACCTGATCCCTGTCTCACTTCATCCGTGAGCCTGTGCATGTGTTGTGAATGTGTCTGTGATCATAGACAAACCACTGGTTGGCTGTGCCTCTGTGGGGGGTCCGCTGCTTGGTCTTGGTGCGCAGCGTATGCTAATGTTTTCATTCAATGAGAATGTGTGTCCAAACCTTGGACGGGTCCTGTGGTGTCCCCAGGACATCTCGAACCACACGACGCCCTGATGTTAGCATTGCCTGCCTCTTCCTTCCTCTCTCTACCAGTAAGGGTCATTCTCTGTTCAATACCTGTGTGTCTTTTCTCCGTCTGGCGTCAGTTGAAATGGAGCAGGTCCTGGAGGATGTGCTGGCCCTGCTGAAGGAGAACCCAGCTGGGATCCCCCTCAAAAAGTTAGCTGTGTTCTACAACCAGACATACCGCAGGAACCTGACTTTATCTTCCTTGGGCTTCAAAACGATTTCCTGCCTGGTGGAATCTTTGAGTGAACATCTAGTGGTGAGGGAGGACGTGGTGTTCCATAAGATCCACCAGCCTCACAATCAGCCGGCAGCTGGGACGCCGGGAACAGCCACCGAGGACAACGGGCCCGCAACTCCGCCGAGGAGGAGGAGGGCGCGCGGTAGGACGGGTCGTGCTGGCCCGAGCTGCTCGGCGCCTGAACGGGACGCGAGCGCTCATCATGTGCCTCCCGCCGCCCACTGTCTCCCCGTCCACCCGCCGGCCGCTGCGTCCACGCCAGCAGAGACGTTGGTCAGTTCTGAAGACAAATGCACCACAGCGGTATTCTGATGTCTCTTTGGTTTCTAATGTATAACAGAGCACATTGATTGCCGGCAGGTAGGTACGAGCCAGACGCTCCGTCTTTCATCCCAATGTTCTGCTAAATCCTGAATTAAAAAGTTGAAACATTAAGAATCAACAATGCTAATTGGGCTGCCGCTAGCTTGTTAGCAAAAAACCCTTATTTTTATGTCCGACAGAAGCTGTCAAATGCTTTTGGAAACATTCCTCGCTGTTGTGTCTTTTTTAGCTTTTCCTTCAGTTGTGGATTAAAACACATTTGGCAGGTACTACGTAAACGGGACTAGATGAAAATACTCTCTTTTGGCCTTCAAAATACTACAATCCTATGTCTAATCTCATTGGGACTCAATAAAAAAGAAAACTTGCAGGCTTATATAATAGCTTGTCTTTGTCTATCTTAACCGTCTGTCCCTGTCTACCTTCTTACTCTACGTAAACCAGCACATATTTCTTTATGTGTTCCAGGTGAAGAACAAACCAAACGCCAACCAGCCAACTGCAGGTAGCCAAACCATGACACCATTACCTTCATGCCTTAAAACACACATTTACTCCTCCGTACTTCTAAAACCAAGTATGCGTTGACCCGTCCTTCCACAGCGGCGCTGGATCTTGAGAGAGACGCTAAAGAAGAAAAGCTGGGACAGTCCATCGTGACCAACTTCCTCTCTGACGCCAACTTCCCAGTGCTCGGGGCGAACGTCTCCTCGACCAAAGAGAAGAAAAACAAAATAAGAGATGCACCCAACTTCTTTCGAGAAGCTTATCACGCCCAGCTGAGAGAGGTCCACGGCGCCAACATGCGGGCCGCAGAGGCCATGGAGGAGAATGCGCGTGGGACCAGGAGGAACAGAGTCTTGGATCAGGATTCTGTCAGTAGTCTGGCGCAAGATGTGATTCGAGACATCGCTGCACAGGGAGAGCTGGTGACCGAAGAAAAGGTCAGTCGGTTGATCCATTCTGCTCCTACAATCATAAATGACTAGATTCAGATGTCTTTATTGGTTGCCTGGCAACTTCAAGGAAGGAAGTCTCTGCGCCGGGCCACATATTTATAAGTAACTTCAGATTTTCCTCCTGAATGTCAATGAAGTTGTGTATTGTTTAGCACAGCAGTCCCTTCCTCTCTGGCCTTTGCTGTTGTGTTACCTGATTACCAGTTCTGGTCACATTGGAACTTTCAGCTCCTAAAATGTCCCGTATAGCTTCACGTTTCCTACACAGACTAATGCACTGTGTCTCATTTCCTCATCGTCCTCGCTACGTCCAGGTGATATGCGAGGTGTGCAGACTGATGCAGATTCCCTCTCTGGAGGCATACGGGATCAAACGATGGAAAATCCCCTCTTTAAAAGACCTTCAATACCTAATGAGAGAGATCAACATGTTCATAGAGGTTGGCACACATGCGTTTCCTAATACTGGTTTTTAAGTGGATGTGTGTCACCTATCAAAGAATTGCCTCTCCTTGTGTCAGTCTACTGCAGCAGTCACATCCATCTGCACCTTGTATGAGCTGGGCCAGTGCCTGGCTGGACTGAAGGACAAGAAGCGCTATGAGGAGCTGAACCTGGGGCCCCTCTGCAAACTGCCCCTCATCCACCGCATGTTCAAGATCGACACGAACACAAAGGATGACGACATTCACCAGATCGAGACAATTGACATCTTGAAGGTACGACGCACCAACGTACAGGCAGGGCTGCACCTTCGGACTGTGACTAAATGTCCTTCATTTCATGTCTTTATACAACTCAATGATGTGAACTGAAGTAGTGAATGTTTGGAATCGCAGCTTTGATTCAATGGATATAACAAGTACAGTAACAACTAGGAATTACAGCCGTCCCCATTTACAGGCGCTCGCAAGTCATCGGACAAACTGACATGGTTGTAATTATATGTAATTATATGGATTCTTTGAGAACGTCTCCCACGGACTAATACTAATACTATAGCCTCTGGTCAAATAGTTTGGAGTTACGTGAAGTCAATGAGCCATTTTTCATTGGTATTTTACATTTTACATGAAAGTTTTTTTTTGATCGTTCATTTAATTCATTAAATTTGTATTTATTGACTTTACTGTACTTTACAGCACAAAGTACATGTAGTGAAATAAAATATCAACCAACTGTTAAAAAAAACATATTTTTGGGAAAAAGTCCAAATCACAAAGGTCATGAAAGAAATAGAAATGAGCTAAAGAGGCTTCACAGCAGTGAGTCCATGTAGCTGCTGTGTCTTTGGCAACATGTGACCATCTCTGCCTGGTGGAACACTTGCTTAGTTCTATCTTGTCTGAACTTTTCATTATTTGGCCTTTATGCTTTTACTCTGTTTCCATTATCTAGCAAATCCGTGTGTTTCGGAAGCAGCAGAACAAGCCAAAAGTGGACCTGGCTGAGTTCATGAAGTATCTGGCCGACCACTACAGCTGCGACTCTCCCTACGAGCTGGGCATCAGGATACACAGCATCGCGCTGCCGATAGCGGTACGACTCGTGTAATAGTGAACTCTATCACATCCGTCCTATAAACTGTACAGAGCTGATCCGTAACTGTATCTCAGCACATGTGACCCAGACACCGTCTATACTGGTGCCACTGACGGTCTCTAGTTGAGATCAAAACGAGGACGAAGTTACAAGATGTGTGAGGTTCGATAGTAGAACGTGGGGTAGCGCTTATCTTCCTCTTATTGTAGCTGATTAAGTAGATCGACAGTACTCTTATTTAGTCACGTAAAGAAATTATGTCATTATTAGTCATTTTGATTCGTGGGAGGCGAGACACAGTAAGTATACTCACACCGCTACAATGCTAATGCTAATGTCACTAGCGCTGCCGCACACGAGCTCTGGTTGTCTTGATCACACTTGCTAACATTACGCACCACACACGTTCTTCCTGGAAGCAGTTTGCAACTCGTACAACACACTTTGCTTCCAAAAACACAGTAAGAATACATTTCTAAAGACGTGTTCCAACTGCCTCTCTGTCCCCTTCAGACCGTACTGAAGGTGAGTCGATGTGAGTACAGCATCATGGAGCAAGCCAGGGAGGTCATCCAGAGAGAGCTGGAGCAGGACATCTACGAGCGTCTGAGGAGGATCAAGAAGAGTGTGTTGGAGCCGTTGCAAGGAGCAGGTTGCTTCTCCTCCACAGGCAGCCTCGACCTCAGAAGAAAGTACGCCTCCATGCCGGCGGCCGAGGTATCGATGGCAGTCTTCTCATGCGCAGAGGGGTTGTTCAATCCCAGGATGGCCAAGGTGGGTTCCACATACTGACATCCCTCCATTCATTTGTCAAGTCCTTTCATCGCTCAACGATCCTTTGTCATGTCAATGACTTCCATGTCTGTGCCTTTTGTTTGATTTCCATTTCAGCACGTCCAGAACTTCCTTCTACAGGTGTCTGGTGACCAGCTGGCAAAGGCTCTGTTTCAGCTTGCAATATGTGGAGGCTCGCTGGCCGTCCCGTCCGGCCTGGTGCCCAAAGAAAAGGCCTCCATTAGGACCGAACCAACTAAGGTGGAGGACAAACCCACCACCTCCCTCCCCAGTGAAGGTACTGAGGCAGAATCTCGTGTTCCTGCCTCACATATGAACTCCTCTGATAATGTCCTCTTCGTGTGTCTGGTCCATCTTGGTCCATGATTTTGAGACGTGTCTGTCTTGTGTCTCTCAGCCAAAGTGAAGCAGTACCTTAAAGACAGCCTCTTCTCTCAGAGCACGGCCACCACTTTGGCCCACGTGGCCTCTTTGGAGAGGAAGGTGGCCAAACACTTCCAGGTCAAAGATTTCCTCTCTTTAGAGCAGGGCAACTTCCTGGAGTTCCTTGTGAAGCACATGCAGGTACACGTCTCAGTAGTACGTCTGTGTGGGTCCACGGTGTTTTGTCCTCAGGGATATGATGCTAATGTCCCCTGCATGTTGCAATGTGCAGCTGCTGCAGGACACTCTGGGCTCTGCTTTGCCTCTGTGCAGTGGCAGCATGGAACAGGCAGGCAGTGGTATCAGACCCACCAGACAAGACGTGTTTGAATTCATCACACAGTGTGGGGACATAAAGTCAACTAATCCAGACGAAGTGAGTCAGTTAGAGGTGCACACACACACATATACACGCTCTTCCTTTTCTCTGTTTCCTTGTAGCGTAAATGTTTCAGCAGGTGACAGAAACGTTCATCTTTGCCTTCGTCCTCCCAGCTTTCCCACATTGAGGCGGCGCTGAGAGACCACTACAGGGTCCGGGACAGTCGGGACCTTGGCTACGGCAACCTGCAAATGCTGGCAGGCCTGGTGCAGCGTCAGAGAGCGCTGGCCGGGGCCCGACTCAGCCCGGTCCACTACGAGTCGGCCCTGTTTGCCAAGCACAGCAAGACAAGGTGAGCAGCTTCTTAACAAGGAGGTACAGAGAATACGGGTGACCATTATCCTTTGAACCTACAAAGTTTTGTCCTGAGTTGTGTCGTCCTCTCTCTCCCCTGTGTGAACAGTGTGGACGGGGGGCAGGCGGTGGGGCGCCTAGGGGAGGTGTCCAAAGCCCAGGCCCTGGCCAGCTTAACCTCCTGCCCTCTACTGGAGGATTTAAGTGAGTGGAGTCAATGGGAACTGGTCTTCAAACAAGCCCACGGCTCCCTTGGAGATTTCATCGAAAGAAACGCAGGTAGGATTTGTGCGAGTCCTTTTTAGTCAAACATGCCCGTTTGATGGAAGACAAGTTTTCCTGGGACCAGTTGGTTGATTTGCTTCTTTAATACAGCAAACACAGGCCTGGCAGCGTTGGAGGTGAGACCAGGTTTGCTCCTCAGGATCACCACACACACAGGAGACAAGTACTTCTCCAATGCTGCCATGACCCTTGACCCCGTGGGCACCGCCGGCCACCTGGTGTCCATGGTGGTAGCTGATGGGATCGTCAACGCTCCTACTGCCCTGCTGGCCAATCACATGCACACCTCCCTGGCAGCAGCCGTGGCTACAGAAGGTAGTGGGTCTATACTGGCTGATGGCTTCACACACGGCGTGTGTCATTGGTACTCATGTAGCATTTGTGTTCCTTAGATTTGACCCAGACTGAAGAGGACGTGTCATGTTACAGCAAAGTAGCCAAATTCCTCCTGGCATGTTTGACACGAATCCCCACCAGAACCTGCCAGGCGCTTATGAAGCAGGTCAGTGACTTCTACTCATCAAACAGGCCCCTTGAAGTTCTAATGAAATGACGGCTCACCAAGTGAGTGGAGCTGAGGGGGCGGGGGGGGCAGAGGGGGGCAGTCAGGACGGGGCGGGAATCAAGCCACATTAGTTTCACTCTGCATGCAACGTACTGGCGGGGCGCCATTTGTTACACTATGATACGCTGTAAAAAAGACACATATGGTTGTGTCCTGCTTCCTGGAGAACAGCTTTAACAATCCCAACGTTTCAGCGTGTCCGTGTGTCGGCCGCTTCACGCTGAGAAGCTAATCTGCGTTGCACCAACCATTTGGCTTACGGCAGTTTGTGTTGAAACCGTCCTCTTTGCATTACACACAACTTCTTTTCACAACATGGTTGTCACACCAGTAATTACAGCAACATTGTTTTCTGTAATCCTGACCTTTGACTTGATTCCTAAATATGTGCTGAAAGGCGGTGCTTTGCTGTTGTGACTTAAGCAGATGATGTGCATGTTCTGGTTGAATGTGACTTGCAGGTGTTTTTGGAGCCTTTCTCTCGTGTCCTGGGCCAGGCCAAGACCAAACAGGTGCTGATCACTGTGGCCCAGTCGGACCACAAGCACATGAACCATCTGCATCGACTGGGGATCCTACTGGGCATCACCGACTGGGTCAAAGACTACCAGAAAAAGCTGAACCCACAACCGAGCCAAGATTGCTACACGCACACGGCACCTGTGGAACACGCCATGGTCAGAACACCACTCCTAATTATTATTACGTTGGTCGTATACACGCAGCATCTGTTGCATGGAGGTCGTGAAGGAAATTCTATAACTTCAATATAATGATATCACAATCTCCCAAGAAAGTTTACGCTAAATTTCCAGAAACATTCCATGGAAAGTTGAGCTTGGGAATTTCTACCTTTTTTTTAGCAAAAGAATAAAACAGGGAACTTAAATGTAGTTGAGAAGAAGACTATGCAGCTGGTTGGGAACAGAAACCTAAAGGTAAAACGTTGTGCTGTTTCGTATATTGATTACTTGGTAAACTGAAGCCACGTTTGTTTCATGTAAGTCCATTTGTAGACAGTCGGCCGGCTCTTCACAGCCGTGAGAGTAGGATGTATGTAGCGCAAGGGTAGAGAGGGGGCACCGGGAGCCGCAAGGTTGGTGCTTCGAGCCCCGGCTGCCCCATGTCGAAGTGCCCCTGAGCAAGACACCTAACCCCTAGTCGCTCTCTGGGCGATAATGGAAAAAAGCCACGGGTTAAATAAGTGGCTCCTGTTCACATGCGATGGCCGACAGTAGTGCGAGATGCACTGGTGGTTTGGTGCAGCATTAGCTTCTGGGGGTCCCGGCTGCCTTACCAGACCCTCTTTGTTCCGCCCCTCACTGGGACCCAAAGAAGGAGATTTGGGATCCAGGTTTGGGTGGTGATTGGTTTGGAGCCTGGAGGACTGATCAGGAGGCATCTATCCATCTTGGCGGCTCTTCAGGTACATCAGTCTCGCGAGAGACCCGAGGGTGGACTGAGAACGTGCTGCAGGGGTGTTACATGTAAAATGTACCATCACGACCGACCCTGGATGAGCAGAACTTTAGGTTATGGTTTCTTCTAAAGCTCAAAGCCCAAATGTACTCAAAGGGCGAACCAAATGGATTTGGTTTAAATATAAAGACGTGTTGCTGATTCTGCGCTGGATTCAGATTGGAGACAAAGCTATCAAACCCAACACTAAGTTCTAAATGCTGCACTACTCAAACCTTTTAGGTAATCAAGGATTTAAAAGTTGAATCATCTTCCCTCTTGTTTACACTATATTTAACAAACCGATGTTTTAATCTTTTTTCTTTTTTTTGGACATCAGTCCAATGTGATGGATTCTGAGAGCGGCTCAGCTCTGAATATGAGTGAAGATGAGTGTCTTGAGGACAACACCGTGGACACCAGCTTTGCCTCCTCCCATCTCAATCCGAGTCCACAACAAGGTGAATTTTCACTTCCGACTAATTACGCCAGTTTTGCTTTTGATCTTTAACTGCTAAATGTGTTCCGCTGGCTGAGCAAGGTGAGGGCGCTGAGGGGGGCGAGGATGAGGAGGAGCTCTATGAGTTGTCCACGCTGCCTAAAGGAGACACATCAGATGTCAGCAGTGAAGCTGAAGGAGTCCAGGACCAGTCAGAAATGTCCAATCCCGCCAGTGGCCGAGCCACCTCAGATGTCCAAAGGGCCGTAGTCGAGGACATCAGGTCTGTCTTCATTCCGCCCCCGACAATAAGCTCCGCCACGTCCCCTGAGGTTGTCTGATTTCATTTAGCCGAGTGCTGCACCCTTTCCTGACAGGAAGAATGAGTTTGGTATTGGTGTGGAATTGACCGCTGCAGCGGAGAAGCTGATGCAGATCCACCAGGACCGACTCGGCCGCAGCTTAGACCGCCTGTCCACGGAACTCTACAGCAAAGACACCCACTTCGTCCTAGAACTCATTCAGGTGAATCCAATGTAATATTTACACCCACAAAGACGACACTAAGTCTTCTGTCTCTAAATGTTTGGTTCAAATGCATCCAGCGGAGACATTTCTTGATAAAGTGGAGTAAATGATTTGCTTTTCAAACTACGGACCAGTTCAACTCAATTCGTTCAGAATCCTTCATTCGCGGGCCGGCAGCACTGTGCCAAAGAGCAGAGGAGCTTTTTCCCGCCTCGCTCTGAACCTCTTCTATATCGCCCAGGAGCATTGCGCCCTCTAGTGGCCTCGGTTGGAAAAGCAGTGCAGTGACATTTTCCTGAGTAGCGAATTAAAATAAATAACAGAGTGTCTGTTTTTCTCTTGCAATAATGCCATTATTCTTTTGCCAACTTATGAACATAAGAAGCAAAGTGTCCTGCTTGCTACTTAAAAGCTAAAGTGCACGTGTTGCTCCCCAACGTGTCCATGATTACTGGAGGTAAAGTTCTCTTGTTCTGCTCGAGGTTTCTGAGCAAATCAAATACATGCAGATGACACGCGTCATCGATTGTGAAGAACCGTCTGGCTTCTCCGTCCTCTCTCTTTACAGTGCGTGTCGATGAAGCGGGATGTACGGAGTGCGTGACTCGTGCTGATAAGATATATGGTACCAGGACTGGACTCACAAACACATCCATTTTATTTTCAGAAATGGTTCTGTGTCCATTCTGACTGGGCTCCGGCCTTGAAATGTGTTTTTTACTTACTAGCGATTGAAGCCTCGTGGTTTTGCAGGGTTTCCATCCTTTATATAGTGATCGAGTGCGAGTTTTAATGTCTAATAGTTTGATTTGAAATCGGTCTCGTCGACCTCTTGGCCTCTTTGTTTCCGTTGCCTCAGAACGCTGATGACAACAGTTACCCGTCAGAGGTGGCTGCCGATCCCGCGCTGGTCTTTGTGCTGAAGAAGGACAGCATCACCGTTCTCAACAACGAGGTGGGCTTCCAGGAGAAGAACATCAGGGCCATCTGCGACGTGGGTCGCAGCACCAAGGGCAAACACAAATATGGATACATAGGTGGGTATTTACGTGCTGACTTCTGATTAGAAATTCTAACTCCACTTCAATTGAACTGCAGCAACACTTGTGATGCACTGAGCGACTGTGGTCAGTGGAGAGCAGTCGCCATTCTTTTGTTTTAGTTTAGTTCATTTTATTCAATAATTTAATATTTTGTATCTTATTATATTGTATATAATTTGTATCTTTTAATTCTATTTTCTTCCCTGTAATTGCTGCTGTTATACCAAAACTTCCCTCTTGAGGGATCAACAAAGTATCAATCTATCTACCTTCAATCACCGGCAGCTTGACCCCCGGCTCCTCTGGGCTCCTCTGGGTTCCTCTGAGTTCCTCGAGCTCCTCTGGGTTCCTCTGGGGTCCTCGGGTTCCTCTGGGCTCCTCTGGGCTCCTCAGGGCTCCTCTGGGGTCCTCGGGCAGGACATCAGACCCAGCGGTGCTCCTGTGGCTGTGACTGCAGTGTGTGAATGTTAGTCACTGGTGACACTGTCAGCAGGGTATGAATGCATGTGAATGGGAGAATAAGGACATGAAGTATATAAGAGCCACGTGTCATTTACTTGGTAACGCTGGTGTTGGGGTGAGAAAAGCGATCTATTGCCACATTAGAAGGTCCGTTAAAGGAAAACATGCCTCCTTTTCTGAGGACCAGTTGAACAAAGTCTCCCAATAGGTTTTGCTCCGTACAGCTCGGGTTCGGGGGGTTTCGGGGGGGTCCCGGCATCCGCATGCTCCCCCCTGCAGGCTGATTATGTTCAAATATCCAAGTCAGCCAAATGACTGTAAAAAGCCTCGTCCATGACATGAATGACCCTGATTGCTTTTCTCATCATAGGTCAAAAGGGCATCGGCTTCAAATCTGTGTTTAAGGTGACGGATTGTCCAGAAATTCACTCCAATGGCTTTCACGTGCAATTCGACAAGACCTGCGGCCCCATGGGATACATCCTCCCCAACTGGAAGGAGGACGGGAGGCCTGTGGACACGCACGTGAAGGACCTGCATCAGCACAGGTCGGGCTTTGGATGTTCCTATGCTCCTTAATAACAACCAGCGGTGAGATGCTGATGCTGCCTTCGTTTGGTTCATCAGAGAGTCCCCATTAAATGTCTTATAAAGGACTGTGCTTTTCCTATTGGGAAACGAATTGTGTGAAATAGAATCATTAAAACGCAAAGATGCTTGTCAGTTCGTATACATGGCGATCTAACTGGTTTGGGGTGTGTATCTAAGTATTCACAGCACGGTTTGCACATTTTGTTATGTTACAGCCTTATTCCACACAAGAAACCCCATGATGACAAAGTGAGACATGTTTTGAGGAACGTTTTGCAAATCTCTTAGAAATAAAGACCCATGTACATAAGTATCCACACTGATCATCCTGGAGATGTTTCTACAGCTTCTATGGATCTCACGTGACGGGTGTGCAAGCTTGTGTTGTGCGACTCGAGAAGACCTGAGGCTGTGACGGCTGCCAAAGGTGCTTCAGCAAAGTATTGAGCAAAAGCTCTGAATACGTTTTGTTATTTCTTTTTAATACATTTGAAAACATTTAGATTTTCTTTTCTCACATGAAAATGAATCATTTGTGGAATAAGTCTGTAACATAACAGAATGTGGAAACTGAAGCGCTGTGAATACTTTCTGTACCTTCGGCAGTGATTGGGCTCCAATGCTGAGCATTGAATTCAGGAGAACCATATTCAGTCCGATGTGGTGGATTCCACTTGGCTTGTTGAGCGCTACAGTCAGTTTATTGCTCTTATTCTGCAACCGAAAAATATAAGACCTATAAAATTTAGTTAAATATTATTAAATAAATAAAGCAATTTAAGAAGAGTCGAAACGATATTAAACCCCAAAATACTTTTCATTGACTTTTTTTATTATTTTGAATACATTTGTTGCATTTTTCAATGTTCAAAACCAAAACTAGTGGTGCTGATTCACTCCGGTGCGTCCACTCTCCTGATGACCTTCTGCCACGTCCACCTCCAACTTTCATCAGAAGTCACCTTCAACCGCTGAAAACTTCTTCCAGATCCTCTCCTCTGGAAGGAGCCACGGGTCCATATTGATCCATAAACCGCAGTCAGAACACGACATTCTAACTGCATCTGTTCTTCACCAGCTGGACCACCAAGATCTTCCTTCCTCTGCGCTCGGAGAGCCATCAGACCAGAAACCTCTTTCATGACGTGCACCCCTCCTTGCTGCTCTTTCTGCACCGCCTGAGATCCATCTCCATCTACAATGAGGTAGTCCTGCTACACAGGTTACAACTATGGGGGCTGGGGACCCGGAGGAGCACGCTGCTTGTGGATCGCAGGGTGTGAGTGGAGGTTTGGGGAGTAAATAGTTGTAGGTAGGGAGGTGCATGTCCATTTTTGCATGTATGGACCAGTAGAACTGTGTCAATCCGGAGTCGACAGGGAGCCGGTGTAGTAAGCGTAGTAGGCCTGATAAGCCATATATTGACTTATCGCACAATATACGAAAATGAGCGTGAGAGTTTTTCGTGCTGCGATATCCATGTTACATATAAACGAATGTCCCCAACATGTTAGTCGATCGCACCGCCCTCTCCTCTGCTGTCATTGTCGGAGGCGGGGCTTAGGCAGCGGACACCGACAGGTGAAGAGAAGCTAACTAAGTGACGTGTTCGTTTTCGTGACATCTACAGACAATTAGTGACTCACGCTCAACCAATGAGAACGCTGGATTTCATCCACCCGTGTTATAATCAGTGGCATAAAATAGTCGATGAATGTTGGTGCAATGATCACACAACAAAAATGGGTAGGATGGGTACAAGCCATTAAGACTCACCTGTTCTCCACACATCCACCACCTGCTGCATCTGTTTCCCTGCAGATTGAGAAGCGCCATGAGACCATGACTCGAAAGGACCTGAGTCACAATGTCTTAGAGGTGAAGCACACAGAGGGCACGGAGCGCTGGCTGGTGGTCAAAACCACTGTGCAGCCCAAGAAGGTAATGTAGACATTCAATGCATCAATCAGCCCGGCGTCCGTCGCACCCCATCGGCCACCGATCGCTGCGATGTGCTTCTGTGTTTTCACTCAGAACTGTCGTTCTTTCAAAAATCTTTCCCTCTGCATCTTGTCAGCACATCAAATGGGAATTTATGACACAATCCAGACACTCGCATGAACAACAGCAAACCCCGACGCTCCGCCTCCTTCATTTCCTCTTTCCTGCACCTCTGAAGAGAAGGAATAACTGATGGCTTCCCCTTTAGATCAAAGAAGATGTCGACTCCACCGAGCTCGCCCTGGCGTTCCAGCTCAACGACGACGCCACAGAAGGTGACGTGATCTGCCAACCACAGAAACAACCCGTGTTTGCCTACCTGCCCCTTCGCAGTTTTGGCTTTCGCTTTATCATCCAAGGTGAGAATGCGCTTTAGGATCATCAAACCATCCCAGCGTGGACATCGGTGCAACAAAAACTCCTCTTCTCCTTCAGGTGACTTCGACATCCCTTCCTCTCGTGAAGATGTTGACAGAGACAGCTCGTGGAACCAATGGCTTCGATCCGAGATAGCGCAGCTCTTCCTTCAGGCCATGGACGTCTTCACTGTGAGGATCAGCAGCTGCGCTTCACAGTCTCTAATTCGTCCTTTGCTGTTGTCTGTCGGTCAACAAGTGTCCCGTCGGCTCCTTTTTCCAGAACCACCCAGAGTTCCAGGGGCTGAAGGGCCTCAGCCGGTTCCTCCCGTTTGTCCCGCTGCCTGACGAGGTGCTGGATTTCTTTAAGCCTGTTGCCGGGCAGATTATTCAGATGCTCCGAGGCAAAGCGTTCCTGCCCACGCTCGGCTCAGGTATTCCTCACACGTTGAACGAAGCCCATCTCCGGCATCGCGGCATAACGGCGCTTTGCATGTGACCCTGAGGACGTTCCTCTGCTTGCCTCCTCGCCCAGACGCTACGGTTGTGTACAAGCTGCCCTCCCAAGTGGCCGTCTGTCACGACGCCGTGATCCGCGACGTGATCGGCGGAGACGAGCTAGAAAGGCACCTGTCTCTGTCCTACCTCCACCCGGATCTGAGCCCCGCGACGCCCACAGCGCTGCTCACACACCTCGGGGTGCGATCGCTGCGGGGGTCCGATGTCACCACGGTGACCACGGCCATGGCCAAGGAGCTGATGGAAGACATTCATTCAGGTGTGTGGATGAAAGGACCAAAGTAACACGATCAATACAAGATGATACATTTCTATAGAGCTATGACTCTGGTGGGACAGTAGCACCATGTATTCATGTTAAAATGAGGTATGAAAGTAAGATAGACCTTCATCAGTCATCCTAAGAAAATAGATCCATTTAACACGGATGTAATCTGAACATCAGACTAATTCCTGTGGAATGGAAGCGTCCATGTTTGAGTCCCGCCCGCTGTCTTCCAGATGGCGGCTTGCGTCAGCTGGCCAAGCTGCTGGTTTGCAACTTCCGGGCTCTGGAGCACGGCTACGGGGAGGAAGACATCCTGCAAACCCTCCGGGATCTGCCCATCATCCCACTGGCGGATGGACGTGTGGTGGCACTCAATCGGGAAGGAGTGTTCTTTCCGATGGAGGAAACCAAGACCAGAAAGAAGGACGCTGAGGCTCAGAAAGGTGATTTCCCTTACATGGACGTTGTTGGGATCCTTGAGTGTGCATTCCTGCATGCTTTTATCTTTCTGTGCAGATCATTGTTACAAAAAACTGCATTTAAGTAAACTGAGTAATTAGACATTTTCTCTCACATCCACGTCAAAATAACAATTAGCACTAAAAGATGTTTTCAACAAATAGTAAAAGAGCCCTTTTCTGCTTCTCACAAGGTTTGGAGACTCAAAATAACAAAGTCAATAGTTTTTCTTCAGTCCAATACTAATTAGTACAACTGCACTGCGACAAAAAGGTCCATTAGATGGTTCTAAACATGTCAAATGTGTCTCTGCTCCGGCTGGGAAGTTGATTTTATTCCTTGTCCTTTCACAGGCCCTCTGTCGGCTTTGTACAGGGATATAAATATCGTTCACCCCTCTCTGCTGAGCTGTGTGGAGCCTCTGGAAAGCCAACAGGTTCAAGAGCTGCTTCGAAGACTGGGAGTTCATCAACTGGAGCCTCAAGAGCTGCTGGAGCAGCACATCTACCCATCGATCCAGAACCAGCAGTGGAAGGTGCTGATCAACATCACAAACACGACGCTCTCTCTCTCTCTCTCTCTCTCCACCTCTCACCCCCCTGTTCCCTCCCTGGTTCCCCCACCAGCTAAAGCCCGAGGCCGTGGTGGTGAGCTACTTGGTTTTCATCAAGCTGCATTCCTCCTCCGGCCACGCTGGCGCCTCCACTGCAGTACCCGTCCTCACCAGCAGGGGCCTGCTGTGCCCGGCTGAGGAAAAGGTGCACTTCTCCCAGGAGTACGGCAACGTGGACCTGACCAAGGAACTAGCTGGTGAGTAGATCCCCACAGCGCTCGTTGGCTCGTTCTGACCCCAAGAAGCCTGAGAACGTCTCTTTTATTCTGTTACATGTTTTAGTCATTGAGCAGATTTGCTTCAGTAGCCGTGTCCTCACCTGGGGACATCCTGATCATGTATTCATATTTTTGTATCTTGATAATCAATTATTTGCATTTTCTCTAGATTTTAATTGAGAACAACAGTAAACAGCTGAACTTTCTGCGCTTTAATACACATAATATTTAAGAGGCTTTTTTGTTGTTTCTAACATAACGTGTATGACAGCAGATTAAAGACCTTCCAGCCAAAAGATGAGCTACCTTACCTTTAACTCATTGCAGCACATCAACTAATCAAACTAATGGTTCACCTGATTAGCAAGCCGAAATCATCGGTTCCATCTCCGAGGCCCTCCTCCGTTTCTTCTTGGTGTCATCCTCGTGTCTTCGTCTCCCTCCACCAGGCTGCGAATGGGTCTTGCTGAGTCCCTGCTATGTGCAGACAGATGGCGACGTCGCTGGGTGGAGGGAGCTCTTCAGCAGTCTGGGAGTCAGAGATGGTCTCATCATCCGCAAAGAGAGACGAACGCTCACTGCTCAAGAACTGGTGAGGAGCTTCTCCCTGAACATTTAGGAGTCGCACTCCAATTGTGCTGCAGAAAGAGCGGTTCGACTTTACAGACCAGAGGGAGTTTGTGAATGATGGAAAGCTAGACCGCTGGTAGACGGGCCGCAGGTGTCCACGTTGTAACATATTTACACAGAAGGATGATGCACAGAAAGAGTTTTTTAGTTTTAATCACCGGAAATAAATGTATTTTTACAAAAAGTCCCTTTAACACGGCACTAAACCGGCAGAAAAACGCCAATAAACGAGTAAGTTCTTCACATCTCCAACGTGAGATTCTTTAACGCCAAGTTTACGTGCTGCCGCTGTGTTTGCTTCTCCGCGGCCAGATGCTTTCCCGTAACTTAAATGCTGCATCATGTACATACATTAGTTGCACCGTTGTTTAAGCCACAGAATTCCAGAAGTCCGGAATTTACAGTAATTGATCCCTCATTTTATATTGGAAATATATATAGCCTGGAATATTAATGGCAAATAAGGTAAATTGTCTGTGGTCGTCCCCCCAGGCCTCCTCCCCCTGGTCAGTGGAAGGTGCAGTGTGGCATCAGATTCCTGGAGCTGGCTATGTGCTGGATGACTACCCCTGTGAGGAGTTCCAGGCTCTGGCCACAGCCCAGCTTCCCGGACCCGTCCTCCTGCAGCAGAGGACGGCTTTGCTCGAGCTTTTGATGACCAACTGGGATAACGGGTAACAGACCCTCACCTACGTACCTACCTCGCTCTCCTCCCATGTCATGTTGTGTCAGTCATCACTGTAAACACCGAGGCTTCCTCTGCCTGTGGCTGGACCACTGAGTCCTTTCACAACACCAGATTAGCTTGCAGTGCCCTCTGGGAGTCTTAGGGTCATCCTGATGACCGGCGGGCCAGTTTGATAGACATGTGATATCTGCTTTGGAGCGTAGATGACAAGCTGCTTCGTAGTCATGGTGAGGGGACACTATCAGCTGCTACATGGATCCTGCTCACAACATCACATACTTATTGTTTGCACAGAGGGCTTTGAAAGTCGGCCTATTCAAAGCATCACCTTTCCTGTTTTCAGGCACCGCTACTCTCAGTACCTCACAGCTCAGGTGATCGGCGCCGATGGACAATCGATCAAAAGCACCAAGTCCTCCTTCTGCCACTTCCTGAGTTGTCTTGAGTGGGTGCCGGCTTATCGGCCACTGGAAGGAGAACAGAGAGAGAGAAAGTACCTGCGTCCAAACGCCGTGTACCTGGCCTCACCGGAGGTCACCCGCCTCCTGGGCACCCATGTTCATTATGTAGACATCGACCCCAGCGAGTTTAGCAGAGCTCTTGGTAAGATGGGTGAACTGCAGTGGACTCTGTGCTGTCCAGCTCCTTATTGAAACTCTTGTTGGACTTCCTTTAGGAATGAGACAAAGCATCTCGGTGGAGGCTCTGATTAACTACCTGAAGGAGTGGTGTGTTAAACCACGAGCAGACGGCCAGGACCAGAGACCACCCACGGATGAGTTAGAGGGGGCCGATTTCACTTCCACGGTCCAGCACATCCACGATGTCTACAACTTCATCCATATGAACTGTCCCCAGAGCAGCCTGAGGGAGCTGTTCCATCGCACCCCTGCTGTCTTCATCGAGTACAACAGGTAGATCCTCAGAACCTTTCAGCTTCACGTCCACGTTTGGCCAATTGAGGCCATAAATCCACCCTTTCCCCCAGGCGAGATGGGGGGTGGTGCTCGGGACGTTTCTACCACCTGAAGGAGGTGTGCTGGAGCGACCCGACGGCCGTGTTCCAGCGCTACAGACAGCTGAGTGTCCAGCAGCCCATAGTCCTGGTTCCCTTCTACAACCCGCTGGACGGGATGAAAGCCTTCTTCACCAGAGTAACCACCTGATCCACAGTATTTCCCCACCAGGGACACGCCCTCATCTACACCGCTAACAGTCACAGAGAGATCTGCTCGCTGTGAATGGCTCCCTATCAGGGTGTAAAAATAGCTATTTTTATATCTGACAAAGTAGCTTTTATAAATCTAACCAATTATTAGAGATTCGGCTTCAACACAGTTCATGTGCTTGTTACGTGAGGGATCTTTGACCCCACAAGCTAGTGAGATCTGGACGTGCTCCCTGTTTACTCGATGACACAGAATATTGTTCTTTCTATTCGGATATCCTCACGGTTCAGATGGCAGAGTTTAGGATGAAGGCTGCTCTGGCCGCTCTGTTGATGAACTGCACCATAACTAATGGACACACGTCTCTTGTGTGTAGCTGCTGAATGTAGATCTCAGTCCTACTATGAAGCAGTATGTCGGCTTGTTGGAGGTGATCTGTTCGTCATCGCCTTTACCGACGGCTGAGTTGCTGCAGGACGTGTCCGTGCTCTATGCCAAACTCGGTGAGCACATTTACATTTCCAGTCTTTTCTTCCATCTAGTGGCTCAGATACGTCGTTCCGTATGTCCAGACTTGGTTATTAGAGGCTCAGCAACGTGTTACATCCTCCTTCCGATCTCTGACTCTGGGGCTGTGCGTTGTAATGCAATGTTATGTTATTCTCTCTTTTCAACAGCTCAAAAGTGTAAAACAATATTCAGTGAGCAGGAAAACATCCCCCAGTCCAAACTCGATCCCAGCTACTGCTCCACGCTGAAGGGTAATGAACCCGCCTTCTTCTTTGATCTTTGTCTGTTCCTATTGGCTTCACTATTTACCGCAATGTATTAAATCCACCATCTGCCGGCGCAGCACATGATCAGGGTTTAGAATTACTGTGAGTTTCATGGTTTATTAAGAGGAGTCATAAATAGCTGCTGCGCCACCTCTGGGTATCCACATGACTTGAAGAGTTGCTTCATTGAGCTGATATATTCTCCATTTGACACCCAGCTTTTAGTAAGACAAAATGGATCAGTATGATTATCTGATACTAATACATTTAATCTGAGCTGACCGATATCTAATATTTGAGAGTCCACCTTTAATTCCCCCGTTTTGTTGCACCGTTGTGTTTATTAGGTTATTTAGTTGAAACTGTTGACTGTTTACCTTTAATTTAAATAACTTAAGTAACTAGTCACGGTCCATTTAGGGTTCAAGAGCAGAGAAGTTTGTAACTCTGCTTCCTGGTCTGAACTTCAGATTCTTAGAAATAAGTTCAGCTCCACTCAAAGTGGGATCAGACCAGGCTCGCCCCAAAGCGAAGCCCACGTTATTTACTGGGCACCACCTCCACAACCACACGGCATCAAAATAACTGATGGTAATTGGGTTGGCATGGCTACATGGCTACATGGCTACATGGCTACATGGCCCACGTTGAGCTGCTCGGCGGCAGCACAGCGTTCCCTCTGCGTGGGACGGCTTCCATGCAGAGAAGGTTTCCTCCCCAATGATGTTATTCTTCCTGTTAAAGGTCTTAAGAGGATCCTCAGCACATTTGAAGTTGATTCCATAATGTCTGCAGGAGGTGTTTGTTAAAGTTTTTTGGTCCATATCTTCTAAGAACAATGAGATTTTCCATTATTTTTATACATAGCACAGCATAAATGAGTTTTTCACAAAATTATAATTGGTGAACCATTTTGCTATTAAGAGCTTACAGTTCTCATAGACTTTGTTATAGTGCAGATGGAGCTGCGTAGATGTTTTCTAATAGGTCAATCTGACAGGTTAAGCCATTCAAAGTAGGGTCGGTCGCTATTGGGCCATTTTTATTTTCCAAATCCGATGACCCTAAAATATCAAATGTTTCACTAGTCCTGATGTGTATGTGAAATGTGGGTAGTTTGGGGATACGATAAGGCCCCCAAAAAGGCAATTATTTACAGAATAAGAACTGCGGACGAGGTTGTCCTTTGCTCGGGCCTAATTAGGGAATAAACGCAGTGTGGAGAGTGACGGAGAAAGCCTCCATGCGTTTGGGGAATAATGTGAGTGCAAACATAACTTTGTTACCAGGGCTTTGTCTTCATGAAGCAGCAGTAGGTGATTAGAGATGAAGGGCCTCCACTGACACTGGCTCTCATGTTCAGGTATGGTGTCTGATAAGAGGGTCTTCCCCACCAAGGATAACAGCTGGGTGACTCTGGCACACAAACCCATGATTGCTGACAGCAAAGAGGTTGAAAAGATCTTCAAACCTCACAAGCAGATCTGTCTGCTCAACCTGCCGCCAGCAGGGAAGAAGGCCCCTCCCAGGACCAAGACCGGGAACTCTGGTACGTAACTGCCGCTGTTTGAACAAAATAGTTGATTTTCTGTTTGTCAGAGATCACTCTTCACTACAGCCAATGAGAAGAGCGGCCCGCACTACACACATGGAACCCGAGTTAAAATGACGATCCTGACTATCCTGCCAGGTCCGACCACGCTGGGAGAACCAAACACCGTACCTGCCTTCAACGAGATGGACAGATCTTTGTTTCTGGAGATCTGCGGGATCCGTCAGCTGTCCCAGTGTGTCAAAAGTGTGCCTCAGACTGAGAACCTGAGACCTTGTCCGTCCATGCAGGCCATGGTGCACTCTGTGGTTCCTTACATCCAGAAGTTCCTGTACCACCACAACGAGCTGACTGAAGTATACCCAGAGCTCATTAACAACAACATCGGAGAGAAAATCAAGCGACTTCACTTCGGACAGGTGAACAATCTCATGTAGTTTGTTTAGAGCCCTTTTTGAAACCTGGAGGAATCGTATTACTAAAAGCATAGCGATGAGACTGAGGCGTGTTGGGAGTCTGCGACCATTTCCTGAGCTCTTTTCAACGTCTTCGTACCTGTTTACAGGTGGGTAAGCTTTACATCCGCTACCAGCTGGATGTGGCGGATAATGAGGATGCACTGGTGGAAGTGCAGGATGTTATCTGTCTGCTGAAGGATGACAAGGAACTCTACATTCAGAAAGATCACCTTTCAGCAAAGCTGGACATCTGCAGGTCTGTGTGATGAATTGATGCTAAAACACCAACTTCTGTCCTGTATTTCCTCCTTTCTATTTGTGTGTTTGTCCATTGAATCAGGAAATGATCGCTGTAGACAAGAAACGTTTCCCCCGATGCGACACATACAGATTAAAGTTATCTTCATTGTCTTAATGTATCTGCTGATAGGTCAGTTTAGTTTTTCCCGTCTCATAATGGGTGTCAGGTTGCATTGAAACCTCTTTGGTCCGCGTGCTGAGTGTTTCAGGTATCAGCTGCCAAATGCATCTTGAATCCACTGCAGACTCTTTATCTGCTTCATGTGCCATGGAATAACCAGGACACAGAGCACACCTGGCTGTGAGACTGCTAACGGTTGTCGGGAGCCTTGTGCTCCTCGTAGGGTTTCCTTGGCAAAGTGGTCTCAGGCGAGGGGCCAGACTAAGAAGCGTTATCAGTTGGATCTGGTGGGGCTTACCTCTACGCACAGCCTCGGCTCTGGTACCACACTCCTGGATAGGGGATGGACTCTATTCTCTGGAGTCCATCCCCTATCCTGGACTCTACTCCGGAGTGGCCCATGGTGTGAGGCGCCAGGCGGGTGTGGGGATACTCATAAGTCCCCGGCTGAGTGCTGCTACATTGGAGTTTACCCCGGTGGACAAAAGGGTCGCCTCCCTACGCCTTCGGGGGGTGGGGGGGAAAACTCTGACTGTTGTCTGTGCATATGCACCAAACAGCAGCTCAGAGTATTCAGCCTTTTTGGAGACCCTGATTGGGGTCCTGCATGGGGCAAGTTTCCCCAGCTTCACGTCCACTTCCTGTCAGACAGGAAGTCAGTGATCCACTTGCAGGTGGAGTCGGGCACCTGCAGCTGAGAGAGTTTGTAGAGAACCTTTTAATAGAACCTGTTTTTATAACTGATATTATTGCGATCAACAATAAATTCAACATAAACCAAAAGGCCCTTTGATCAGTCCATCTCCTACTGCCATGTGCGTTACATTTGCATGTTGTGCTGGTACATAACTTATCTGGTGTGTACGTGTGTTTCAGGGAGCTGGTGAAACTCTTCTGCACAGAGAGCAGCCACAGAAAAGAGCTGATGCGTTTCCTCAGTGGCCTGATAACGACTCTCAATGTAAGCGGTCTGTGAGAGGGGAACGATGACTGTTGATTAGGGGCCGTGGAGAGAACTGCTGTCCTTCAATCAGATGATCGGTGGTTCGATCCCCGGCTCCACTAACCAACATCTCTGTGTGTCCTTGTGCAAGGCACTTAGCTCCTAGCTGCTGATGGGCATATATTCTAAATACAATGAGAGAGTAACAAGCTTTTGATCATTTGGGATGCTCTTTACAATAACGATCCACACAATGTTTGGCAATTTTCAGGCACAATGTATAAGAGGAGGTTGCAAAAATGCTTTTTTCATAAGATTTAAAAGGAGCTGGAGCTCAGGGTTCAGGACAGAAGTTACATTTGTCTGTAAAATGTCAAGTGTCAATAGGACATACAGGCTGAGGGGGCTTGCCTTTCCCACTTGGGTCATACTTGACAAAACATCCCATTTTTAGTCCGATTTGGGCGGTTTGGGGTTATGATATGAAGGCCCCCAAAAGGCAAATCAATTATCCGAATAATAATAACAAGAAGCAAACGTTCATACAGATCAGCAGGCCCTAATAAGCCGATCATCTGTGCAGGACCACGAGTCTCTGATGAGATTCCTGGCCAAGGAGGACGTCAGAGAGCTGCCAAGTGAGGAGGAGCTGTGGAAGGTCCCAGAGCCCCCCAAAGCAGAGATGAACCTGGAGAGAGGTAAAGAGCCTCTGAACTCCCACGTGTTTCCCTCTCGTGGACCCAATACAACATGTACAACATCAGTAGAATGAAGGGAACGGGGGCTCTGCTGGTCACACAGCCTCCAGATTCCTGCTGGCCGCGCGGCGTGGGGAGGAGTATGAATGTTAGTTGTTTGTGACGGACAGGTGGCCCTTGTAATCAGAATAGGTATGAATGGGCGACTAATGACATGGAGTGTTTTAACTACGCACGGTAGCTGGTTGATTAAATAGTGTATGTGGGAGGAACAACTTTCAGCAGCGGAGTAATATGTTTGATTTAATACATTGATTCTGTTTTTTGGGGCTGGACCATCCTCATTAATAGTGTTACAGTGTACAGCTGGTTAATACATAATCAGCTTGATGCAGAACGTCAGCATGTAACTCAGAATCTAGCGCTGCTTGTTCTTTATCCGTGTTTGTGCACTTTCTCCCATTTTTGTACACACACGCACACTCACAGACATGCAGGGATCAATACGACGCTTTGGGCACAAATCAGTCTTTACAAATCACTTCTGCCATCGGTTTTTGACTCTTTTAAAACATTGTGCTTCAGGGTTATCAAGGAGTTACTCCTCCATCAGCTCCCCAGAGGAGCCTGCTCGCCCTGCACATGAGGACGGGGAGCAGACATTGGTTTGCTGGCCTCCTCGAGCATCCATGCTGAGTCCGGGAGCCAGTCGCACTGGTCAGTGAGAAGGATACGCTTGTTTCTGCACGACAACTCTTCAACGTAGCAAACCCTGTTTCTTATTCCCCACAACATCTCTGGACCAACAGGTCAGCCAGGGAGCGCGGTGGTGGAAGCCGTCATGAAGCTGTGGCCACCTCCAGCTGGGCCCGAATACCGAGACCCAGATAAGGATGGCCATGCCATCCCCAGGAGTCCCAGCAGCAGCAGCAGCTACGAGGGGAACCAGCCGCTCGAGGGCAGCAGGAGACCCACAGACCCCCATCGCCCTGCCCCTGGGACCACCAACACTCCTCCATCTCCAGGTCAAACATGCTTCCTCTTCAGCCAATTCTTACTCTACAACAAGGACGTCTGCCCACTGAGGCCCATTCTGGCTTCCTCATAATACAGAATATCCCAGTTTATGCCACGTCCAACCCTTTCGCTGTTGTGTCTGACAGAGCTCCGACAACAGAGTGACAGCACCAAGTTTGACAGAGCTCCAAATGACCAGAAATGCCTTCCAGCTCCCGGAGCCATACAGGGTCCTCCATCCGCACAGCCCGCCGAGACCGCCATCGACCAGCCCGCTCCAAACGACCTGTAAGCTTCTTCTCCTTGCCCCCCCAAAAATCCAAGAGATTGATGTAGAAAACTACTGCTCATTGATACATAATCTCAAACCTGCTACCTTTTCCTCTCCTTTGTCATCAGCGGCGCCCCTGAGGCTGTGGTGGTTTCCAGTATGTTTAAGGGTGGTGCAGAAACCCAGCGTCCTCCTATCAACCTGGACTTCCCTCCCTGGAACAAAGGGCAGCCTCTGCCCACGCTGGAGGACATGGAGCTGACTTGCCAGAGACCCACCACGGTCAGTACATACCACACATGGGGTGTTTCCTCGGGCTCGGTCTTTGCCAGGATCTTCTAAGTTGTATTGTGCTTGAGCAGGTGGAGTTATCAGACGACCTGATGGACATGGCAGTGATCGGTGAGTGGGGGGAGCAGCTGGTCAACTTCTACCTGTGCCACTGGAGAGACGGTGGAGACCTTGGACGACCCACAGACGTCGTGTGGTGCAACCAGAGTGGAGAGAGCGGCCAGCCCTACGACTTTAAGTTGACCTTTGGACTGGCAGGAGGGCCGGGGATTGTGTACGTGGAAGTCAAGTCTACAATAAAGAAGGAAAAGTCCTTCATCCACCTCTCTGCTAACGAGCTGGACTTTGCACTGAAAGAGAAGGAGCGTTATCACGTATTCAGAGTTTACAGTGCAGGAGACGCCCAGAATGTCCGCTTATGTCGCATTCAGAACCTGGCGCAGCATCTCCACACCAAGGACTTGGCACTTTACCTGTTTGTATAAGTCCTTTATACCTTTTGTGGAGGTGTTTGCAGCATAGAAACTCACACATGAAAGATGAGCCAACAGTATATTCTGCTTTGAATGCTATTTTTATTGACTTTGACTGCACTGATTTTAGCTTTTTCTATGTCCAGCCAATATGTTATTTTTTCTGCTGATCTGAAAAAAGTGGCACTCCTTTTCAATGATTGAGTTGATTATATAGTTGTTGTTATTGAAACTAAACAGCTGTTTTTTATCTGGTATTTGTACAATTAACATAGAAGACATTCTGGATATCTCTTGACCTTTTTTGATTACTCCTACCTCACCTTTCAGCATTCCTTCTAAATAAAATCCTTCTTTTAGTTGAATGAGACTTAAAGACTCATGGTAGTGAAACATCCTGTTTTTATTTCTCGGATAAATAATAGTAAATCATTAGTAAGGACGGATTGTGTCACCTCAACTTCACCGACGCACAGGACGATTACAGCGGGAATATAGAGGTTCAGTTAACCAAGAGAAAAGAATCTGCCGTAGTTTGGCCGGACAGTCTTAAGCCTATAAGCAGGCATGTTATGAACGTGTCGTTGGACGTGTACCACCGTCACGTGTGTCCTTTGTGTTGCAGCTGTATGTGATTGGCTGCACATTGAAATGTAGGTTGATCACCTCGAGATTCCTTTCCGCTGAACATTTCTGACTCGAATGTGAAATCCCTCACTGACCAATCCCTACTCACTCAATACTACAGCTCATTCAATGATCACACCTGATGACATCATCATCCTCCTGTAGCTAATACACTCTCATCACAACACACCTTCAATCATCACCGTTCATGACATCACACACCAGTTTATATGGTCTAATTGATAAACATGGGAAGGCCTTAACTTTACATAGCGGCTGGATGTCATGTGTGCAGTAATTAAATGAGATAACGATTGTGTTTAATTCATATTGCAGTTATTAACCTAACATACTAATATTCAATTTGTTTTATTTAATATAACTAATATGTAATAAACAGATAAAGTAGAAATCAAACTAGTCATGATCACACATTTTAATTTCTACTGATAGGTGTGTTCTTCTGCTAAATCACTAACATACTGAAGTGTGTTTGACTGTCGTTGTTCTATGGTCTATTGTGACCTCTGTCTCCAGTTACTGGTGTGAGGTTGTGTCTTACATTATATTCAAGTGGATTTCAGGGTAGAAGGCTATTGCTCTCCGTCTGCTTGACTCTATTCCTATATTCTATTCCGTTAGCTGCTAATCTCTTCAAACCAGGCTCAACAGGACTGTGTTTCCTAGGTGGACGTTTTCCTGGTCTAACGAGTCTTGGTCTATTGTGACTATTTTGCATTTCCAAAAGAAAAGGTCTTAAGGTTTGTGACAAAGTGGGAGACAACTCACCTTTGTCCCCATGTTGATGTGTGTTGGATGCTTGCCATGCTCGGCAGGTGTGCTGGAGGCTAGACTGGAGGGCAGGCAGTGAGGCCTGGTGTTTGTGCAGGGGATGATGTCAGCAGTGACATCATCGGGTCGGACCAGGTATACGGGGGGGGGGGGTGTCATAATGGGTGTCACCTGTGCACATGGTGCAACCTGGGGCGGGTTGATTGACGGCGCTATAAAGATGGAGGACGTTGACAGTTGACTGGAAAATGGTGGAATATCTGTGTAGCCGTCACATGTCAGATGAGGTTATGTTAAGTTTATTCAGTTAATGAATTAGGTTTTGTTTGGTTTGGTTTATCTGTTTAATCAGACCGGTATCAGGAAACTTCCTTTTTTTACCTGGACCAAGTCTCGCTCGCCTGCCTCCTAATTCCAGGATTCCCTCGGTTGTGACATCCTCACATGGTTGACTCGTCAAGCCAACGTCATTTTGGATTTTGCCGTCTAACTTGACCAGTCAAGCAGACACCAGTTCTTAATCCCATCCAAAGTTCACCAGTCAATCCTGACAAATCTGGTTTCCCGGTCCGAGGAAAAGGAGTTCCGAGGGGTTGCCACCAGCTGCAGTAGCTGTGTCTCATTTGGTTGGCTGCATCCTCCTGAGACTACATTCGTTGACTGACTGCATCACTTTGGCTGCGACGCGGCTGTTCCATTCAGTCGGCTCCTTTGGATGTGATTGGTGAACGCAGCCCTCCAGCAATCCACTTTAATCTCTTAACTTTCACGCTTTAGAGGTTGACTAAGGTCTTACTGAGGTTGCAACGGTTTTATAAGATATTCATATTATGAACAGAAATGGATCAACTTAAAGAATAAATACGTTTTGGCAAATAAAACCCTTCTGTTATCTGGACAAGGTCTTGCTTGTTTGCCTCCTGCCAATTCCAGCAGCACACTGCTCCCACTGTGTGGGATGGGTTAAATGCAGAGAAGCATTTTGAGATTAGGAGTTGAATTGTCTTATTAAGTCTGTGTAGGTATATGGATAACCATCTGATACTAGCCCAGAGAGAAGCATATTCATCTAATTATACCTTACAATAGCCAGTATCATTTTATTCCATGTTTCCATCCAGGCAAATTGGTGGATCCAAATGTTATAAAAAAACATCTTTCAAAATAATGTGTGTGGGTAGTTTTCCAAGTAGGCCACTGACTGGTCGAAATGTGCGATGCTTTAAAGTGCAGTGTATTGAGTGGGCCGGTCTGACAGTAACTCCCAGCCCACTTTGTACTCCCAGTCCGCCCCTGCACCCAGGAAATCCTCTCCAGTACGCCAGACTGTCTCAATTCGGCAATTCTATGTGGTCGCCGAAGGACCGAGCCCACGTCCTCCCCAAAGGCTGGGTTCTCTGGAGCAGGGGTACCCAACCTTTTTGGCCTCATGGACCAGTTCCATGCTAGAAAACATCTTGCGCACCGGTCTTGAAGGTGCGGCGGACACGCCGAAACAACCGGTCGACTGGGGGGGGATAGAGTCGCTGCGCATGGCTTAGCTGGCGCTTGGGAAATGGGTCAATCAGGACAAGCATCTGTAATTGGGAGAGAATCCGGCCGTGTTTCAAAACTAAATGTTTTTCATAGTGGCCTGGTGGCTGGGTACCCCTCCTCCGGAGGATGCCGCCGCCGAAATGAGACGCAGCTATAGTCTGTTCTGCGATCTCACTTGACCGCGACTGTACTGTTCTGCCAGCTAACATGACCTCAACAATCTTGTCTGCGGGCTTATTTGACAATAGCCTATCCTTGCCTGCGGTCTAACTAGACCACGAGCTATCCCATCCTGTGGTCCGTCGGGAGCCTCTCTTTGTTCAAATCCCACTATATCTTGGGGGTCTCTTGTGGATCCTTGTTTTTGCTCGATTAAGACCCTACTCTATCCTTTGCTGGTTTAACTTGACCTCAATCATAACTGTTGTGTCACCCTAATAAGCTATTTAACATCAGCTTGTGATGACTTTCCTCTCATCGGCTGTAGGTAAAGTATCTATCTTATTCATTCCAATAAAATACATCTGATCTCTGCATCCCAAATACTATGCACTATTTATATTTATGGATGTTTAATAAATTACTTTTAATTCAAAGAAAGAAAAAAAAATCTTTTCTTCAGATTCACCAATGATAATTTTATAGTTCATTCAATGTGCAATATTCACTATTAGGAATGGCCGTTTGCAAGCTTAATATTAATCTTATAAAATGATCATAATATAGCATTATAAACAAATAATTGTGATACATTTCAAATCAAAGTCACTAAATGATTTGCAGTTGTTGCTGATAATGGCAGCGAAATAAGACATATGGCCTGACAGTGAAGCACAAAGGATTTCATCTCTGCATCACGGGGATATTACCGACTACCCGTGAACGCAGCATAGTCTGTACGGAGACAGCGAGCGGAGGCGCCTCCCGGCGGAGCGGCGCGATTGGCCAAGGCGGAAAAAAGGGGGCGGGCTCCTTTCTCCCCAGTCCTGTCGCTCCTGTCCTGCGCCGCTTCCCCCTCTCATCCCTCTCCTCCCATTACAGGGACCGAGCCATGCGGGGATAATAGCACGCAGAGCCGGAAGAGTCTGCAGGATGCTCCGCGCCACATCCACTGTCACACGGCTGCCCGCAGGCCTCCCCCGGCTCTAGTACGCGCTCACCCCGCCTGGCCCAGGTGTAGCATCCCGTAGACAGACCTCTCGGCCTGGTGAGTAGCACGACGCCGGATCGACACCCGATCCTCCCTCACCGGTATCCCGGTTTCCCCGCACGTCACTCTGGTCCACAGCAGGCAGCGCATCGCGCCGCGGGCTCTTCGGTGCGTGGTGGATTGGGCCCGGACACAATGCTGTGGTGCTTGATGGCGGTTCTCCTCCCATCGACCTCCAGTAAGCACCAACCGCCGGCTTCGGGTTTGTTCTCGATGGTTCTGTAGATCACCACGCAGCCTCACGGGCCGCCCCCGTCCTGTGTATCGTGGGACAGCCCGATTCCTGCAGACCTGCGTGCGTGCGTGTGCGTGCGTGTTTGTGTGTCATCCGTTTGTGTTTGTGTGTTTGTTTTCCTGCCACGTTCCATAATAAGGGAGAGTGATTGTCCAAGCAGTCGGTGCATTGTGAGGACGCTGCAGGGGGGAGGTGAACGTGACGCAGCCCCCCAGCTCAAGCTGAGGATGTCTGCAGAATCCCGGCTTCCATCCTCCCTTCTGGTTGTCGCTGCTCACTGTGGTTTCTGTGCCTAATGAGAATGAGTGTTTGCACCCAGTAAGGTGCATTGCAATCACCCAGAAAACCTCCTGCAGATGAAACGTGTGATGCGTGAACCATTTCGTTCATCCTCTTTTGCGTTGTGTTTTTATGATCCTGATGTCTGTGTGTGTCAGCATGTGTTTGTGCTCACACATGTTACACTTCAGCGTGATGAGTAAAAGCTCACAGTGTAGGTGCTCGCCAGCGGCAGCAGTGGTGACTTGTGCTGATGTTGCTTGTATATGGATGAGCAAATCAACTGGATCGCAGTCCATCTCTGTACACACATTCACTTAGTTGCCTCTAATTCTGGTCCAAAAGATCCAGTAGATCACAGTAGATCAAGTGTTTTTATTTTAGCTTATGTTCAAGGGCGTATCCATGGTTTAGACATTGGGGGGTCCAAATGAATACCATTCCCCATATTATTTTTTTTGTTACGTGCATGGCCTATAATTCCATATTTATATATGAAAATTCGCACATTTAAAACATAGTTTCGAGGACTACATTGACCATTTAAATTCACATCTAAAGGAATAGTGTAACAGTGACTGAGTTGCTTACTATTTACTGACCTTAAACACACCTACCAATTACAATTTATGCTTTTCCAGTAGTACTGTAGCAAATAGGATCGCTTTCAATGGAAAAGAAAGCCCACTTACTCAGCTACATACTTACAATGACTGTCTATGTGCAATACTAAATTGCATTAAATTTCACATTAATTTCTCACCTGATCATCTGCATGTCCAGAGCTTGTCCCTGTCTCTTTCCCTGTCTCTCTGTGATGCCGCACTGTGACCACATGCCATTTTATCAGAAAAACAGCGACTCGTGCTCTTATGAGGCTACTCGTTTTATTGGCTTACACATTTACCTCGGTATCAAGTTACTTACTGTTTGAAAAAAACGTGAATGCTCGGCTGCTGGCACAGTTTTCTCTACCCTAAAGGTGTCAAACTGATTTCAGGTTTGCGCCAGATACTGCCGACTTCGACCGAACACGGGCCAAACCATTAAATGATAGGGAAGGGTGGGGGTGACGATCCGACCGGCGAACGGCACAGCCGACGGGGGGTCGATACGGTCGATATATGTACATAGATATATATATATGTTACATATTTTCTGCTGTATATTGGGGGGGACAGATTGGTACCTTTTCAATATTGGTGGACACACAACCCCCCCAAAGAATGCGTGGTTACGCCTATGCTTATGTTAGTAAAACTAGGACCGTTGTTGTTGGAATGAGATGGCGAGGCTGTGGTCGTCAGTGAATCTGTAGTCGGCGGCAGGCGTCACAGCGGAGTGGGCGGAGCCGAATCTTCTGAGAACAGCCGTTGTTTGTACGACAGGTCAGCTGCCGTAAATCAATTTTATGATTTTAGCAGACCCCTGAGAATAAAGACATCCACGACCGGTAAATCCCTGGAGGTGTGAAATCATCAACTTGTTGATTAGAAGTTGAACGCGGTTTTAGGCTTTAAAAGATTTCCGATTTCAGTAAGGTAATCAGTAAGCTAATGTTCAGGGTCGGTTACAGACGGAGGTAGTCTGAATATCTTTTTAAAATGTCCATCCATCCATCTTCAGCCGCTTATCCGGGGTCGGGTCGCGGGGGAAACAGCTCCAGCAGGGGACCCCAAACTTCCCTTTCCCACATCTACCAGCTCTGACTGGGGGATCCCAAGGCGTTCCCAGGCCAGTGCAGAGATATAATCTCTCCACCTGGTCCTGGGTCTTCCCCGGGGGCCTCTTCCTAGCTGGCCGTGCCTGGAACACCTCCCTAGGGAGGCGCCCAGGGGGCATCCTCACCAGATGCCCAAACCACCTCAACTGGCTCCTTTCGACGCAAAGGAGCAGCGGCTCTACTCCGAGCTCCTCGCGAATGGCTGAGCTTCTCACCCTATCCCTAAGGGAGACGCCAGCCACTCTCCTGAGGAAACCCATTTCGGCCGCTTGTACCCGTGACCTAGTTCTTTCGGTCATGGCCCATCCTTCATGACCATAGGTGAGGGTAGGAACGAAGACTGACCGGTAGATCGAGAGCTTTGCCTTCCGGTTCTCTTTTCGTCACAACGGTGCGGTAAAGCGAGTGCAATACCGCCCCCGTGACGTGCAATGAGTTCAAGTACCCGGAGGTACTTGAACTCATTCAAGTTCAAGTTCAATTTTATTTATATAGCATGTTTGAAAACAGCCTCGGTTGAAGTGCTTAACAAGCTTGAAAAGCAGCGAGACAATAAAACACAGACAGAACAGTAGAGAAAGAATAAAATCTACAATCAAAGCTCAACTTGAATTAAAAGCCAATGAATAATAGTGGGTCTTAAGGAGGGACTTGAACGTTGCAATGGTCCGAGCTGTTCTTACATGGATAGGTAAACCATTCCAGAGGTTTGGAGCAGCCACTGAAAAGGCTCGGTCACCTCTGGATTTTAACCGGGATCCAGGCACATCGAGGAGCATCTGATTAGACGACCTCAGTGCTTTGATAGGTGTGTGGACATGTAAGAGCTCCAACAAGTAGGAAGGCGACAACCCATTTAAAATTTGAAAAACAATTAATACAATTTTAAATTCGTAGGGGAGGCGACCCTTTTGTCCACCGGGGTAAACTCCAAAGTAGCAGCACTCAGCCGGGGACTTATGAGTATTCCCACACCCGCCTGGTGCCTCACACCATAGGCCACTCCCGAGTAGAATAGAGTCCATCCCTTATCCAGGAGTGTGGTACCAGAGCCGAGGCTGTGCGTAGAGGTAAGCCCCACCAGATCCAACTGATAACGCTCCAACTCCCGCACAAGCTCCGGCTACTTCCCCCGGAGAGAGGTTATGTTCCACGTCCCCAGAGCCAGCATCTGCCGCCCAGGTCTGTTCCGTCTAGACCCCCCACTGTCACTGCCACCCTTGTAGCAGCGCACCCAACCCCATTGGTTTTCCCCACAGTGGTGAGTCCATGGGGAGGGTTGGGCTGCCGCGTCACTCCTTCGGGCTGTGCCCGGCCAGGCTCCACGGCAAGCCCGGCGACCACACGCTCGCTGTTGGGCCCTCCATCTGGGCCTGCCTCCAAATGGGGGCCCGGTGCTTCCTCCGGGCCGGGTAACTCCTTCCCTCTTCCGTTTTTTCATAGGGTCTTTTGAATCATTCTTAGTCTGGCCCCTCGCGTGAGACCACTTTGCCAAGGGTAACCCTACCAGGAGCACAAGGCTCCCGACAACACAGGCCTCAGGGTCATAGGGACACACAAACCTCTCCACCATGATAAGGTGATGGTTCCCCAGAGAGGAAAATGTGTAAACTGTAAATACTAATCTACCACAGCGGGGATTGAAGTTGCTGCAAGGTCAGTTTGTGCTGTTGTCTCGTGATGCAGCACACACACCTGCTCCTACTGAAGTGCCCAGCGTCCCTCGCCGCTCAAAGCCCCTCTCATCCTCTCATCCTCTGTCAGTATTCAGTCACTCCCCCGTTAACGCACGGTGACACACACAGGATATTTATATCCATCCGTCGCCTCTGATTATGCCGGCTCTCTGTAAACAGCGGGACAACATAGCATGCAGTGGCTTTAGTTGTGTTCGCTCCTCACAGTAGACGGGAATGTGTGATTTTGGGCTGGTGGCCCCTCGTTGCTGTTTCCACAGTTAAACCTGGTGCACAGAGCGTCGCTGTAGAGAGCAAAGCACGGCTGGGTTGAAAGGAGCATTGTGTATTCTGTGTTTCCACTGAAAGCCTGTGGAAGTGTACAAGTGAGGTCATTCTTAGAGGACGGGCGGTTTGATGGCCACTATGTGTCCTTGGACGAGACGCTCAACTCCAACTTGCTTCAACAGCCTGTTTTTTTGCTGTAAGAAGATTATAAATGTGAGTGAGTCGTGATGGGCAGTCACATGGCAGCACGTGGACGTGCAGCGTTAACAAGCTAGAGAAGTGCTACACGAGTACAGTCCATTAACAGTTATTTTGAATCCTAAATGAATCTATTGTTTTGATAATCAGTTATATTTGCTTAGTTTATATAATGTCCTTTAGAGTGAAAGTTGCCATCGCAATTGACCACATCACAAAAAATGCTTTTGTCCAACCACGGAAACATAATCAAAGTAGTTTCCTAAGCGAAAACACATAGCAGAAATACAGAAAATCGACTCTGCATAAAGGTTCCGAGCGAGTTGTACGTCGTTACACAGCTTCATTTTTGTCACTGCGACCTTCCTACTTAATATTATTAACTCCAAAAAACGAATTGTCTTAGTTCCAAATTTGATGCTAATGCAAATGTTAGCTGTTGCGGCTAGCCCCGTGTTTGAAAGGGCAAACAAGCTACGTTAAGCTAACTGGTAAATGGACGACTCCAAGCTCTTTAACTGTCATGTCATCGTTCACCCGTTCACACAGTGATGACAGGAGCCACCATGCACAACATTCACTCCCTGCACACACCGTAGTCCAGTGGTTCCCAAACTCTTTCCGTCAGGGAGCCCTTCGACAATATAGGGACCCCCAAATCTCCCCCGAGCAAAATAAAATAGGGATCGTTCCTTTTTTGAAAAGAAATGTTTTTATTCATAAAATAAGTACATATCACTTTACTTTTCCACTAACAGTCTTTTTTAACATGTTGTATACATATTTTCAAGTACCCTCTCTCTCGTCCCCTGAGCCGCTCTGGTTCCAGCACCAACGCACGTCACGGATCATGTCGGTTTGCACGTCACGGATCATGTCGGTTTGCACGTCACGGATCATGTCGGTTTGCACGTCACGGATCATGTCGGTTTGCACGTCACGGATCATGTCGGTTTGCACGTCACGGATAATGTCGATTTCTCTTTAATTTTTTTTTATTTTTACCTACCGGCACCCCCTGTCAGCACACCAAGCCCCCCCTGGGGGTTGGGATTTTTTGACATTAAAACCAATTAATACATCTCTAATGATTGATGAAGTGATGCTATCACAAAAGAATGGGAAGCCTCAACAGCGTCTTTCCCATTTGAATTGCTGCATATGTGCTTCTGCAACACTACTGTAGTTGGTATCGTGGGGCAGAGTCACTGCAGGCCGACATACACTCACCTCTTAAAGCTGTTATGGACAACAGGAGTCTTTAATAGTCAAATAGTCGTATTGTGATCATGAACATAAAAGGCATTAAAAAAGGCAAATGTCAAAATATGAAATCTGATTGCGATAGAAAGGCCCATTATGTTTTTGACACCTAAGAGAGAGTGGATTCTCTAAACTGGCATAACCTCATCAAATAAAATGATTCTTCTGTATATCACATGTGTGCTGCCATTTATTACCCAAGCTGACTCATCCTGCTCTTCCTGTCCGCCTCACACAACAAATGTCACACAAAGGAACTAAAAGCCTCTGTGTGTGTGTGTGTGTGTGTGTGTGTGTGTGTGTGTGTGTGTCGTTGGCTCTTGACTTGAAAGCTGGTGATTGAGTAGTGTTTGGAGGGTCACACTGTGGAACAGATGTGTAACAGCATCAGCACTCGGGCTGCGACTGATGAGGTTTCACGAGGACACGAGGACACGAGGACAGCAGGACGCATATTGAGAAAGTGTCCCTCGTCTCCGGCCGGTGCTTTGAATGTGTGTTTTGGTTTGCTCGTGTCCTGAGCCGCGTTTTGCCTTCAGGCATTTTTGATTTGAACTTGAAAGTATTTTTTATATTTGTATGTATTTTAATAATAAGGAAAAGAAAAAAAATGACCTTAAAAAGAATGTGTTTTCTCTCTGTTTACAGTTACACAAGCTGTTAGCTGCTGCTGTTCTTGTCCCACCTGAGCATCCGTCCCCAAGCTTCTTCTCCCGGTTCGTCCCCTAAAACTGTCCCTGACATGAGTTCCCCCCCACTGGGGTCTCGAGGCAGCATGGACATCCTGGACGAGCTGCAGCTGATCGCAGCCCAGAACCTGGAGAAGCTGGAGGTCAACAAGTACTACGAGGTGATCAGAGAGCTGGGCAAAGGCACCTACGGGAAGGTGGATCTGGTCATCCACAAGATCCGAGGTGAGAGGACATGTCAACACACAAACAATATCCTGCTGCTCTAAATAGCAAAGAACGAGGACTATACAGTTATTTTTCGTACATTTTGCCCATCAGGTACAAAAATGGCCCTGAAGTTCCTAAAGAAGAAGTCAACCAAGCTGAAGTCGTTCCTGCGAGAGTACAGCGTCTCCCTGTACCTGTCCCCCTGCCCGTTCATCATCAACATGTTCGGCATCGCCTTCGAGACGGACGACTACTATGTGTTTGCACAGGAGTACGCGCTGGCAGGGGACCTCTTCGACATTATTCCTCCACAGGTGCTGCTCCATCCTACATGATTCTGGTCATTGCTTTTGGCTTTAGAACATAAAATATTGATTTGACAAATCCCTAAAACAGTTGAGTGTTAATTTACATCAGTTCAGCACAGTGGTGCCTGTAAATACAGCCCAGATGGATAAGTGGCAGGTTCCTTTTTCAGAAGGGCATGAAGTGATGGAGCGGCGTGGACCCGCCTCCTCGTCCACATGCAGTGATCTGCATGTCACACGATTCAGCGCTTCAACCTTTTTCTACCAACGTAGATATGATTCATAGCCAATACTGAGCAATACTGCATGTATCCTCTGGGCCTGAACACATAGGGGATACTCACACATACATGACATGGGAGGCGGGTCCATGCCCTACATGCCCTTCTGAAAAGGAGACCTTCCACTTTTTGATGTCGGCAACACTCTGTGTGTCTGTCTGACGTCCCCCTGTCCTCTCCTTCAGGTTGGTCTTCCTGAGACTGTGGCAAAACGCTGCGTGCACCAAGTAGCCATCGCGCTGGACTACCTGCACTGTAAGAAGCTGGTCCACCGGGACATTAAGCCTGAAAACATCCTCATTTTTGACCGAGAGTGCCGCAAGGTCAAGCTGTCAGATTTCGGCATGACGCGCCGAGCTGGCTCACCTGTGAAAAGAGTGAGTAACGTTCGGTGACGTTTGAACTCGGTGATGTTTGCACGGTGGCGTTTACCCTCTGAATCCCCCCCTCCAGGTGAGTGGCACCATCCCCTACACGGCCCCGGAGCTCTGCGATGTGTCCCGCCACGAGGGGTTCTGCGTGGACTACAGCACGGACGTCTGGGCCTTCGGCGTGCTGCTCTTCTGCATGCTGACCGGCAACTTCCCCTGGGAGAAGGCCCTGCCCTCCGACTCCTTCTACCAGGAGTTCATCCGCTGGCAGAGAAGGAGGACCAACGCGGTGCCGTCCCAGTGGAGGCGCTTCACGGAGCAGGCCCTCCGCATGTTCCGCCGCCTGCTCTCCATGGAACAAGACCGCCGCTGCTCTGTCAAGGAAGTCTTCGGTTACTTCAGCCACTCCTGGATGCTGGACACAGAGAAGAACAACAACAACAGCAGCAGCTGCAGCGGTGGAGGTGGTGGAGAGCGGGTTGGCGGTGGAGGAGGTGTGCAGGGAGAGGTGGACAGCACAATCTCGTCTTCCTCATCTGGGGAGGAAGACGAGGACCTTCTTCTGGAGAGGATGAAGCAGCAGACTTTATCTCCTCTATCCCCGCTGTCACCGCCCTCTCCCATGTCTTCGGTAGCCATTGACAGGGGCAGCGGGGTCGGAGGCGGGGCTAAGGGCGGAACGATGGAAGCAAGCAGCGGCCACCATTTTGTGTCGGTCTCCACCAACAGCTCCGTGTCGTCCACTAGCAGTTATGATCGAATGGCGCGAGAGAACAGCTCCCCCGGTGGCCACATGCTGGTGGCCACGCCCATTGAAATCTGCGTCTGAGGTGGTCACGATGTTAACTTCCATCCAACCACGTAGAGAACAAACGTCCTGCTCTCAGCGTCTTTGGGGAGGAAAAGCACACATGGTCACATAACAGGAAGTAGTTCTTGAATGCAAACATTACAGTAGGAAAGTGAGAAGTCCCTTTTACATTTTGATTTGAGTGACGTGCAAATACAGCTTCATGAAGTCCAGCGGGAAATTTAAAAATGCTTCTATTGGAGATACTGTCACTGAAACTATTAGACCAACATTCATCTCTTAAAGCAATAGTTCCAGCGGTGTGTGATCTCTTCAGGACACGACTGTGTGTGATTTCATGTCTAAGTGAAGACGAAGGGCAAAGAATTTGATTTGTATTTGTGAAGAAGACTGACACAGAGCTCCAGAAGATACCATGTAAGGCACCAACAAGGGAGCATTAGTTTTAAGTGTTTTATGTGTAACAAAAATATGAAAGTGTGAGTGTGTTTTTTTACTGTGTAGTAATGTATTACTGTCTTTGAATCCAAAAGAGGTGGATTTGTTTTGCGTTGAGAGTTGTATTTATTCATTTGAATCAAAAAAGACTACACATTATTTTTTCTATTGTTTTTGTACAGCAGCTTGTGTTTTGGTGTTCTGGCGCAGAAATGTTAAAGCCACGGCTGTACATGTTGGTCCAATGACACCGCGTGACGGTCGTCAGTGAATCGGTCGAAAATCTGTGGCAACTCCGTGGCATGCGTCACACCAGCGAGCTGAACTACTCAGTGGCACCATTCTGCTCACTGACGACTCAGTGGCACCTCATTGACGACTCAGTGGCACCATTCTGCTCACTGACGACTCAGTGGCACCATTCTGCTCACTGACGACTCAGTGGCACCATTCTGCTCACTGACTACTCAGTGGCACCATTCTGCTCACTGACGACTCAGTGGCACCATTCTGCTCACTGACGACTCAGTGGCACCATTCTGCTCATTGACGACTCAGTGGCACCATTCTGCTCACTGACGACTCAGTGGCACCATTCTGCTCACTGACGACTCAGTGGCACCTCATTGACTACTATGTGGCACCTTATTGATGACTCAGTGGCACCTTATTGACGACTCAGTGGCACCATTCTGCTCACTGACTACTCAGTGGCACCATTCTGCTCACTGACTACTCAGTGGCACCTCATTGACTACTATGTGGCACCTTATTGATGACTCAGTGGCACCATTCTGCTCACTGACGACTCAGTGGCACCATTCTGCTTATTGACGACTCAGTGGCACCTCATTGACTACTCAGTGGCACCTTATTGACGACTCAGTGGCACCATTCTGCTCACTGACGACTCAGTGGCACCATTCTGCTTATTGACGACTCAGTGGCACCTCATTGACTACTCAGTGGCACCTTATTGACTACTCAGTGGCACCTTATTGACGACTCAGTGGCACCATTCTGCTCACTGACGACTCAGTGGCACCTCATTGACTACTCAGTGGCACCTTATTGACGACTCAGTGGCACCATTCTGCTCACTGACGACTCAGTGGTACCATTCTGCTCACTGACTACTCAGTGGCACCTCATTGACTACTCAGTGGCACATCACTGACTACTGAGTGGCTCAATTACTATAAAAGTAATTATATGCACGTATTATATGGAAGTGTATTATGATCCCTTGATTGAAAAAAACAGCAAAATCAAACTTAAATTAATGAGAAACCAAACAGTACACCATGGAAACTCTAAGAGAACGGGTGGCTCAGGTCCATAAACTATAAAACTAATTTATGGCAGCTGACTCGTCGTACAAACAAATGTGGCTCCGTCCACTGAGTTCACTGTTGTGACCCAACACGGAGTTGCTGAGTTGACTTGGGCCAGTGAGGCAACGAGGATTTAATAGTTGATCATCATATAAAAGGTTTGACCAAAGGTTCTCAGACAGAATATTAGAACACCACAGTGCGTGAACCAATATGTCCATTAGGGACAGATTGGACTTAGTATGTTTCCTCATCTTATACACATCTACTTCACTGGTGAAAGGCTATTTTCTGCTCTCCAAAGTCAGTTTGTACACCTTGTTTTTTTCAAAACATCTAGCAATATGTATCGTCTGAAAAGAAACAAATCGGTTAAAGAGTCACCTTTTATAAATTGCATGAGTTGATCAAACGATCTTTACAGATCATTTTAACCGACGTTACAAAAAACAGGAAAAAAATGCTGAAAAGAAAAGGCAAATGTTTAGAGGTGGAATTTTAGCTATTTTCGATAATCCTGGATTAGCGAGTGAGTATGCAAATAAGTTTTGTGACAATTTCTTGAATTATGTCCTTGAGTGAGTATTGCAATCATATGATCTCTTGATCCCAGGGTCAAGGATTTAGAAACATAATTGGCTTTTAATAGTGTTTTTGTATTGCTAACTGCTGTGTACTCATCTCAACGCCTCCCGCAATAGAAGAGAAGCAAAGCATGAGGACACATGCAATTTGAATTGAAACCACAGGTAGGGAATTATTTTATGCAATTTCATTTTTTTTTAATTGCCACCTTTAGTAAAGGAGTGTGTTTTTATGTCAATTTCAAGTAAACAGAAAAAACATAACTCATTCCTTCTTTTGACTTAGTATTATGGAAATAGTTGAAGGAAAAAAAGCGCCGTTGTGTGTGCTACTTTCCACACGTGGACTCGCATGAACTTGTGTGTGTTAAACCCGCTCAGTGTTTCTCCCTTCACAAGCTCCCCAGACCCCCATGAGAAATAACTGCAAATAACATCAGTTCCTTCATCTCGTGAGAGTCGGACCTGCCGAACCGAGGATCAAAACCCGTTCAACCACCACAGAATCCCTCTGGATCACGTTCATCAAAGCTGCTCCCGGATCAGCGAGCAAGTATGCAAATAAGTACATGTTGTGATAATCTCTGACCTGGTTGACGGCCTCCTGATCCACCGGCGCCGTGCTGCAGCGCTTCACACATGTGAAGGCTCCAGACTACAGGCCGGGACGTGACCTCATCAGGACAGTCCACCTCTTTTTATTTTATAGTCATAATCCATACGAATATTGTGGTGTTGGGAGGAAACACCCGGACGGTCCTCATCTCATACCATTACCCAACGTGTTGTGACGGAGTTCCAGTGACCTAATAAATGTCATTAGTGATTAGATGACCACAGCACTAGAACTCGTATTCAAGTCGGTCTTTACAATACAAATGTCTTCCTGTAAACTGAGATTTAGTGAATAATATGAGAATTTATGGTTGAAGTAATGTTTGGTTTAGAGTTGTTTTGCCTCCCGTCAAGGACAAAGTTGATTAAAAATGAACACGTATGGTTCAATGTTTCCCGTGATGCTACAAAAGCTATTACAACATGTTGAATTGGTGAATGCGTGTTCACATCAAACCTTTATAGAAATTAGGTCGTTCTTTAGCATTTCTCAGTCTTTTATGACTTTTGTAAGAAAAAGTCTAGATTTAATAAGGTATTAAATGTTAGAAGATGAATATTGAATCGTGAGACAAATGAATACCCAGAAGTTAGGTAGAAATGTTTTTTTTCATACATTCTATTTAATAAAAGCATTTTTAATTAGCGTTGTCAAGTCCAGCTCCCACTAGATGTGGACGCAGACATTTAAACATACAACGCGTTTACTTGGCATCTGATTGAATGGACCAGCAATAGCAGAAGCAGCTGCCTTGCTGGATGTTCCTCAGGACAAGAAACATCTGTGAAGAGAAACAAGGATAATGAACCAATGGTTGCTGCTAAACGCTCCACTATTGCTCATGATCTGGAAGGTAGAGTCACAAGTCATTTACTGCCACATGTTACAAATAGACGAATTGGACTGGTGTGATAGAAGAATTAAATAGAGGAAACATTTATCTAATAAAAGAGAAATACTACAACGTTGAATAAAATATTTATTTTTGACAACGACCTCTGATGCCTTAAGAGGTGAGCAAGATGGTACAAAAAGATGGCATAAAATAAAGACCCTGAAAGGGACACGAGTTTACAGTCCTCGTCCCACGTTGAACCCGGTCACAGCGCAGAGGTTGGAATGGGAAGTAGCATTGTTCCAGAAAACAAGTCACACAACACTTCAGAACGTTTGAGCTCCAGCCCTGAGATTAACGCGGCATACAGAACATTCTATGATAAACATCAGTTCAAAACCCGGTCTAACGAAAAACTGCCTGTAATTTATTATAATACACTGAACATACGGATGCACAAATGAGAGGACATTGTGTCTGTATGTGTGAACATTCATTAGCATGGAGACGAGGCTTCGTAGCCTCACTGGTCTCAAACAGCAGCCCTAGTGGAGAACGTACAGAACAAGCAGGCAGGTCCATCACCTGAAGAACACCGGTAGCAATGCTGTCGTCAGTACGCGGGTAACGCAGCGTGCACCGGTGTGTGGAGGCGGCATCGCCGCCAGTATTAGAACCAAACAGCACGCAGCGTCACAGGGCGCTCAGGCTGCTTCAGGCCAAAGAAAGGTGACGTACATCCACAATGCAGTAAAACCAAAACTGTATTTAACACATCAGCTGTTTGAGAAAGGTGGTGGTAGAACATAAATGCCAGTCATTCTTATTGAAATCAAGATGGAAATAAGAAAAGATTTCAGGCAGAAGTCTGAAAACAGCTTCTTAGACTTCAGTGACTCCGGAGAAGCCGAGTGGTGCTTTCATTTCTAAATAATGTGCAGCAAAGCTCGAAATGAAACTCAACAGAAGATGGTTTTGCAGTTGTGAGAAAGTGGAGGGGAGATTCAAATAAATGGAAACTGAAAGGAATTCCTTGACTTTTAGGGAAAAAAAATGAAGCCTGCATGTTTCCAACTTCACAAATCAAATGTGCAAACTACTTAAAAAAAAGGTCCAAACTGGTTGGAGCAGACAAACAACACACAGCATTATTTTAATTCTCTTAAGTGCTTTAAGCATGTTCAAATCTCGAGCGGTCATATTGATGGCTGAATGAGCTCTGAGAGCTGCATGACGGAGCGCGAAACCAATGATGCAAGGGGGCGTGGCCGGGTGGGGCGGGGGTTACACTAAAGTGCTTTCTGCAAAGAAACCTCACATGGGGTGAATACATTCAAGCGCACACGGCCCAGTGCCCCAAGTAGCCCCCAGTGGCCCCCAGTGGCTACGCGTCTACTGGGGAACCCTCGTGTCGACGGCGCCCAATCACGTGCCCTGTTCACTGAGTCATAGCCCCACCCACCAGCAGCTACTGGACTACACACAACCAAACCTCATGGACAAGGAAAAGCAAAATCCCAGGAATAAATAAAACTTAGTAAATCAAACACTTGCATCATTTTGAAGAAATTCAATCTTTGATTGTAATTCATGTTTAGTCCATAAACAAAAACGTAATATAAATAACTACAGAGAGAAGACACAAAAGAGCACTTGACGAGGTTGGGTGACGGGGGGGTTTCCAGCCACAGTATGAGGGGTTAACCAGCACAAGGGGGGAAGTTAAGGTTTACTGGTGGTAGCGTTCAGTCACAGGAACCCGGCTCCACAGTTGCCATGGATACCAGCAGGCGGAAGGAGAGGCCCACTGGACGTTGCGTGTGAATGTCTGCATGAATAGAAACAAAAACATATATAACACATTTCCATCTGTTCCTTCAAATAAGCTTCACTGGAAATCACAAGTTTCAATCATACGTTTCAAAATGGTTTCAAAAGTCAAATTGACGTTTGCTGAACAAAATGAACAAGTTCATCCTTTAGCAGAGCTGGAGAAGAAAGTGTCTCGGTGTTCCTTCGGTTCCCGTCTTCTCAAGCCTAGTTTATGCTTCTGCGTTTGCAGAGCGACGCAGACGCAAGAGCCCCTCGCGTGTCTTTTCACGCCTCCTCGCGTGCGTCGACCCATTTTTGTAGACTAGCGTGTAAAGCTTTGCAGCCTCCTGCAGCAGCAGGCTGTGATTGGTCTCTGACTACGTCCTTTAGAGTCTCACGTCTCCGTTTTCACAGCACAATACGGCCGTTATCAAAAGGAAGAACGTTTACGAGAGAACGGATCAGATTGAAGAGCTTTTAAATATGAGCGCTTGTACAAGCCGTCATTGGCGGACTATGAGGACGCCGGATGGCCTCTGATTCATGGAGGGAGATCTCCACAAACGAGGGGAACAAAGTCGTGGAGGAAAATACGGGACAAATGTGTCCTTGATGAAAAGCAGCAGTGTGGATGCACGGGGCAATAAAGTCTGTGATCAATAAATAAAGCAACCAGCGACTTCCACACACAAAGACGAGACTCTCCAGGTCGTCTTCAACAAAACACGTGACTCCACCTGTTGTTCTGGAGGAGAATCGCTCTGCAACACACGCAAGACTTTACAACCAGGAAGTGAAACCAGTGCGTCGACGCGTAAAGACACAGAAACACGCGGCGGCCTTTGATGGTTTGCACATCTCAACAACAACCATGTTGGAGTCCAAAGGAGCTTCACTGGAATGTTCATTGTTCAGATGTTCAACTCGTCTCTCAAATCGCAACAAAACCCCCAGCAGGCAACATGCCCACCTGCATTGGGGCAGATTAAGGGACACATTAAAGACAGTCCGCATAGGGGACAGGTCAAACAGGTCGCTGCCCCATCAAAAGAGATGGGCCGAGGGTGTTGGGAGGTGGATCCATTCAAGTAGGATGGTGTAAAACACCACTGAAGGGGAATGCACGGCCACCACTGCGTCCCTTTGTGAGCGTCTCTGGTTCATCACACATCAGATCGGACCCGGTTACTGGGCACGCTGCAACCACGGAACACAACGGCTTCACAAACGCTTACGTCGATTACACCTGCTGCAAGAGGCCCGTCGCAATTTAGCTTTTTTGTCCATAAAGTTGGAGACGTGGAGAAAGAAAAACACTGACGGAGGTTTGCAAATCCAGACCTTTAGTTCCTGGTACATGTGGAGGTGCTAAAGCGTTCTACAACACAACCCTAACAAGTACTTACCGACCGTACGAGGGTTCTGCTGCGTCACCGGTCCTCCCGTCGCTTCCCTGGAGGGGCTCTGAGTGTCCTGTTCTGTGGACGGACGGGGAACCGTTCAATACGGAGCGAATATTAACCAGCAAAGCAGCCGGTTCCTAACAGCAGAACCACACCTACCGCTGATGATTAACAGGTACAGTTTGACTCATTTCTGCTCACCTTGTGTTTCTTACACTTCATGGAAAAGTTTTCTTCGATGAGTTCACAGTCTGCTGGAAGAAGAACAGAAGTTAGAGAAGCCCCACTGAGTCAGCTCCCACGAGCAGATCCAAGCTCAGCCCATAAGAGCCACACAATCACTGGATGCAACATTATCAGAGAGACAACGGAACCCAAACCTGGACAGCACACAGTGAACATGCACACGGGGGGGGGGGGGGGGCGCCTACCTACCTGAGGCCACAGCACACCTGTAGTGGTACTTGTTGGCACAGCCTTTGGAGAAGCAGCCCAGCGTGGCACCGTGGTGACTGCAGGCCGAGCACCTCTAAACACAGAGGAGGAGCATGTGTGGATAGAGGGACAACCGCACGCTTCACATATCCCACAAAAACTAGAAATTATTTTAGAAAATAAAAAGGAGAACATTTAAAATATTTGATGAAAGATCTGTATCTGCCATTACAATAGGGGCAGATGAAATGCAGCGTTCTGATTGGTTGGGAGTGAGTCACAGGGGAACATTATTGAGCGATAATGTACAGTTGCTGTTCACATTGACCCGAGCGTCTCATATCACTGCTCACTCAAAGCCAGTTAGACTTTACGCCGCCGTTAGTTGTCATGAGCGATGTGAACGAATGAGACCCGATGCTGTTTACCTGCACATACGGGACTATTTATTCTCTGGACCACTGAAATGAGACACAACGTTTAGCTGATACGGTTTTGTGCTGAAGGCAGCTATTTACTTATTATAATTTTGCTGGTAACTGTATTATAAAATCAATAAGGTACTTGAGGCAGTACTTTATCACTCTTACAGTTCGAAGGTTTCCAGCCTCCAACAACAACTGTTACATTATTAAAGTGCAGCTTCTCGTACCTTATTGCTTAAATATAAACATATTTGTCAACTATGCTTGCTGTAATACATTCAAAATCTATTATTCAATTTCAACACTTCTGTTCAATTTAATGTGTATAGCAAACGTCACAAATTTGCACATGAATAAAAGTGAGGATTCGTCAGGATGGAGTGTGATCGATGTCCTGTGTGCAGCATGAACAACATAAATGATCCTAATACTAGTAATAGCATTAATTAAATAAAGATGATTATCACTAATAAGAGTGTATCCTAAAAGCCAACAAATCAAAAAGTAAACAACACAAAAATATGATTCCATTATCATCCATAATGTTGCATTCATTTCCAGCTAAATGATATCAAGTGGAATAAACAAGAACAGCTTACGGTCTCCTGAGCCGCCCTGACAGCCTCCTCCAGTCCGTACACTTTGCCTTTGACCAGGAAGACGCCCGCCGACCAGATGCCGCAGTCCTCGTGCAGCCAGTACTCGCAGGGCTGCTGAGGCAACACAGGCGGGCTGTACCAGTCCTCCACAGCCGCCTGGCCGCCGTCTGCCCGCGCCCGCTTAGCCTCGGGGCTGCCGCTTTTGTTGGCGGCCCCCCGGTAGCTGTCCAGGCCCTTCTGCTTCTGCTGAGAAGGCCTGAGGGGCCCCGCTGTGAGTGGAATGGCACGTTTCCTCCTCTTGCCTCGGACTCTGTAGGACGAAGAGTCTGCGTCGCTGTAGTCGTCCCCGTCCTCTTTGAGGCCCGGCCTTTTGCTGATTGGCTGGTACCCTTCTGGGTAATAGGGGCCATGAAGGTCACCCAAGTCCATGGCGTTGGCCGCCCGTTCACACAGGCAGCAGACCAGAGCGCGCTGCTGCCGGCCGAGTGTGGACGGGCGGCCCAGCTGCAGGGAGGATGAGCTGGGGACGCCTGCAGAAACAAAGCCCAAGTGCTGAGCCTGCTGCTGCTGGACCCTCTTGTGTTGTGGGCCCAGCTCCTCGGGGTAGTTGATGATAGTACACAGTGATGATGCCGACTGCTGATGCTCCACGTGGACAAATGGAGACAAACTGTCCAACCTATAGTCCTTTTTGTCCTCTCTAAAGTTGATGTACTTTAACTTTATCTCTGGCTCGTTCGGGGAGAAAATGGAGGAATACTGACTCCATGTGCATTTCTTTGGCCTTTTCTTGCGAATACCAGCTGCCTTGGTCTTGTCAGCGGGGGATTGTTTGCTACCGGTGGTCTTGTCAGCGGGGGATTGTTTGCTACCGGTGGTCTTGTCAGCGGGGGATTGTTTGCTACCGGTGGTCTTGTCAGCGGGGGATTGTTTGCTACCGGTGGTCTTGTCAGCGGGGGATTGTTTGCTACCGGTGGTCTTGTCAGCGGGGGATTGTTTGCTACCGGTGGTCTTGTCAGCGGGGGATTGTTTGCTACCGGTGGTCTTGTCGGTGGGGGATTGTTTGCTACCGGTGGTCTTGTCGGCGGGGGATTGTTTGCTACCGGTGGTCTTGTCGGCGGGGGATTGTTTGCTACCGGTGGTCTTGTCGGCGGGGGATTGTTTGGTACCGGTGGTCTTGTCAGCGGGGGATTGTTTGGTACCGGTGGTCTTGTCAGCGGGGGATTGTTTGGTACCGGTGGTCTTGTCAGCGGGGGATTGTTTGCTACCGGCAGTCTTGTCAGCGGGGGATTGTTTGCTACCGGCGGTCTTGTCAGCGGGGGATTGTTTGCTACCGGCGGTCTTGTCTTGGCTTTTCTTTGGCGATTTTGACGATGGTCTTGTGGAAAATCTAGCAGTGTGAATTTCCACTAAGGGGTCAGGGTGGGATATTTGCTCCTGCTCCTTTGAGTTGTTGTGCACATCAAACTGAGGACCTGAGTGGGATGAGGGTTTCCTCTTCAACCTCACACGCCTGGTCCGTGGTTCATGTGCAGGGTGAAGAACATCCTCTGGGCCGCTCTTTGACTTCTTGTGAACAGAGAAAGGATGTTTTTTTGGAGATAAGTTGCCATTAGACTTAGTAGAATAATTGCATTCAGGAATGATGGTTTTGCAGATGTCAGTGTTCATGGTGGTTCTATCCTTTGTTGTTGAAGCTACTGCTTGTTGTTTCTTTGTTTTCACTGAGAAAGGCGCCTTCGCTCGGTTTCTCCTTTTTCCTGCTGACAGGGTGGCATTTCTCTCACAAGTGGCTAATTTAGAATCGCCAGCTGGCAACTGGGAAGTTTTTGCTTTTTTATTACGTATGCATCCGGACACTTTATACCGCCTGGAATTTATGTCCATAACTATAGCATCCAAGCGTGTACCTCTACCAGGTCGCACAGGCAGCTTTTTTCCTTTTAACGTTCCCAGTAGTGCCTTCGCATTCCCGTTCATGTGTGAGGTGACAGTCTTGGGTTTATTTTTGGGAACATCTGACACAAAAACATCATCTGTCGGGACAACCAAAGGCTCCAACACTGCCTTCCGTCTACTGACAGGCTGCTGATTCTCAGCGCTGGCGTCTAACCTTGAAGTAGTATCACTAACCCCCTCTGTCCTCAAGGCAGCCCCTTCATTTACTGTCTCTAGATAAGAGTCATCACCACTGGGTGAGCTGGAGGCCTGAGGCAGGACAAACACATCCTCCACATTGTCCAAGGAAGCAGCTGAGGGGGATACGGGGTCCTCCAGAGGACTCATGTAGTCCCTGCTCGGTAAGCACACATCTCTACCACTCACACTGTCCAAGAGGACTCGTGGGTTTTGTTTGTTAGAATTTACAGCGAGCGCCTCAGAAGTGAGGCTCCCCTGGTCCTCCCCTGTGACAGAGGAGAGCTCCTCCACTGAGGAATCAGCACATGCTCCAGAACTGGCGCAGGTATCATCGTGTTCATCTTCCAAACCCGCACTCCTGTCCAGAGGGAGACCGTGATACTTCTTGCCGTTTCCATGCTTGTCCATTTCTCTGCAGCTGGAGTTGCTTCCACCCTCGAACTTCTGAGACTCCTGCAGTAGACATCCTCCCCCACTGTTCTCGGCTCCCACCTGAGCCGCAGTCACAGACTGAAAGAAGTCCGTCTGAGTGGCAAGGTCCCCGGACCCACCGACCTGCTCCAAGTAGTGCTGGTTCAGTGCATAGCCAGACTCCTTACGCCCTTTATCCAAGTCACAAGGAGGGTGGAGGGACAACTTGCCGATAGGCGGAACACCATACAGGGAGTCGTGAGAGGAGAAGACGTGAGACCTGCTCATGTAGGAGAGGGTTACTGTAGTGTGGGAGAAGGCATCTTCTGGTTGAATTGGATCCCCTGATTGGAGAGCGGTTTCTGAGGAGCCCGTCTCCAAGAACGGTAGTTCGGGGTTGCCGGGCACTGAATTTGGGTACCAGCAAGGGTCCTTCACCATACGCAGAGCATCGAGGGACGGGCTGCTGAGGACACATTCCTCGCCCTTCCTGGTCAGGTCAATCACATTGGGGATGCTGGCCGTGGGGAGGTCTTGAGGCTGTAGATGATCCAAGCTCCCACGTCGCTGCTCCATCACAACTGCAGTAAATGGAGAGAAGAAAATAATCGATGACTTATAAACATATTGCATTTAATTAGGAGTCATCTTTTCCTACAGTGGTTGACAAAAGAAGCTCCTTTGACCGCTAAGCTTAAGTTGTCAGATTTATTTAACCCGTCATTCTTTACATCTAAAGTCATTAGCAACACTTTGGGGGCTACAAATTCATGAGAGAACATGTTTACATTCATATACTGACGGAATATGCAGAATATCCATGTGATGGTTTCAATAAATGACTTTAACGTCCTCCCTGAAATAGGTAAGAGTTACTAAGTTAGCTCAGCTAGCCGTTGCTAACACTAGCTAGCTAGCTAGCTGGCGTATGCGGACTTACACGCGGACCGTGCGCGTCATCTTCTCGTTAGAGACCGGAAGCCGCCCGGTGAGCCGCTTCACGTGTCGGCTCGCGGCTCGGCTTCGCTTACGGCTCATAGTACCACTGCGCACCGGCTCGGTGCTGCGCGTCGATCGGCCGTTAGGGGCCGTTATGGGCCGTTATGGACGTTATGACTCTTCGAAACTTTGTTGCGAGTAAACCCCGTTTTAAAACGTCACCTCTCGCCCCAAAGAGCGACCTTCTTGTGCCGAACTGAGGGGCGGGTCGCAGCCGGTCGATGCGTGACGTTTGGTTCCTACTTTGCTCCCGAACCGAACGGGATTCCAGGTGTTGCGTAATGGTGGAGGACTTTGCCGGAGTTCGGCGGCACGCTGCGGGCGGCGCGCCTCCGAAGGCCCGGCCGCCCGGAACAAAGACGGAGCGAAGGCGAGCGACGCGCGGCGCCGCCTGCGGGACTTACCCGGGCGGGGGGGGGGTCCAGAGAGCGGGTCCGACCCTCAGCGACGCATCTGCTCCACGCGAGCCCCCCACACGGAGGACACGGGGCCGCTCCACGCCGAACAAAGACCCGCGCTCTCCGGGACAACACGCCGATAGCGCCGATGCCAGTTCCATTGAGTCGATCTCAAACTTCCGGATCCCCTTCATAATAAAATTATTATTGATGCGTTTTAGTGTTTTCTTTCTTAAAACATTCAAAATAATCATACGACGTACAATTAAAGCATTGCTCGTTTAAATATTAGCAGGTTCACGTCAGTCCGAATCATTTCCCCTTGAACCGGACGGTCGCATAAGACATTAGGACGCAGCAGCCGGTCATGTGTGTTACTGGGACAGCGGCTGACCTGATGACGTCACCACGCCTGCTGGTCTTAATGCAATTCTTGACTGTTAAGTATATTTACTATCTATCTATCTATATATATATATATATATATATATATATATATATATATATATATATATATATATATATATATTCAGACATTAAAATGTATCCAAAATATCATATGAGAATTGCTGTACACTCTGTAATGTTTTACAAATTATTATTATTGTCTCTTTTGGAAGGTTATTCTTTTGTTTCAGTTTTAGTTTATTCAATTAAATTTAATATTTTAATATTTCTATCTTTTTATATTGTATATAATGTGTATCTTTTTATTCTATTTTCTTCCCTGTACATGCTGCTGTGATACCAAAATGTGCCTCTTGAGGGATCAATAAAGTATCAATCTATCTAAAGACGAGAGAAGAGAAGCGGCACTTTGTGGTGCTTCTGAACATTACTTGATTATACTGACATGTGAATCTAATTTTTATTTATATTATTGGATGAAATACACATGTTCAATGTTACTGAAGAAAACCTTTAACTCAGAGAAGAAGAGGTTTGATTCAGTAACAACAATTAAACAGTATTTTAATGGATAGGGCTAAATCCATAAAGAAAAAAGAATAAAGGGGACGATAATGTGGTAGCGTCCACATCGTCCAGTTAAATGCACAATTTAAAAGACACCCTACTTTCTACCCAGTCTTCCTTCTGTTCTCTTATATCACAAGTCTGCACTCTAGAGCGTTTTATCTTTAACCAACTCTCCTCTTATCTCCACCAGAAGCACCTTCTTGACCCTCACCAGTCAGGCTTCTACAGAGACTGCCCTCCTTGCCTGAAGCAGCCTCTCACCTCTCAGTAAACCATCCCATTCTTATTTCCAGGAACTGGGTGTCTGAGGATCTGCTCTCTCCCTTCTCTCATCCTCCCTTAGATTTACAGTGTAAAGCGTCTCTGTGTACCAAGAAAAGCGCTATAACAAACTAAAGTATTAGTATTATTATTAAAGAACGTAACCTGGAGAGGATCTGTGTCTGAACCTCGTCCTCTCGCCACTGGGGTCCCCAAGGCTCTGCTAGCAAAGTGATGCTTATGACACTCAAGTAACCCCGATGTGGTCGTCCGAGGCCTGGACTGTAGCACCTCCCTCCCAGCGCCATCCGACCCGTGACTCCACAACGCAGCAGCTCCACCTTCACAAGCGCTACTCTGCTCCTTCCGCTGTCACCGATCGCCGCCCGTTTGAAAACACTGTTCTTATGGACCGTGTGGCCCACAGATGGGGTCCACGGTCAAACCGTGCGTGCCTGCCCGCTCACGCCGCTCTGCATCAGCCTGCATGCGGCTCGCTCACAGAGCTGAAGAAGGCGGTTTGATGTCCTGACTCCTAAGCGGTGGAAGGGGATGTATAGCCCTCACTGACAAATGGTGGATTATGTAAGATAAATGAAATAGGCTATATGGTTACACCTCAAACCTGTGGCAGAGCATTAATAATGCATTGAATAGGAGAGTTTTCTTACTCACTGTTTTTTAAATATCTATACTAATCATTTTCCTGTGTAAAAACAGCTGATTGAAAGTTTCAAATCAATCCCACAGCATAAAGGGTGCAAAAATATTTATTGCCTATAAACCTGTAATCAGTCGGTGTATATTTGCTTTATATTTACAATAATAGAGTACAAAGGAATGGGAACGTGAAAGAAAAATCCAAACCATTTAAATAAATACATTTGATCCAAGGATGATCTTATTATGGAAGCCAGAGGGTCACATGCTTTCTGATGCAGACTTTAATCACTAGCGCGTCAGCTGACGCAGTGGTGGAACCTTCACCTGGACACCACACTCGTTCCTATGCTTCTGCAGAGCACGCGTCACTCACCGATAATAGTGGTGTTCAGCGGTTAGCATCGCAGCTATGTGTTTGGCTAGCAATAGTCTATCAAATTAAAACAGTAGCTTACACGGTCATAGTTTTAATGTATGCAGAACAGATGCTCAGTTTAAAACAGTATTTACAGCGAGACGTGGCAGGAAGAAATAACAGTACAAAAAATGTCACAGTAAACTGAAGTGCATGGAATGCAAAGTCTAGACATGATACTCGAACTTCATAACATGGTTCTTTAATAATATGTGAGCTGTGTTTGACCAGTGTGTAGTGTAACTAAAGTCATTGCAGAGCTAAAATATAGTGGGCCTCTAAACGTGCATCAAGGTCGGTATACATGATGAGTCTTCCTCAGAACTCCTTAGCGTCTTCATTTTCAAACAGATGGAGTCTCTGCTCAGCCGTCAGCCCTTCTTTCAGACTCTGCAAAGGTGTAGAGAGAAACAGATGTTAATGATGAAGCGAAGGACAGATGTGCTGTTCCTGAGCAGGCAGTGATCACACAACGCACCCCGTTACAGCTGTTTACCCCTCTGCCAAACTGAGCTAAAACAAAGAAGCTTTCTCCAGATCGCTGTATCTATTGTCACAGCAGAACAGAGCACAATGAATGCTGGTGCTCCAGTGGGACTTTATTTCTACATTTCTGTTGGTTTGGGGCTCAGCAGTAAGTCATGATTGACTGATTCACAACATATATGACCAATAATAGTTGGTAGACTAGTAATGATTAAATAGCAAGTGATATCTGAGCATCGTCATTCAGTCTTGACCCGGCCGTCCGTGAAGCAGAACCCTCATGCTCATTGTGTGAACCGCTGTTCTATGGAGGGCTTCAGAGGTGGACGTGCTTCAGTCACTGGTTTGTGCGTCTGCTTTGGTTTACCTAAAGAAGGAGGCCTACACGTCCTCAGCCGCCCTAACTGTCCCAGGGCATGTCTCGACTCACAGACTGAGGACAGAAGGGGAAAACACCAGCAAGTGTGAGTTAGACTACCGCGGTGTTTAATCCGAATCACAATCCCAAGACGGCAGCTTTAATATGAGACAGAATTGGTTGTAGGAAAGGCGCCAGCAGGACGGCTCCCTACACTCATGCAGTGCTGCAGGCAGCCAGTAGAGGGCAGCGAGTCGCACATCAGCCTGTGAGGTCAATGATCGGTGAAGCGCTGCTGCTTAAGCAATAAGACACAATGGGTGACAGAGCTCCGTGAGCCACGGCAGGATGAGGGATCACTTTGACCCTAAATGGACTAAAACAAACCCACCTTTGACCTCATCGTGCGCTCGGAGCGTTTGGCCGCAGCAGCTGCCATCTTCAGGATGTCAGGGTTGCTCTTGGATTTCATGATATCTAAGAAGGAAATGCGTTTAGAGACATAAGATCTAGTCCTCGGGTCGTCCCTGATCAGCACATTTGGTTATATTCGTGTTATCATTCAGCCATTTTGACCCCCCTGACTTGGGAGCCGACAAGCTGCCCATTAGGGGCTGAAGGAGCTGCTGCGTCCCCACGCTGGACGTGGTCCTTTAGGGGCATCGATTCAATTCACTTCTCTGTGACTTGAAATGACAAATATTCTGCAGCCGGCTTCACAATGTGCACACATACGTTTGATCATGTGACCCTTGTTCCTACCGTAGCCTCCTCGCTCCACCTCCTCCAGCGACGCCTCGCCAAGCGCCTCATGAGCCGCCTGCAGCTGATCTCTGAGCCGACCCAGGTCCCGCTCGGCTTTGGCCTTCACAATGCTCAGCTCTGTGTAAATGTCCTTGTACTTATCCGTTGCATATTTCTTGTCCTGAAAAGACATTTTTCAGAAGAAGGGCCCTCATGTCATCTCTTGAACTCATGCAGGTGGAAGTGATATCGTAAACAGCACCGTACTCGTTGGGCAGCTTGGAGTTCCTCTTTCAAGGAGTTGATTTCCTGCTTGAGGTACTGGACCTCGGACTCCTTCACCCTCAACATCACCTAGATAAGAAGATTGGGGTGACACATGAAGCCACTAACAAACGTGTTAACACAAATGCCTTTGTACACCAGCTTTCTGTGAATCTTTACAACCCACTGGTTGGTTCTGAGTGAACGTACTTCTAACTCGTAGAGCTCTTTTCCTTGTATCGTGGTGTGCGTGTCCCCCCCTCCATCCTCAGAGGCCATTGAGCGCATCTTTGTGATCTCTGCTGCCAGCCGGTTGTTCAGCTCCTAAAAGGAAAGCGCTTAGAGGAGTTAAGCAGAAAGGCGGGCGTACTTGTGTGTCCCTGAACTGTGTGTCGGGTGTGTGTTTGCACCTGGTTGTGTGCGTTGAGCTCCTGGTTCTCCCTCTGGCACTGCCGGAGGGCCTGCCTCTCGGCCTCCAGCGCCTGGGCCAGGTGGGCGTTTTCCAGACACTTCTGGGAATACTGATCCGACAACACTTCAATCTCCCGCTGGAAAGAGCACAGCTCCTCCCTGAAACACGACACGGCGCCACAGCGAACACAGCTCCACGTTACGCCTCCATCCAGCGAAGCACCGCACTCAAAGTACACAGACGTCCAAGGAACAGCAACATCTGACGCCCGAGCACTTTGTCAGCACAATGAAAGCTCCCATGATCCAGATCCACGTCTAATACTATAAATCTCTAGACAAATCTGGATTTTCTACAGTCCATCCCATAGTGTGAACCTCCTGTGGGGTGTGTTCCATTCAGCACTGTCCTCACAGACCTTTGTCCTCATTGTGTTCATATGATCTTAATTAGTACACAGACAGAAGGGTCGAATTTGTAGAACCCAATTGACCAGAGAACCTTCATGGATATTATTCGGACGACTTACTCGTGCTGTCTGCGGATCTCCTCTATGTCTGCGTTCTCCGTGTTGTTGTTGGCCTTGCGAGCTTTGTCCAGCTCCTTCTCCAACTCGGCCCGGTGGGCATTTTTCATTGCTTCAATTGCTAAAATAACAAAAAAGCTTGAATAAGTATCAACAACCTCATTATGTATCGGTGTTATTACCATGGTAGAGTGAGCAAATACAATAGTGATAAATGAGCACGACAGCAGCTCTATGCGATCTGGGCTCTATCCTGTTAGGTCAAAGGTTATTGGATTTAGGTACCAGCAATGGTGGCTGCAGTCTCTTCTGCCAGCAGTCGCTCTTTCTCCTCATGCAGGTTCTCCAGCTCCCTCTGGTGTTTCCTCTGCAGCTCATCTATTACCTTCTGATGGGACACTTCCATGGCAGTAAAGCCCCTCTCACAGGTGGCCTACGAGTCAGGAACACATGGAGCAGCTATGAGTTCATGGGCCACTTGGACACGGACCAAAAGCTTCCGCTGAGCATGGAAGCCCGGCAGGAAGGAACCCTGGGCCACACAACACAGGCCCTCTTCATCCAGGACAACGTGCAAGCTACAGCCTGTTAGCGGTGGGAAAGTGGAGCTTGAGTGAGTACAGAGAGGCTTCACAACACACAATGAGAGACGGGTAACACCGCGCAGGCATCTCCCGCCGAGAGGAAAGCGCTCATCGATAACGTTTATGAAAAATGTATTGAGCCTGCAGCTCAAGTGCAAATCTGTGATGTAACGTGGGGCTGAAGATACTTCAGCTCAAACGGCCCTCAGCGAAGGGCTGTTTGCCATCACCTTGCAATTACACTGGTAATATAACTAGTGTGCAACGTTCCACAAACCCAACTAAAGACCTCAACCAGCAACCTGCAGCTGATCCGGGGGCTTCGTCTGTGCACCGGCCTCTGTCTCGATCTAGAACCAGCCACTGGAGAAATGGAGGTCCAGAGTGCTGAGATGAAGCCCCCTGAGCTCCGACCCAGGGAGCTACGATCATGGCTGAACCTCCCCAGGTAAACGTCCTGCTCTGACATCAGGTTTGAATTAGAAGTCCCGCTGTGCATCTAGTGTGTAAATACATACTGTGATGACAGCGCTCACATAGTCATCTCATCACATGTCCACATTTTGTTATGTTACAGCCGCATTCCAGAATGGGTTCACGTCAAAGCGAAGAAAGCTTGATCTAAATGTTTTCAAACGTATTAAAACTAAAGAACCCAAATAGAACATGTAGAAACGTATTCACAGCCTTCGCTTGATGCTTTGTCGTTGGCAGCAGCCTCAAGTCTTCTCCAGTCGGACGCTACAAGCTTGCACACCGTTTCTGGCCAGTTTCTCCCGTTACTCTTTGCAGAACCTCTCAGGTTCCATCGGGTCGGATGGGGAGCGTCGGTGCACAGACATGTCACATCTCTCCAAAGAGGTCAGGACTCTGGGACACTCGGGGACATTCAGACATCTACTCCGTTGTTGTCCCCGTGGAAGATGAACTGTGTCCACAGTCTGAGGTCCAGAGCGCGGTGGAGCAGGTTCCCCTCCGGGATGTCTGTGTACGTTGCTGCATTCGCCTTCCCCTCCATCCAGACTCGTCTCCCAGTTCCTCCCGCTGGAGAACATCCCACAGCGTGATGCTGCACTGTAGGGACGCTGCTGGCCAGCTGATGAGCTGTGGCTGCTCTCCTGACGTGGCGCTTGGCCTTTCAGGTCAAATCAAATCAGAGTTTTGCTTCTGGTGCTCCGAGGTGCCTTCAGGTGCTTTGTACCGAGGAGTGGCCTCCGTCGGCCCCCTCCACCATGCAGGCCTGATTTGTGGAGTGCTGCACAGACGGTTCTCCATCTGGAAGCTTCTCCTCCCTCCACAGTGACTCTAGGAAGAGTCCTGCTGCTTCCAAACCCCGGTTCCATTTCTGGATACTGGAGGCCGCTGTGCTCGTTGGGACCTTCAATGCTGCAGAAATGTTTCTGTATCCGTCTTCAGATCTGTGGCTCGAGACAATTCTGCCTCAGAGGTCTACGGACAATTCCACGGGCCCTGATGTAGACAGACGTGTGTCTTTCTAACTCATGTCCAATCACCTGAACACAGCAGGTGGACTCCAGCCAAGATGTAGAAACATCTCCAGGATGATCAGTGGAAACAGGAGGCTGTGAATACTTGTGTACATGGTTCTTTATTTCTAAGAGATTTGCAAAACGTTCCTCAAAACATGTCTCACTTTGTCATCATGGGGTTTCTTGTGTAGAATTTTGTGGAACAAAGTGAATTGAATCCCTTTTGGAATGAGGCTGTAACGTAAGTGAAGCGCTGTGCCGATGGCCAGATGGAGGAGGAGAGAACGTAGTAACACACTATTGTGAGACTAGGACCATTGCCCTGGTTACACTGATCTTCTCTATGGACGTTTGTGGTTAAAGAAGCGTCTGTAAAACTGGATGAACACGTTTCATTTCCTATAAATGTCATTTTTGCTGCTTACTCTTCCTCCATGCAGTGCTTGTGGACTTTGATCAAACAATAGCTGCATAGCAAACATGCCCTGACCTGGTGATCAAACACAGTATTGTTACGTTTCCAAAACAACATGGTTGCTTTTGGTCTTTTCATGGGATTTGTTACCTGTAAGAAGAACACTGAATAGACACCAGCCTTTAAATACACAAAGCATGATGGGTATTTCAGTTAGTATGGTTCGAATTGAACATGTGTTGATTTTTTAGGCACGTTGAACTACGACTGGAACTCATTTCAGAGGCGGATACAATAACAATAACAACAATAACAACAATGCAACATCAAGTCTGACATTAACCCGGAGCAGGTTAGTTTTCATGCAACAGAAAAGAAAAGTGGTTTCAGGAACAAATAACAGGATAGAGGGGGCAAAACGAGGGGGGGGGGGGGGGGGGTTGAGCGAGGAAGGGGCATCTGAGGATGCCACAGAGGATGGAGGACAGCGAGAAGAAGGAGCGCTTCCACCTTCAGGTTTTCCAGGTCTTTCTGGTATTTCAGCCGCAGAGCTGTAATGTCGCGTCTCATCTCCTGGGTCACGTCAGCAGGGACTCGGACGGCCTCCTCGGGGGGGGATGTTTGGGCCGGCGGGTCCTCGTCTGTTGAGTTCACGTCTGGGGTTGTTGGCTTCGTTGTGCTCCTCAGCTCTTCCATTTCCTCGACAAACGTTTCCATGGGCGTTGTCCTCTTCTTTATGTTCTCCACGCCGTTAGCCAGAGATTTGATCTCTTTCACATTTTCTTCTGAGGGGACGCGCAGTGTCAACGTGTCAGCTTCCTGCTCGTAGCCGTCGGTCACATCTTCGAGTTCCTCGCTGTGCCTGGCGATGGCGTCATCGAGCTCATTGGATCTGTTGGGTGCGTCTATGGGCTTTCCTCCTCTGACAGACGCTTTGTGCCCTGCGGCGCTTTTCAAAGAAGCCACTGATGGTTGAATCTGAAGATCTGCCAGTTTGGACTGCAGATCTTTGGTGGCTTTCCACAATTCATGACAATATGTACAATCTAAACGACTAATCTGAAGCTCTGCCTGCTTTTCGTCTAACTCCTTCTCCTGTTGGACTTCCAACCTGGAGATCACATAGGACATCTGGGCTTCTGTCCACAGATGCTGAGAGGTCCGTTTCTTTTCGTCATCAGAAGCAAAGCTTGTCAGCGCCAAAGACACAACCTGCTCATCTTTGGCCAATTTCACATTGGATGCCGCCTGCGTTGAAACATTTGACTTGGCCGCCAAAGTATCGGTTTTCTCTCTAAGAATAAAAGCACGCGTTTCCTGTTCGAGCCACCGGTACATGGCTGCAACGTCTTGCTCGGTCACTCGCTCAATCTCAGCTTCTGCTGGTGGAGAAGTCCTTCTAGTCAGGAGCATCAAGCGCGTCTGTGCCCTCATCTGTTGTGCCAAACCCGCCGCACAGCCGTCCGTCTTCTCTTCTGATTGGATTTCAGAGGAAAACAACAGCTGGTTCCAGAACCCCGCCCCCATTCCCAACTCCACGTGGAGTGGCTCTTCCTTTGAATAACCGAGTAAAGTGCCTTCTAGATCCCAGAGCAGCTCGTCGACAGTAACCGCTACCTTTGCTAACATCTGTAAAACCTGATTAATGGCGCCGGACTTCCTCTCAACCTCTGTTACTGGCTGCTTCATAAGTCCGCCATCGTCAGCCTCAACGCACTGGCCAAGTGTCCTTTCAACTTCCTCTGCCTTCTCTTTCAGCATTCTTATTTTGCTCTCTGCTTCTCGTAGTTCCATCCTCCTGACCGTCTCACATTCAAGGTTTAATGTCATCAGTTCACCGTTCCTGGCTTCAAGTTTCAAAATGCGCTGCTCTGCAGACTGAGGGTCTGCCTTCATCCAAACTACCATCGCGTTTGCTACTTGGAGGAGCGCCTTGTTGGGCTCTTCTTCCCCATAATCAGCACCGTTGGACTGCGGCTGGTTCTCAGTGTCGCCGAGCTTCTCCAACGTAGTCAGCGCGTTCTCACTCAGCTCCCTCTCGTTATATCCCCGGTCTATTTCGTATGCTTGTTTTCCCGCCAATTCACCTTTCAACTCTTCCCTGCCCGTGTGATGCTGTCTGCCGCCCTGCTGGCCAATCAACTCCGCTTCCAGTTTGTCAATTTCCCTGTCGGCCGCAATCAGCTGATTAATTATCTGCTGGCGCCGTTGTTTCAATGCCCCGTTTTCAATAGTCCAAAGGTCAATCCTCTGGGACAGCATCCCATGCGTCACCTGGTCTGCCTCTGAATGGTCATCAGTTCCTAAGAGTGGGCTACATGGGCTTCTAAAGCGTGGATTCTCAACCTTGCTAAAGAAATCCTCCAGGGTAAAAAAACAGGTTTGGTACTGTTGGATGCTTCCTCCTGCCACAGCTAAGCTCCTCTTGTCCCGCTGGTACTTCCAACTCTCCAAGAGCTTCAGAAGCTGATGAGTCTCTGCTGTCTCTTCATTACAGCGACGGCATCCCGACAGTTGTTCCAGCTCCAATAGAGAGAGGGGTTTACCAGCTGAAGAGCTGTCTGGTTCTTGGATTGCTCCTATGCTGTCCTCGGACGGGAAGCTAGTCGTCTTCTGAACAACTTCATGGGGAGGGCCTCCCAGAGCGGGCGCTGCTGTTGGGGGTTCAGAGAGGTAGGGTTCCTTCATGGGGGGGTGAGAAAGCGCAGGGCCAAGCTGTGCCTGCATGTTACGCTTTTTTAGCTCGTGCAGTTTCAGGAGCTCTTTGGTCTCCTGGTACTTCCTTGTTAAACTCTGTGCTTGAGAACTAACCAGTTCGGGCCTCTTCGTCTGGGGCGTCACATCAGCCTCCAGACCCAAAGGGCGCTCCAGCTTGGGAAAGGGGACCAGACAGTGGATTAACACACAGCAGGGGAGACGTGAAGCTTGCTAATCATGTTCTGCCTTTTCACTACTGACTGTTTCCCCCATTCAAAAAGATTTCCCACATTACCCCAAACAGTGATTGACAACAAATTAAAGAGGTTTTAATGGTGTAAGACAAAGAAAAGAAATGGCCAGATTAGTTTATTCCCAAAAAGCATGCACATTAAAGGGTTAAGTTACTTAATGTGGTAAGTGATGCAATATTAGTACCAGCGATACGGTTCACTCAGGGTTTGAAGGTATACCAGGTTCTACTAACGGATTTCTAAGGTCTCACTAAGACAACAGTGAATACTACTACCAAACGTCAGATCAAGTGTCAAAATATATTATCAAATGTTCTCCATAATTCCATAAAAGTGTTCCATTTCCCCAACAAAACGCAAGACACTACAACCTGTAATCAGAGAAGCCTAATTTCAACTCAAACATAACCAACTAAATCATCGAACAGTAATGAAAACCATCCATTCATCCATCCGTCCACACGCAGACATTCTGCCCACGTGTTGCCAACGCGTGGCTCCTGTATGCAATCACACTAATGAAGAGCAAACAGCAGGTATGCACAGCAGTTAATAGAAGAAGAGAATCAAAACAAGCCAAGAGGTAAAGAAGCTGCCAGCTGGATTTTACTAAGCAAATAGCCTCCTATTAGATAATTACTGCCTGGGCAGCAACAGTATGTGCTCAGTGGATGAGGTCAGCTGACTACCTGAATATACTCGCTGACCAGGTTATATTGGTCATATAATTATATACCACGATGGCAATGCCAGGATTCATCGGGCTCAAATGGTGAAAGTGGTTCAGGGAGCACGAGACATCATTTTCACACATGGGTCGGCCCCCACAGAGTCCAGACCTCGACCCCATAGAGGTGCTGCAGGAGGCGTTAAGCTGCTGCCGTCATCAACACAAGATGTTGGTGAGACACTGGATGGAAATAAGTCTTGTGACGTTGCAGAAGCTTATTGAAATGATGCCACAGCGAATCAAAGCTAAAGGCTCTTTTCTTTGGTGAGGCAGTGTATATTATCTCAAATGTATAATGACACATTCATTTAAAGATTAACAAGATAAAAGATTAAAAATAAAAACAAATCTGTAAATATTATTGTAAAATAAACATTTATGATTTCTGAAGGAAAATATAAAGGACAATTCATTTTTTTCTTCTAATCGTTATTCACTCCATTTCCCATTTTGAATTAGAACTGAAAAATGAGTGGAAAACCACACCTGTAAGAACGTCAGAGGCTTATAATATATACATATATTAAAAGTGCAAAGGATCTCTATTTCAGTTACATGTTTTCTCTCTGAAAGTCACATTTTTAACCATATTTAAGTTTCTGTCCATAACCAACTCAACAACAAAGTCACTACTAGCATTAGTTCAGATACAGTGCAAACGTATGATACAGAGGCAGGAGAGTAACTAGTAGAAGCCAATGTAGTAATAAGAGCTCACTGGTTTTTAACATGCAATGAACTCATGCATCTGTGGAGCCGTGTTGCTGCCTGGAAATCAGTTTGTTTGATGTTTTCTTACAATAAAGTACGACATGCAAAGAATGTTACAACGTGGAGGAGAAGACGCCGGTCATTAAGGACAGGATCATAACAGTGTGAATCGACTTTGAACTCACAGGAGAGATGTAACCTGTCCGGACATCCGGAGACGTTCTCAGCTGCAGCTCCAGCTCCTGCTTGTGCCTGTTTGAGTCCACAAGCTGCTGGTGGCAGCGCTCCAGCTGGGCCTTCAGGTCTTCAATCTGCAGCAGCAGGGAGAGAGCGGACTAATTACCATTAATTAAATAATTAAGGACCATTGTTTGGCCTGAACAATTCAAAGCATCAGTTTCAAATGGTGAGAGTGTGGCTGTGTTCCTGTTGAGTGCCTCCATCCTGCTCTTTGTGCATGTAGCCAATGATGACCCGCGTCTCGCTTCTTATTCACTGCAGAGAGGAGGCTGTCGTGAACGTACCCCTTGCTTGTGGTTCTCCAGCAGCTGCTGTAGCTCAGCAGTGTCTCTGGAGTGCAGAGGCACTCTCCTCTCCTCCCGAATGGGCGTCTTCTCCAGCTGCTGCCAGTGCTGTTCGATCTCTTCCTCCACCCTCTGCTTCCCGCCCACGGGTGAAGCGCTCTGTTGAGCCGCGTCTCCACCCTCGCAGTCTTTTCTCCCTCCTTGGTGAGCGGACGTTTGCTCCGATGACGAGCCGGACACAGACTCGCGCCTCCTCCACCTGTCCTCTCTTCTCACACTTCTTTCCAGGTGGTCCAGGTCTGCGCGGAGGCCGCCGGCCTCTTCGGCCCTCTGCTGGGCCAGAGCCTGAGCGATGGGTCTGAACTGGGCCCAGTCGAAGGTCTTGGAGCGTCCTTCTCTTCTGCGCTCTCGCGCTCTGCTCTTTGCGACAGCCGGGGTGGACTCTCTCCCCGCGGGCAGCGCCTCCGAGCAGATGGAGTCCCGCGTAACGTCGGGCCCCGCGGCCTCCGGGAGACCCGAGGAGCCGCCGGCCTCCGTTGAGCTGGGAGCCAGAGAGAGAAACGGGCTGAGTGTGGTTAGCATGGTAAGGCTGCCAGGTAAGGGGCCACATAGCGCCCATCTCCAGTGGGTCAGACCGGTACTTCTTTGGCTCGCCAGCTACGGTCACATTCCTTGTATTTCAAACATATTTTGACAATAGATGTTTATTCCTGAACTCTATCATAGTGATCCACCCCAAACCCCCCGTCAGCCCGAATAATAACGGGTTTGACACATGACCTGTAATGCAAATAAGATCTACTGATGCTCATTTCACAATGTGTATCCAGTGAAGCCTTCATTGGTTTATTTATTGTCTACTTATGTGCACACAGAACACCTCCATATGAATAAAGTTGAGTAGCAAAGTGACAAAGTGTCTGCTACCAATCATCATCTGTTATAATATGTCTGTAAAGGCGTATTCGGTACAGAAGAACGGCCTCGGAGCGGTGAGGCGTGCCGAGGCCCAACCAGCTTTATATCTCAAGGCAGAATCCTGTTTCCGGGTTAAAAGGCGTGCACGGTAGTGCTGACACGGCAGGACTCACCTGGCCACATCAGGGGCGGCGGAGGGTCTGACGTTCTTCATGACGGCCTGGATCCAGTTCCTGCGTATACCTGCTGTCATGGCCGACAGGGTGTGCACTCCCTCCCGGGTCTAGACATTTCACATCAAATGAAGATGTGATCCTATTTCTAATGTGCTGCAAACACCAAATCACTTCCAGGGGTTCTGATTTAGTTTGGTTTAAGGATGTCATGGTGAAACTTAAAAAGTATGTGGATTTATTGACGTTTCGTGACTGGTTTCATATTGCAGATTCAATGTGTCTAAATCAAAAATAACATTTCAGATTTACGCTCAAAATGAGTCCAAAATACAGAATGTGATGTCTTCCAAGGAAGGCTGATTGATGTATATGCATGCAGCTAGTTGGTGGAAGCATGGTATCACATTAAAGTACCACAGCAGGCGTTGCCCCTTTAATCGCGTGACGCACGTCACAGACAGACAGAGATATTAAAATGCCTGCAGAACATGTAGCCCAGCAAGGCAAAGCTCCTTACATGTATCTGGAAGCCATAGTTGCGTTGAGCCTGGTATTCAGTTACACTGTAGCAGGTAGACAGGTCGATCTCACCATCCAGGTCGGAGGCCTGACGGAACACAAACAGGGGACATGTGGACAACTTGGAATAAGGACAAGACGTGCTCAACAACGTGATTGAGTAAAGGTTCTACCTCCTCGGCAATGGAGTCCCTGTAGTATCTCAAGCTGTGATCCGTCAAAACAAACCAGTACTTCTTCCACTACAACGTGGACACAGACAAATGGGAGAGTAATGCACCGTTTATTTGGCCACATCAATCCTTGAACAACGGCTGATTCAAACGTCATGGCTCACCTGGCCGTGTGCATCCAGCCTCACCATCCAACCTTTCTTGAAGTTCAGTAAGTCCGGCTAAAAAACAAACAAACCTGTTAAAACATGTTTGGCACTACAATCATTTTTCTGTGCTATTTCAAACTGTTCAACATGCAAAATATTGACTTTCCCAAGTCAGTATTCTTTTTGAAAGTACGGCCACTTACTTTAAAATAGCGCTAAAGTTCATGGGAAACGTCCTAAGTGACAATATATCAAACCCCATGGTAGAAGGGAATACGCTGCAGTGTGATTTCATACGGTGGAAATAACACACACACACACACACACGTGTGACGGGTAAGTTGTGATACACACGGTCACACAAACATGTAAACACCTGTTTTCACTTCTCGGGCTGACGGGAAAGCAAAAAGGAGCCACATGGCATTGGGTGCGATGAACGCGCGCAGCAGAGGAACCCGAATGAGGATGAGCTGCAGAGGCTGGAGGTCACGCGTAAAGAGAACATCTCTACGAGCAGAGGTCCAGAAGGTCATAATGTCACCACTTAGGGAGTAAATGGAGAGTTGTAACTGCACACTTGGACTGGACGGTGCTCCCAGTGGGACGTATGAACACAAACTACTTCCACGGTCCACTCTTGGAGAGCGCCATTTATTACCCATTTCTCTCGCTTTTTCAGGCTCTTCCCTCACTCAAAATGAAAGTATTTTACGTTTTTTTGGAAAGAAATTGCTTTGATGACATTTAATGTGTTTTTTTTCTCCATTTTCAATCCTTGATGTTTTGAAAGTGTAGATTTTATTAGAACAGTTTTTCAGAAAAGGTTCATTTCAAATGTGGGACAATGGGACCGAACTAAACCCCACGGCGTCAGCAGGAGCACGACCCAAAGCCTGTGGGTGCGTATCGGGTGGACGTCGTCCTTCATTCCTGTTGTCCTGTCGTACTGTCTGCTGTCACGCACCAACCTCGCATGGTCTGACATATTGTGGCGATAAATGTTTCCACCGGATCTTCTTCCAGTCCTATAGATAGCCGCGCGTCCCTGTGTCCCTGACGCATCGGGGCCTCAGAAGGACACAGTAATGTCACCGTGGATGCTTTTATCTGGTGTCTTTGTCTCAACCCTTGCCAGAGAGACTACTGATACATACCCATAGACCTTCAGAAGACACCTTTAAGCTGCATAGATTTTTAGGTTTGGGGAAAGGAGCAGACCTACCGTCATGACCGATTCAGTGGTCCTTCTGTCCAGGGACTTGGCTCTTCTTAGAGGTGGCAGAGAGGAGGCAAAGTCCAGACCCCCGTCCTGCCAGCACAAGGGGACTGAGCTTAATTAACTAAAACATCTCAAGCCCTGTTTGACTATCTGATACTAAGCATGTAAAACACGGAGATAACACACGTGTTTACTACGTAATGAGATTTGTTTGTGGGATATAAGTGTGGGTAGTGAACGCACGCTGAGCGCGTTACCTCTCTGTGGAAGCCTCTGTGCTCACTCCGGCCCTGTCGCCCTCCCCTCCTGCTCAACTCCTCCACCTCCATTTTCTCTGGATTCTCCAGCTCCAAAGCCTCCAACTTCTCAATAACACCGGAACGACTGCAAATAAACACACACACACACACACACACTGGTGGATTAAACCCATTACAACCGATTTAGTATTTCTTATCATTATCGGTCTTTTCAACTTTAATTTTACACACACACAAACACAAAATAATGTCACATTTTGAAATGCATTCCTATGTGTCCTTTGTCTATGTGCAGATGTGAATTAATTGGCTCGTTAATCTATTAATGTGGCCGACAGTGTGATAAAGTACTTTAACCCAGTTAACATGGTTCAGTGTGAAGTGAACAAAGTGACGCTCCTGCAGCCAGTTAGCCAGGAGGCAGAAGATGGAGATGGAGAGAGCCTATTGCATTGGAAGTAAAACAAACATACGGCGGATAACTGTGCAGAGGAATCCACCCAGGTGCACGTTACACACCGCCAGGAGAAAGGTTTACGTACGGTCATACCGCGGTCACGCCGCTGACGTTGCTCTTCGGCAGGCGGCAGAATTTATTTTCACACGTCGTCGCTACTTGTTTCACGCGTGTTGAGATTGAGTCTCGGTTCTAACTTTATACCGACAATGAACAACCCACAACAAACACACTTAAACAGGGTAAAACACCACGACACAACAGCTTGTGACACATTTAAAAACAATTCCTCGCCGAACTGCATGCTGGGTAAAGCTCACAACAAGAAGTGACTCTGTTGCTACATGAAAACACAGACAAGAGGAACGAGGAGAGACCAGAGATGCACCGACACAACAGAGGAGGAGGAGTTGGACAGAAAAACGCTGACGGCTTATGGAACAGCAGCAGCGCAGAAGACGGGCGGACGCTGACCTCTCTGGGCTTTGGACGACCTTCATCTCCGGCCTGTCGGGGCTCCTGAACCGGCTCCTCTTCTCGGCCTTCCTCGCCTCTGCCTCCAGCCGTCGGGATCGGGGATGGTCGTGGTGGCTGTAGCAGTGGCCCCCCCGCTGGTTGGCCGGGTGGCTGTCGGTGCTGGTCACGGTGCTTCCGCTGGCGTCCGAGTCCAGAGAGCTGACCGAGCCGCTGATGTGTGAGCCATTGGAGAGCAGGGAGCCCCCAGAGGGGAAGGGGTCGCTGGGGGCCGGGGAGAGGCAGTGTGGGACCCCGCCCGAGCTTGAGCAGGAGCCGGTCGGGGAGACCGGGTCTCTGGGCGGCTGAGGAGCAGAGCCAGCCAGCGCGAGGCCACCCTGGTCCACCTCGTCGCCGTTCAGTGAGCCAGAGTCAGAGCCGTGGGCCGCAGGGTCCACTACACCAGAGACACAATCATGAGAACCATTTTCTCTCCACTGCATTCTTAATACTTATCATTGATCACATTTGTTACCTTTTTTCATTTGATGATGATGAAGTTGAGTCTCCATTAAACTACATAACGGAACGGTTTTCTAACCCGCACAGTGAAAGCTAGCATTGCCCTGACCTGGACACGTGCAAATTGACGCCGTTTCCGGTATTTCTGTTGTTGTTGATCGCCTTGAAAACGTTCGTAATCTTATTTCATACATGTCAACAAATCCACGTGTCAAACCTCATGAATATATATGAACATTTACATGTTACAAACTACTGCAGGACAGTTACTTTCGGTCCCGGGTTTTGAGCTACAAATGTAAAGACTTAAATGTAATGATACGATGCATCAATGCTGTTAATGTGGTAATATTGACGTTTCTGTCAAAAAGCCATCTACTGGTGTGTGGAACATTCTGCCATATTTACAGCTTCCCTATGGAAGTAGGTGTGGCTTCAAAACAGCTATTTTTTCTCAAGAATATGCAGTGGGTGGCGAGTACGCGGGCGGCCATTTCTGGTCAATCCGCATTAACCGCGTCATTTGAGCAAGACGCCCCGAAGAGGGGGCGTGGCTTATTGCCCTGAAAACAGTTAAATAGTTTTTCCTCTGCATCAACCATGGAAGACTAACATTTATGTACCTCTTGTGGAAGTCCTACTCACATCCAACGCCTCGCGTCTGGGTACAAAATAGCACCGGCAGACAGACCGGTGAATTTCACCTACTTCTACAGGACAGTTTGATAGCCTGTTCGCTCACATGGGTCTTCCTTCACATCGTACTTGTCCCCAGAGGGAACTATCCTTAAAAAATACAAGTATCCTTCGCCATAATGTACTTTGATCAGTGCATTGCTGGGCACATGTTGTTGTATGCAGTTTGTTAAAAGTTCACTAGTCGCAACATAAGGTACGAGGATGTATCGTGCAGCTCGCGGTGCCCACACACAGCTCACATTACTCGTCAGCTATCCTCCATGTTTTCTAATTCAGCAACCGTCTGCAGAACAGTTGCCAAAATAGTAAGTAATTAGTAAATTAGTAAGTAATCCTTTTGCGTTGCGTTGTTTAGGCTCACGGCTGAGGATGAAGCTACATGACACAGAGGTCCTATATAAATATAGAACATATAAAGATGGTATTCTTCCTTACCTGCAGGGGGCAGCGGTGATCCTGGAGGCAGGTCAGGGGCCCAGACTGGAGCCCCCTCGGCCTCTCTCTGGTTCAGCTCCTCCTGCCATATGAGGGAGCTTGAGTTTGGAACCTTCTCCGCCTCCGGGATGCCAGAGCCGGTCACTGCTACCTTGGCTGGACCTGGCTCCTGGATATGGACAATGGAACAGGTCAAGTGGAGTAGAAACCCAAGTGATGCCAGGGACCTGCTGTGTCCTTTGTAAGATGAATTACCTGGGAGGTTGTCGGTTCCACCTTGCGTTTCTTCTTCTGGTTCTGCTTGTTAGTTTGGGGGTACACTACCAGCTGTTCACTCCATCTGGAAACAGTGGAAACATGTTTTTACGTGCGCATCACATTTTCCCGACCCATCAGCAGACACACCTGGAAAACTAACCCATTGATGATCTCTTTGTTCTCTCCTCTGATGAAGTACTCCTGGTCCGGGGTGATGATGCAAAGGGAGTTCTTCTGGCCGGTCTTGGGCTCGGAGTCTATGACGTCAGTGCAGAGGTTCATGTTCACTGTTCCCTGTGGCAGCGTGCTTGGCTAGAGGAGACACAGCAATATACGTTTAGCTGCTGAAGAACCTCCCACAGCATGACGCTGCCACCACCGTGCTGCCACTTCTTCTGAGGCACTTCTTCAGAGCTTCAGAGAGTCTCCTTTCAAAACATGTCCAATCAACAGAATTTACCCAATCGAGTTCAGTGTTTCCAGCTTTTGGGAGGGGGGGCAACGGGGGGATAATAGTCTGTCCGCTGGTGTTTTCAATCTGCTGCGTGTGCCACGTGTGCGCATGCACGGACATAGTTGCGCACTTTCTTGAGGGGGGTTTGGGGGGCAGGGCGCAATCTTTTTTAAATGGTAGGGAAACACTGCTAAATAATTCGGAGGCTGAGACGCAGACGTTGAATAAATATGCTGCTTAATGATTTTTCATACAGTGTGTCTGCTCTGAACCCTGCGGCTGTTATCAGGCTTTGCTGCTACAGATGGAAACAGGTGAAGAGTCCCATTCCAGCTCCTTTTAAGGCCACTGAACAGAACCCAGATCCAGCCCTATTAAGATATGCCTGATATGGGCTTGCCTAATACGGCAGTGACGTTGCATCCCACTTGAGAGCTAAAAGTCTGTGGAAGAACTTCTTCTCCTTTAAAGAAACAACATCTTGTTAGTCAAAGACTTGACTTGTAAGGAAAGACAAACTGAACTGTTTATATGTCATTGAATAAATGGAACAAAACAAGCAATGTCCCTGTGTTCTAATACACCGTGCTAATTAGTGAAGGGGGGGTCGTGGGCGCAGCATACACCATCTTCTGTCCTTAGACCATCACATCTGTAAAGCTAAAATTCCCCAAAGAGAGACCTTAACCCCCCCCCCCTTCCTCAACAGAGGAAGAACCCCTGTGCAGTTGTTTTGTTTGGAATAATCCAAAATGTTATTTTAGATGATAGCATAACTTGGCCAATCTCTATTTGACAGTTGCATGGTTAATAATTAACCTCCATATTTGCTAGGTTGGTAATATAATAATAATTATATAATAATAATATAATAATAATCATTTTTTTCAGCCCTAACTGAAACTGATCTCTAGCTTCACTTGAGCCAGGAGCCAATCTGTAAAACGGTTTTATTTACCAAAGACAGATCAACAGAGGCCGTTCTCAGACTATTTTGCAGCAAGTTTATCCAAAAGTCTAGTTTGAAGAACAAAAAGAGAGACGCACAGCATCAGAAAGACAGATGGTCTGAATACCTTCCTGTTAAATGTGGAAATACCTTTTTTCACTATTCACAGCTTCAATTTTTATATTTGAAATACATTTACCTCTAAACGTATACTTATAAAATATGTAAAAGTAAAGTGATATTTAATAAGATTACTTTCACTTGTCAATTTTGCGATTAAAGCAAAAAAAAGGTGCAATCAATTGCAAGAAAAGATCATGTGATTATTCACGATTAATATTTGTAATTGTTGCCCAGCACTATCAATAACAACATGTGGGACAGAAGCAGCCTTTCGGCACGTTCGACTGGTCACTGACCATGAAAATAAGAGTTTGCAGGGTGGTCTCACTATATGTTAATCCTTCTGGATAAATGTCTCTAAATCTAACCATGTTTTATGAATTTAAATAATTCTCATTGTTAAACAGACACTATGATACTATTACTATGACATAGAAGGATAGCATTTAAAATATTTCATAGCTTACTTACATTACAGGTCATTTAGCTGACGCTTAGCGACTTACATTACATATCCAACCCGAGGCTTTTCACATTTTGCCCGGGGAGCAATTAGGGGTCAGGTGTCTTGCTCAGGGACACTTCCACATGGGACATGGGGCAGTCGGGGCTCAAACCACCAACCTTGCGGTTACCAGAGCACCAGACCCATTTAGAACATTTACATGGTTTTTGGGACAGTGGCCATGTAGAGCAGCTGCTATAATGAAATAATAATCAATTCAACGATCCGATCATCAGCAACGCTGTGAGGAACGTCTGTCTTTGGGGGACATGGAACATTTCCCCTGTAGCTTCAGGGTATGCTCCCTCTCTCCTGCTCTCCCTGGTCCCTGGGGAAGCTCACTGCAGTTCACCAAATAAGGCCATTGGAGGAGGAATGCTGCTTTCGATGGGAATGCATCTTTTCCTCCACACGCAGTGAAAATAGCCGGGCTGTAACGTGACGTCGCTTCAGAGGACATTCCGCAGGATAAAAAATAGCCCACAAAAGTCATCGGTTCCTGGAGCTCGTTCTTCAAGAGGATTCAGATTCAAAGTGTCACGTTGGGATAAGCAGGCATACACACCCTGATCCCAGACTGACTAAACTCACGGACAACAACCGACTAAAGAACCCTATTTACCGGTAGTACTGCAGGAAAACAGAAACAGGGCGGAAGATCTGAATAGATGCATTGCGTGCCATCATTGAGCTTTTTGTAGAGCAAATGATCGGGGGCAAAATGCGTGGGACGGTTTACCTGCAGGGGGCGCTACAGAGGCATTTCTTTATAGCCAAATGCGAGTGGTGAAAGAATAATAAGAATTCTTCAGTAAACAAGAGGGATTTCACCCGCCTTTCAGTCAGCTCGGGCCTTAATAACAATACAATCGGTTGCTCTACGAGTAGTCGTAGCAGGGACCCTACAAATAAGATCAATTTGGGTGCAGAGGATTTGTGACATGGCCTGGATGGGCCTCGGTTTTTTCTTGTTTGTTGATTTCTTTTTCACAGGTTTTGAAGATCACACATCCCCTCAGGGTCCGCAGCACAAAGTAGCCCTTTTCCTGCCCAACTATTTCTGCCTCGTGGAGCACATGAAAAGACCAAAAGACAATGAGGCGGGTGATTGTGGGATCACTGTTACAATGGGAGGAAAACCCAACGGCAGACGAGCCCGGGGGTCACTGGGAACACGTTACACAGTGGAACCACACGCAAAGCGTCCTCCCCGTGTCACCTCACGGACCACAAAGAGATTTACCACAGGAGACTCTGGCCTTAAGACATCTGCCGCGCCATGTGGAGACCACAGGAAGTCGGCCTCATGTGACAGTGGTCCTTTACAACCACATCACATGAGGCCATTCAGCCCAAAAATGACATGTATTTGTATGTAATACAAGAGTCCAAGAAGAGAAATTTAGAAGGCGAGACCAGAGACTTTAACCAAGAATGGACAGACTTACGCCTGGGTTCTCTGCAGGTACTCAGGCTCCTCCCAGCGCCCAAAGACATGCTCTGGGGATCAGGTTGGTTGGGGACTGTAGGTGTGTGGATGGTTGCTTGTCTTGCTTTCAGCCATGCGATTGGCTGGCAACCAGCGTGTACCCCAACCCCCGCCCAATGATAGCCGAGATTAACCCCATGTGAAGGATGGATGCATGTATTTTAAGGGTTAGGAGGATGTGCAGATTGTTCCTCTACCTGCGCTGGTCCCTTCACAGCAGCAGCTACAGGGAAGGTGATAGAGGAGAGGGTGGACCAGTGTCTTCATGCTGTTAGCCAGTTCATTGTCAAAGGCCTGCACATCTTCTCAACATTGGAGTCAGAAATCCTTTCTTATAGAGTTGTTTGAGAGTTAACAAGGGGAGCAGCTGTGTAGTTGTGTGGCTGCATTGACACAAGGCTCAAAGCCATGTGCATCAGCGCAATGTCTGAAACCCTGAGGGCTTATTCGCCTTGTTCTCCTCCTTCCGCTTCGAAGGGCGACAGCCTACTCCCACAGCGTTGCCAACCCATGCTTCATAATACATCGAAATGCTTGGGAATCTTTTCCCGTGTGGAAGCCACTGTGCTCATTGGCACGTTTATTTTGTACCCTTCCCCAGATCTTTACCGTGATGCTATCCCGCCTCTGAGGTCTACGGGGAAAACCTTGAACCTCATAGCTTTGTGCTGACATGTACTGTGGACCCTTACATTTACACAGATTTACCCATCTCGTCCAATCAGTACGTGAGGAGCCTATTGAAACCGTAGGAATGATTAGAGCCAGTGCTGCAGACGCTATTGAAATTGTAAGGATTATTATATGAATTTTGCAACCGTCCTAGAGGATTGAATACATACATACATCATATGGGGTTTTTCCTTTTTCTGTGTAAATTGCTTGAATAGTGCCACCTACATATCTTCATAAGAGCGACGTTTGACCCACATCAGGGATTTGGTTGTCTTTTCTCTAGAGAGGATGCTCTAAAATGCCAGTAATTGAAATGCCTCGCACACATTGGGTTGAACGAAGTGAGGGTTTGAGATTTGACTTTTGTAGCATGGTGGTCAGAATTTGGAGTAAACATGAAAACATGGATCCATGCTGCCTTGTATCAATGGTTCAGGCTGGTGCTGACCATGTCCGCCCCTTTATGACCAGTGTCCCATCTTCTGACGGCCACTTCCAGCAGGGGAATGCAACATGTCACAAAGATCATCATCTCAAACTGGTTCCCCGAACATGAGAATACTGCAATGGCCTCCCCAGTGACCACATCTCAATCCAATGACGGACCGTTAGGATGGAGTAGACCGGGAGATTTGCATCAACAATAAATAAAGAACAATATTTTATAAAACAAAGAAAAGAAAAAACATCAGGATTGTTTGAACCTCAGAACTTGTTCTCTACACTACACTCAGACACACACACGTTTGAACCTTATTCATTAAATGATTACCTTCATTGTAGTAAGTCAACTTTATTCACCAGGTTTAAACACAGCTTAAGATGACCAAGTGATCCCCGTTTATAAAGCTACATGAAACTTCTGGTGAAATGACTGCTTACTTTCCTCCCTTTGTCACAATACTTTCTATAAACTGGTACATTTTCACCACCGTAAGAGCTTTTTGCCTCACACGGGTCCATTCACTATTAAGCTTCTTTTTTTTACTGTAGCCATACCATCAGGCCCACACTCACTCCTTTCAAAATAAAAGTCTCATTCCATTACCCGTCTGTGGGGTTATTTACACTCCCACAAAATTAGGTTTATTACAAACAGAAACCATGAAACACACAATGACAGAATAACCCACCGAGTGTATCGGGGACACCACATAGCAAACCAGATCACATTTCCTTACTGCAGGGGGCTTAAACAGCTGGTAGCAATAAAACTCATTTGTGGACGGAGGCTCCACAGCAGGCCTGCTGCTGGACTCCAGACTAGATTTGGGCCCGTCTCACAAGTCCACCTTTGCCTTGGGTGTCCTGAGACTGAGAATGCACCGAGACGGTGCCATGTCTCCATTTGCTTGGTGGTAAAGCGTCCTCAGCGTCCATTACTCTCTCACCGACCTGCAGGTTCCTTTTAGTGATGGGCCAGCAGCTCTTGTTGTTGTTGTTGTTGTTGTTGTTGTTGTTGTGGAGGTGCTCTTTTTTTTTTTTTTTTATAGCTTCTTCAAAACTGTTCGGTCAAGTACTGCACCTAACGCCAACTCTTTTGTCCATAAAGATCCGCTCTGTCAGATTTGCCAGGTGGAGACAAGGCTCTGAGCCGTTAGCATCATTTAGGCTCCCAGGGGAGAGCAGCAGGGGGGCGTCCCACACACCTCCTGCATGGAGGGGTACGAAGCAGCGACAGCTGTACACCACTGGCAGCTAAATCAGGTCGACATGAAACTAGTGCAAACGTAAGAAGTTGATGATCACAGCCTGCGAAGCTCTTAAACTCTGGTGGAATGACGTTGCCGTGGCGACGCATTCTTTGCCATGAACAACAACATAAAAATGCCCAAGCTAGGCTTGGCACACACATGTAAAGTGCTCAATGTAATCGTATTATAGGATTACAAGACCGGTAAACAGGCTCCATAGCGCCTCCTATAACAATCCAACAACTAGCCAACGTGTTACATCCATCACACAGACGAAGTCTGTGAAACGTACCAGTATTCGGCCAGCTTTATTTGAGTGGATTTGCCTTCATCTTTGGAATCTTTTTTCGAATGTATCTCAAGAGACCTTTGTAATTAAATGCTATCAAAAGCTTTACGAAGTGGTGGGGAATCCTTTTTACGCCATTCAAGCTCATGTGACCCACTGGACTAGTGCGGCACGGTGTGGTGATACTAAAAACGCACCGCGGGACACGTACAATATGACATATATGTATATTTATAGTGACGAGACTTCCCATTGATATTGACACCATGTAAAGCCTGCGCACTCAACCACTGACCAGGCTGTTGAGGGGGGACATTGGGACGGGCCAGGACCTAAAGTGCACAAGCTCCTGCCGACTGGCCTCGGCCTGTTGGAAGTACTTGACTACATAGCCATGTATAATCAATGCCATGATGGCACAATGCAGTTTTCATTCACATCTTGCTGTAGGCTCGTACTAATATTCATTTAATTTGTGTTCAAAACGAGCTGGTGAAAAGGGAACCATGCAGACGTTTTATTTATTACCATTATAGATAAATAGTGTCATATTCTGGTGTGGGGATATTTATGGCAGGTAGTCAAAATGTTGCTATTGTGACAAAAATATGTCAAAAATTCTCACCCATGGCCTGAAGTATGAACAGGCTTATTTTCACTCAGTCATACTGGAAAAGGACATCGCATTATGTCCTGTATCTCCCTCGATTTCAATCCATAATGACATGTGGTCTGTGGTCCGAAGGTCAGTCAGTACTACAATAGTCCCGCCAGTAGTAGTAGTAATCTTTTTGATATTACTGTATGTTTCCATGTGATATTTAGCATGCCACAGCGAACAGAGGGAGAACCTGTGCGGAAACACATTTCTAGCGTCAGACGGTCAGATTCAGTGACTGGTTTGTTTGCAGGTTGCAGGCATTCAGGCGGCCGGCGAGGGTCCGTTCAGCGCTGCTTTCAGCCTTCGGAGCTTTGCTAAAAATTCCTCAAACTTTTTTTTTTTACTTTGTCAATATGAAGTATTTCGTATCACATTTTGGGCTGTCACAAAAAGGGAAGGGAATGTGAATACTTTCTGGATGCACTGTGAAGATGGCTTGTCATGAGCGTGTTCTTTAGAGTGGCAATGTGCTAGTCACACCACTAGAGGTTCAGAGACCCGCTCGTCACTGCTGGAAGCCTGGGATCTTATTAATAAATAGAATACATGAACAGAGGATCCGGCATATCAGCATAAAGCAGCAGATCCTTCCTGATATAGAGTAGCGTGCACCACTCACCGATTCGTCGAGGGCAAAGCGCAGACAGCCGTGTTCGTACAGCACAAAGAATCTCCTCTGCCATTTCTGTCAGCAAAAAGAAGGTAAATTCACAAAAGCTCAGACGACTAAGCACCGGTGTTAAGCCTCACTTGCATTATTCCAGTAGGGGCTGTACTCAGTGACCACTAGACGGTAAAATATGGTTAAATTGGATAAATTGAGGTCTGAACGTCTAAGACTTTATTTCAACCGGCCAAACAGTGGATAAAACATCAAGGTGACAAATAAGATTCGTTGGTAATGTGTTCTGTTGCAACGCACGATTGTCATTAAGATTTTATTATAATAATGAACTGGTCGAGTAAATCAGGTGAAACAACTGCAAGTGGTTTAATTATATGAACGTTATTTGAAGCTTTGAGATTAGTTAAAAACACTATGAAGTTAGAGAACAACTTCAAACCGTTTAATCACCGTTATATGAAGCTCTTACATACGCACGGTCTAGTGCCTGTGATGCATTGTCTCATACCCGGGATCTCTGCGTAGGGTTTTCAAAGTCGGTTCCCTCGGGGGCCAAGCACAGCCAGCCACCATATATAGGTTTAGCCTGTAAAAGAAGAGATGGTCATTGTTAGCTGGAAGAGTGTGACTGCTAAAAAATTAACTTGTATTTTTATTTAACCTTCATTGAAAAAAAGTAAAATCCCACTGAGATTTAGTGCTGTCCAAAATGAGGTTTTCACCGAATGTTCAAATAAAAGACAAAACATACATGAAAACAGTAAAAAGTATCCAGAGACATTTTGCATTAATCATCCAGGCAACATTCCCACTGATCCATTAAATCCATGTCTCCATTGTGACAGGCCCACCATCCGTCCACAGCATGAACACGCGTGTGAACTACACTGCTGACTGCCCCCCCCCAAAGAAAGTCTTCATTTGGGAGGGGGCATCGTAAATGCTGCTGTCTGTCTGTCCGGACTGCACCCAGCGGTCCGTCCGTCCAGCTGCAACCCCCCATGTCGTCTTTACAGATAAACGGCTGTGCTGGATTTTTTTAAACACACACAGAGAGACAAAAGTTTAGATTTTGAACTGCGCTGCACCGTTTTTGGCGTTGCTACACAGCGGAGTAGTGTGGAGGAGAGGCAGCACAGACGTAGCGACCAGCAGGGTTCATTCTGCACACATCCTGTAGGGATCCTCATGCGTCGTTCTCCCTGAGGCTTCCTCCTTTTTCAGTATTTTTATAAATCAAAACACATCGTAGATAAATATTAAAGTCATATGAAGCAAATGATACAGAATTATATGTTTAGCAAAAATGCTCAACGAACCAAAATAAGTTTTATATTTTAGACCTTTCGCTTCTCCCACTTTATGCACCACTATCAGCTCCATGATATATATTGGCCTGGATGGTTTTCCAAAAGCAGCGGCTGCTTTGCCTTCACTTTGCTGTCCAACTCCCCCCCAGACAATCTCAACAGCCCCAAAGGCCGCCGCGTCTTTCTGCGTCTGCGTCGACGCACTGGTTTCACTTCCTGGTTGTAAAGTCCTGCGTGTGTTGCAGAGCGATTCTCCTCCAGAACAACAGGTGGAGTCACGTGTTTTGTTGAAGACGACCTGGAGAGTCACGTCTTTGTGTGTGGAAGTCGCTGGTTGCTTTATTTATTGATCATAGACTTTATTGCCCCGTGCATCCACACTGCTGCTTTCCATCAAGGACACATTTGTCCCGTATTTTCCTCCACGACTTTGTCCCCCTCGTTTGTGGAGATCTCCCTCCATGAATCAGAGGCCATCCGGCGTCCTCATAGTCCGCCAATGACGGCTTGTACAAGCGCTCATATTTAAAAGCTCTTCAATCTGATCCGTTCTCTCGTAAACATTCTTCCTTTTAATAACGGCCGTATTGTGCTGTGAAAACGGAGACGTGAGACTCTAAAGGACGTAGTCAGAGACCAATCACAGCCTGGTGCTGCAGGAGGCTGCAAGTAGACGCAAGTCTACAAAAATGGGTCGACGCACGCGAGGAGGTCTGAAAAGGTAATGGGTCCCAACCTCCTTCCCTCCCACTGCAGAGGCTTTATATAATAAAAAGCAAGCACTTTCAGCATGCAGACACAATTAAGAGTACACAAAAGATGGTTATGCTTTTTGTCGTTTCCCAGCCTGCAGACACAGGACCTCCATCATCCAGCTCTTCTTCTGCTGGACCACGACATCCACCGGTAGCGTATTTGTTACCTTTGTTTGCATGACAACGGTGATCACTTTATTTGATTTTTCTCCCCATTATGTCAATAGGTCTCACTCCTGAAGACAGAGAGTGTGGCCGGTGCCGGGAAGCTCAGAGGGATCGGCGTGGAGGGTCCGGTGAGACAGCTGCCCCTCGTGGTACCACATGGCGTGTGGGCTGGGACGAGGAGCTGGATGACCAAGACGATTTGAAAATGTTTTTTGTGGCCTGATTTAGTTAAGTGTTTTACAATAAAAATGTATTCATTGAATATTTCTAATTGTAATAAATCACTCCCGGTGTTACGACAGTGTGTGTTTCTAATATTAAATCCCATGCATCTGCTGGTGTTTGCAAGTGATTCACGTGAGAAGAGTTTAGCAAAACGACCAACACTCAAATCGAAATGAAAGCTTTGATGGGTTTAATCTCATGCCTGTAGCAGCGCTCGGCTCATTCACCCGCGTTAGCGTCCTTTCACAGACTCCGGTGGAGAAAATGTTCACTCATGAATAAAACAGCATTTGGCTCGGTTGGATAAAACTGGCCGGGTGAGGAAACCCACAAACACAAGTAGCTCCGACCGCTGTGCGCTCAGCGCTAGGCTGTAAAATAAATTCAATTCTGCTGCCTGCCAAAGTGAAACATTAGTTGTTAAGATTTTAAAAATTCTGAATAACTTTTAAAGCTAATAAAAGATCATTTAAAATCGATTGAATACAAGAGCTCTTTTCACTGGATTATTAAATTAATCACAGTGAGGTCAGCCCCCGCCAGTATCCACACAATGAGAATATTCTCTGGAGCCATAACTTTACCTTGAGCCGGCGGCCGAAGGCCCGCGTTAAACCTTCCCGGCTGCCGCGGCGCGCCTTTCCGCTTGCAATAATAAATTAATAATAATAATAATAATAATAAATTGCAATAATATCTCAATAAATGTTGGTGCAATCATTTCACAACAAAAATGTGATATTCTGAGCCCTACTCAGAAGGTTAAACGCTTTATGTGGCGTATCAAAATGCAGTTTCTTGGGCGTATCCCCATCTGATTCCAATACGGTAGACAGAAGAACACTTGGTGGTGTTCTGGTGCAAGTGAACTGCAGGCTTAGCGTTTGGATGACAGACTGGGGATGTTTTCAAAAGCCTACGGGCAACTACCACAACCCTGATTGCCCGGCCCGTAAGCCCTCTGGTTCCGGGGGTCATCCTCCGCCGGTAGAAAGGTGTGTGGGCCAGGTTGCAGGCAGATTAGGGGGAGTGATGTAAGCGTGAACCGTCTGCCCTGACAACACAGTCTCACATATGACGTGCTAATCCTGAAACAACCATCCAGCAACACACACGTAGAGGAGAGAGCCGCCAGCATCGCCGGCAGGTGTTGAGTCACATGACGCAGGCAAAGACGTCTGTTCGCGTTAAGTCGTCCAAGGTGGGCGAGCATTTCACAATAAATAATCTAAAAAAGTGTGACCAATGCCATATATATGCAAAGTTAACGTAGAGACACGGGAGCACCAGGTAACGTCAGGAGCCTCTAGAAGCTCTGCTGCTGTTTACTCTCGTCCAGCTGAACACGCTAGCGTTAGCTCGCTAATAACAGCAGTAAAGCAGTTAGCAAGACTAAAGACACGTTTTTATTCACTCGCCTATTTTGGACCATTTATTTTTCAATCTGTTGTCTTGTACGTTTTGTAAATGTGTGTGTGTGTGTGTTGTACTTTGTAATTCATCTCATAGCACGTGGCTATTTTTAACTGTATTTAGCTGGTGTGTACATTTACTTTAGTGATGGTAATAATTTAATGAATAAGCTTCAAGTGAACATGGAGTGTTTCAGTGTAGAGAACAGGTTCTGGGGTCAAAACTATTTGTATTTTTCTTTATAAATTATTATGTTCAAGGAGCAACATGTTTGGACTTTCTGAAGTATTTTTTCAATGTGAATTTGCAGTTCTGTTTGAGAATTTATCCAAATCATCGAAAAAAGAATCAATCGATTAATCGATTATCAAAATAATCGTTACGTTAAAATATTTTATTGCATTAATCTTGGCTACATTAAATCGCATAGATTAACGAGCTAATGATTTTTTAAATCTTCATACAATTACAATAAAAGGCAAGGCTCTAAAGATCACACGTAGCAATTTGAAAATAATCTAGATCAATCTCTGGGAGGAGTTTGAGCTTTACTCCATAAAACGATGAGAATAGGCTAAAAATGCAGATATTGAGTGATCAACTGCAGCGTACCCTGGTGTTTAATTATTTAAAAATGAGGGTATGTTTAGTAATGCAATGTCAACAAATGTCAAATTTGGTGAAGACAGACAAAGCGATTTGGAAATTACATCAAAAATCTTATGATGCAATTGAACCAATAATAATCTACAGAAGATTTTGTGAGGATTGCACTCAGCGTTTAAGAGTGGGGAAAAAAAGGTTTACCAATTTCAAAATGGCAGAAAATCCAAGTAGGCCCATTTAAATGCCGTGATTTACTTTTTGGTAGAGCATAACAAAGAGCATGTGTGCCAAATGTCTAGGGGGCACTATAGAGACACTTTGAACCCAAATGTGAGACCCCAAAAATCCTGATATCCACAGAAACATTTTTGGGGATATATGGTAAAGCCCCCCAGAAAGCAAAGGAATTCCTAAAAATACAATAGGTTCCTCTACCACTAGTCCTGACGAGACGCATAATAATAGGAAGTACAAAAAAATATTGAATCGATTAAAAATATTTTATGTTTCAATGCTTGTTAAGTTAAAGTGTTAACGAACCCTAATTTCTGTAAGAAGAAATCTTCAAACAACCGAGTTTCTCACAAACCCCACATTTTCGAAATGACGTGAACACATCATGACAAAATCATAAATTTACCTTCGCCAAATACTCATTTTCACCGAACGGACCATGAACACGTCTTATTGATGATGATTGCCCGCAGGCGTGTGGATGTGAGTGTCAATGGTTGCTGAGGTGCACCCGGTCTCACGTCTGAAGCCGGCTGGAGCTCATGTCCGGGATCAATCACAGCCTCCACAACCGCCCCGCATTAAGAAACATCTTTTTATGAAATATATTTATTTTGGAAAATGACCGGATTCTCTCAATTACATGCGCTTGTCCGCACACAATTCATCATATTTTGTAACATGAAACCGGTCCGTGAGTTACAGGATACAACAGACACGAAACTAAATGAATGATGTGAAAAGGGCAGAATTGAACTACTCTTCATCTTTATGACACACCAGTGGTTTCCACTCACCGACAGGTGGAGATCAGCCGAGGCTTACACGACCAACCGCAGGCGCGTGGAGGTGAGTGAGCGCCGGACTTTCTCTAATGTCCCGTTAAGCACCTCCGCGTGCGTCACGCACAACCTCAACATGTTATGCGTTTCACAAAACGAGCGCTCCGTCGACGGGTCACCGTCCCACACGCATTCTTTGGTTCGCACATTGTCGCCGCAAAAGCACTTCTTGCCATGCGCGTGAATGGCGATGGACACGCCACCCGGGCTTACCTGGGTCAGGTCCTGGTCCGTCAACAGGTGCAACTCTCGTGGTTTGAAGCAATTCTGGCATTTACTTTTGTTGAAGAAGTTCGCCTGGAATTTCCTGCAGGGGTTTTCCTTGGCGGCAGACATGCTGTTCGGCCGCTCGTGAAGCGCAGGTGACGCTGGTCTCGGCAGTGACGATAATCCGCCGCTCGGCTCCTACTCCGCCGCAGACAAAGCTCGCGCACTCGGGCGCATTTTCGGGTGTCCGTGGGCAGGGTTCAAATCAGACGGACCGTTGGTCCGTTTAGCTGTGTTAAATCGCCGCTTCCCAATGAATAATGCCGTGCCATGAAGACAGCCGTCGCATCACTCAGCCAGCGATGGGTGCGTTTCAGCCCGTGGCCTGCGACCACAAAGCGGAGTGCCGAGGGAGCGGGCTAATATCCTGTTAGCTCGCCAGCGGGATCCTCGCACCAATAACCAGGTGGCTCACGGCGCAAAAACAACACGGGTACATAGTTATCGCTTAGTTATCAGACTCCCATGTGAAGGACCCAAGCGCCAAGGAAAGGTGCAGCTCGACAGCGTGCTCTTCTCTCCCGGTCGCAGCGTTCAGCCCCGGCGGAGTTGGTCCGGTTCTCCGGTTAGCCCGGTGAGCTAACGCGCAAACGGGCTAGCAATGCAATTGTCCACCACGACTGGCGTCTTTAACATACGCCTTGGGAAAAAAGAGACTGTCCCTAAATGCAAAGTGCTCCAGCGCTTTGCTCCCATGTAGAAGCCGCATGCACGGAAAGCACCTATTGGCCAGTCAAATAGGGCAGAACAGGTATTTAGGGCTCGTTTCCATAACTAGCCTGATTAGCAGCAGTAAGTGTATTTTTTCATTCCCAACGGAGCGAAGGTGGAGCGTCCGGAATTCCACTCCCGAGTCTCGCGATAACTGATCACAGTGGCCGAGTCTCGCGATAACTGATCACAGTGGCCGAGTCTCGCGATGACTGATCACTGTGGCCGAGTCTCGCGATGACTGATGATATTGGCCGAGTCTCGCGATAACTGATCACTGGCCGCACACAGAGCACAGCGAGAGCCCAGCTTGCGGGATCTTCGCCACATTACCTCTGTGGATCCTATGGAAGCCCATCTAGTATCATAATCATGACAACAACGAGATAGTATCTCATAATTATACTCAGTGGTGGAAATGGGCCTCCAAATAGAATCTCGAGATCTTAGATACATGTGAAGTAAAATAAGCAATGCGAGCTGGAATACTAAACTACTCGACGCAGACACTACACAGTATAATGTGGCTGCTTCAAGAAGAAGAAATGGTGCATTCAAAACAGTAAATCAACAAGTATTTAGAGCTAAATGTTTTTATGCCTGTTCAGCATACATGACTGCATGCTTTTTCATAATTATGGAGTTAATATGCAAGGTGTCCTCCAACTGTTCAAAGTATTTTATGTTTTGTAAAGCAAATTGAAACTCACTATGTTAACATAATCATACATTTTGAATGATAAGTCTTATTCCGCATTACTATAACAAATAAATTAAGTCAGTTAAGTAGAATGTTGGCCAGCCGCTGGTGTGGTTTCCACCTCATCTGACTGTGGGTCTGGGAGACAACCAGCGTAGCAGGAACTACCACAGAGGAGATACTGATGCGTTTGCCGAGTGTCTATATCTGTCTGTCTGTCACATCATCACACAAGCTTTCGTGCGTGTAAACGAGATGAAGGCTGAGTTAGATGGGAGGTGGGCGCTGCACGGTGTGGGAGGGAGCATCGCGTCGCCCCTCATGTACAGCATGTATTTATCTCCAACAATCACCCGTAACAAATTAGAATAAGTAGTGAGTCAAACGAACAGCAGTCTAAGTGTGTGTTATCTCACCTCGCAAAGGCTTTTAATCAAATGATTTCTGCATTCAATCCTTTTTGGGGGGTAAGAAAACGCACTTACTTGAACGGCAGCAAGTGCTCCTCAACACAAACGTGGCTCCCTATTTGAGTTACATTCAGGCTGGCAACGAGAGGACGGTTCTCAAATACCCAAGCCGATGCTATTATAAGCAGCAGGTTCCAGTGGACAGCAGTGGGACGCGCGGGCAGAGGAGCACAGCCGTGTTAATGGACGAGGGAAATAGAGGTTGAAATCCGGAGAAAATCAAGCCAGCGCGGCTGAAGGATTATCTTGCTGTCCGTACTGTAAGTATATTAACAATAACACAGATTACAGGTGCATCGGTTGATGTTCTTATATATATCTGCACTAACAATATTGAGTCAGCCCAATTATTGGGTCTCAGTAGTGATCATAAAGACAAGTCTCAATGTTGATTAGGACTTTTTTCATTGTATTTTATTAAGTAAAGCCAGGCGAGTGAGGTCATTATAAGTGTGAGCGTCTTCAGTCGCCGCGCCTTGAGTGTCCTGTGACAGGATCCTGGAGGAGACGTGGCGCGCGCACGACCAGAATATATTTAGCTGTTCTCCTCACTTTCACAGCAGCAAGCGATATGTTGTCACAGTCAATATAAATGCAGGTTCCTCTGTTACCTGTGATTATTTTAAAGTGCAGCCCACCGCGTCCTCTCGTCCGATTGCTTCTGACAGATGATTATTAACAGTTTGTGTTGAGATGCCATTTAAGATTTGTTTCGGTCTCCTGTTGATAATATAAATCATATAATTGGGCCAAGGCAGTTTGGATTGTTTGAGTGGTGTATTCAAACACAGCAGGTCTTCTAAGGGGAAGGAATATTCTTTTCCATTGGTTTCCAGGATCAGGCTACTAGGAAACGCTGGAGAATGTGGCAGGGAACAACAGAATGTGACAGGCCTCAATAGTGAGTGGCTGATGGGGGGATGTGAACCACCAGCAGGGTAATGAGCTGATGACGGGGGGGATCTGAAACGACAGGAGGGTTGGAGAACATAAACTACGATGTGGTCAAATGTGTGTCAGGTACTGAAAGACCACCTTTAGCTTCATGCCTTTGTAGCGTGTATTCATGTTTTTTCCACCGCATATACATTCCATAACCAAGGAACTAATCTATTCCTACAATTAGTTGGTGGAGAGAAGAGTAACATAGAGAACATAAATGAACCCCCAGTAGAATATCCTCTTATCTTAAATGGCATCTCAATAACTGTCTCTGTCTCAGTGGGGTCCAATTCACAGCAATAACATGGCCAAGGACAAAGGTTCTGCTTTCAATTTACCAGGAGCATCTTTCTGTACCTACAACTAAGACCATCAAAACGGTCTTATTGAAAGTAAACTCAAACTAAATAGCCCACATACGCTTACAAAATGCCAATGGCTGCCTGAGGATGTGCTGACCATGGAGCTCTGTGTAGGTGGGATGCACGGTGCCAGAACCATCTCATCCTGGACTAGTCCTAAATATGTCAAAGGATTTATGTAAATCATTTAAATCTCATATATTCCTAATATATTTTAAGGAGATGTGTGTATGTACTTGTATCTGAGTGAGTATGTATACTTTGACAAGTTTGCTGTCGTGTGTATATGTAATATATATCTATATGTGTACAGTACCAGTGAAAAAGAGACATTTGTGTTCAAGCCTTTGACTGGTTCTGTACTTTAATGCTGTTTTGTAAATCAATGTACTTGCATATCTTTTGTGCGCTCGGGTCATCGTGCTGTTCTGCACGTCCTGTTGGCTGTTGACGTGGGAGCAGAGAAGCCTCTTCTGTGACAGGTCCAGGTGTGTGTCCCGTCCCCCACAGGACATGGCCCTGCCCTCTGTGATGGTGTTGCCCCTGCTGGTGGTCGTGGCAGCGGGTTTATACTACATCTACAATGAAGCAATGCGGCTCATGTCCAAGTCCTTAGTGCGAAACAAAGTGGTGGTGATCACCGATGCCGTGTCCAGGTCAGGGACAGGTAAAGGCCGCTCGTGCTTGTTGGTACCTTACTTTTTGGCCGCGGGGATTTTGATTTCTGTCAGTTCAATGTTTCTTGTATTGTGACCGTAACTAAGGCCTACTGACTGAATTCACTATACGCTTTGAACTGCATGTTTGTGGTGATGGCTTCTTATGTGCACACATGAACACGTATTTCAACTTTTCCATCCTAAGGAATCAGAATGTTTTCATAGACATGACCGAGGTTTAACCATCATCAGTCAATACAAAGGTATGAATAATACAGGCAATCAAAGACAGAAGTCTTAAACATATATAGAGCCTGATATGACAATCCTGTCCAGCGCCACTCTGGAAAGAGATTTTTTTATTGGAGTAACGTTTTCATGTTTTATTTTTATTAGACCACGTTGGGTTGAGACGGTGTGAATAGATGGGTAAACATAAATTATTTACATTGTTAAGTTGTATTTCTTCATGATTCTGTCTTTTTTCTAAGCACCTTTGTTTACTAAACAAAAGAAAATGTCGCCTTCCATGTAAAACACAGGGGAGGTCATTTAAAAATTCTCATTGTAACAAAAAAATAGAAACTGCTTTTATATCTCACACACACATTTTCTATGACGAGCAAAGAATGGTTTTAAAAGAAAAATCATTTGAAACAAGGTCAGGCATGTTGATCCATCCTGCTAGACGGAGGGAAACCCTGGAAAGACGGACAGTCTGAACATGAGTTTTATTTACTATAAACCCGGCCAAAAAATAAACCAAAACAGAACCGTAAAAAAGTTTACGTGTGCTATTTATTAGAAGAAAGCAGGGATTCTTTGCTGGTGGCCTCGGAATGCAGTTATGTGCCATAAACTCCCCGTTTTTAGTGTATATTTCAAACCTGAAAGTGGTATCTATATTTTTACAAGACGTATCCTTTCAATGCATTGAATGGTCTGCGCTTCTTTTCAGAGAGCTCCCATCTCTTCCATAAGGGCGGCGCCAGGCTGGTCCTGTGTGGGACCAGCTGGGACCAGCTTGAGTCGCTGTATAACGCCCTGACTGATGATGCTGACCCCAGAGATGTGAGGACACTTGAACATGCAAACTCAAGTAAACACTAGATCCTGTCTGTGTGAGGGCACACTGGACACATGGTCCCTCAAGTAGCCGCTAAGACTCATCACAGAATACGGACGTGGTGGGTTTGCAGTCGTAGACAAGAATAGTCCTGTTGTTGCTTTGGCCATAATCCTCTCCGCTTCTCCCGCCTCACTACTTCCTCCTTTTGGTCACTACAATAGCGGGATATCCTGTCTGACAGCGCACTGTCTGCTACAGAGGGCAGAGCCGAAGCGTCTATATGGGGGGAAAAAGTTATTATCTAATTAGCAAACATATGAACTTCTGGCCACAAAGGGGCTATTAAATCTGTAGTGTTCCTTCTTCTCCCTCTTGTAAGGAACATATTTTAAATAAAAAAAACCAAATTATTGCAATATGTCATCACAAAGCTTTCAAAGGCTTGTTAACATGTTATTAGGCTACCAGATGTGTACCAATGGACTTCATCAGGGCTTGCCTTTGTACATCAATACACATTTGGCCTATGATCACAAAGTTTCCACAACCCATCCTGGAACACGCAGGCCCTTTTATTCCAATCAACCACTAATGCGCGCTCCAGGAAATCACAGATTTACTTGTAGATTTTCCTACTGGCCGCATACTGGCAAAAGGAGATGACACATGTCATACTTTGAGTCCTCCTCCGAGCCAGTTGACCAAATCAGTCCCAAATGGTTAAAGGGCCTCATGTGGACATGACATTTGGAGTCTCTCCTGATGAAGAAGCAAAGCAAAGCAAACTAATACAGTCTTGTGTCTCTGTAGACGTTTGCCCCGAAGCTGGTGATACTGGACTTCAGCAACATGGATAGCATGGAGGACGTGGTGGCGGAGGTAGTTGAGTGTTATGGCTGTGTGGATGTGTTGATCTTCAACAGCAGCATGAAACTTCGGTCCCCGGCACAAAGTGTTTCCCTGAATCTGGACAGAAACGTCATGGACGTTAACTACTTCGGCCCCAGCACCCTGGCCAAAGGTGGGCTATACAACCACTACCATTTCCCTCATGCCCATCGCTTTTATCTAAATACCAATATGTCCGTCAATGTGGCAGGTGTTCTTCCGGCAATGATCTCAAGACGATCAGGCCACATCGTTCTAATCAACAGCATCCAGGGGAGATTGGCTTTCCCATTCAGAAGTTCATGTGAGTCGCCAATAAAAGTATACGAGTTGTTTTCATTCCCAGTAATCAGAAAATAATGTACTTGCAATCTCTCCTCTAATGCTGGCTAGCCAGCAGACGAAGCGTCATGGTCCTGTTTTTGTAGAAGGTGATTCATAGAGGTGCTGACGGGATGGTCGTTTTGGAGGAAGTGGTTTGTGATGCGTTTGAACTGTGTTGTGCTGTAACTGACAGGTGTTTATATTGTTCTGTCCGCTCAATACACATCGATGAAACAACTCTCTGAACCGAGCATTAGACGTGCAGCGCAGCGGATGTCTTTCTCCGGCCCGGGTCCTGTGTAATGTGTGCAACGAGATTTCTTTACAACCGTGTCACCTCTTCTGTGTGTGTGTGTGACAACACCTGAAGATGCTGCATCGAAGCATGCGGCGCAGGCCTTCTTTGACTGCCTCCGGGCCGAGGTGGAGCAGTATGGGATAGTTGTCAGCACCATCAGTCATACCTTCATCAACGCCAGCGATCCGCTGCCTGTGGATGGGCCGGCGCTTAAACCAAACCGACTTACTGCATGTGAGTAGAAGAACCAGTATGTAAGGGACTGACCGGTGGTAATAAAGAATCATCCCGTAGATCCTCCCGGTTCTAGGGAATAGATGGGCAACGTCAAACTGTTTTTGCAGTATGTAGACAAATAGGTAAATGTGTGTTTTCTTCCGCAGTTTTCACCAAGCAGTTGACACATGGTGTGCGTCCGTCAGTCCTGGCCAATGAGATCATGCAAACGGTGAACAGAAAGAGGAAGGAGGTCGTGCTGGCCCACCCTTTCCCAAGGATGGCCCTCTACTTCCGCTCCCTCCTCCCCTCCTTCCTCTTTGCTGTGCTGGCTGCTGGAGTTAAGGATTCTGTCCTGGATGAGTAAACACCGTTGGAGAAAAAGAGATGTTAAGATTATTTGGATTTGGTTGTTATGTAATCATATGTGCTTGGCACAAGTCTGGGTTACCAATTGGCAAAGCAGGCAACTGCTCCTTGAAGTAAATAAATAAAGAATTGTACACTATCAATCAGAATCAGAATTTTGTTGTGTTTAAAAATGAAGAAACTCCAGATGAAGAGATCATCTTGGATTGAAAAGTTATAATCAAAAGTATTATATAAAGAAATAGGCGTTGTGGAGAATCTGCCAGTTCCTCCAATCCACAGACCACTGGGTAGCTCCTACACATACATGCACAGATGAGGAACAGCTGTGGGAGGCAGCGTCCACGACCCTGGGCCTGTGGCCTGTCCTGATGCGTTCAATGTAACTAGTTGTATTTACCTTTATTAAGATCTGTTTACGGATTCATGAAATATGTGCTGCAGTGCTTCTTTAAGGTACTTTACTGATGACGTCATAGCCAATATTCGTCAGTCGAGGTTAATCAGAGCAACACAGTTTCTTGACCGTTGTGCCAAACACTGTTTCTTGTAACCAAGTTTGTTGACTAAATCTTTTGAAACGCAGTTGCTGTCTATGAAGATTCATTACGCGTGAATATTAGTGGAACTTGGACAGTAACTATCTCTTGAAAATTGGTGCACGCTGAAAGACATTGTTGGACATTGGCTTTCAAAGAAAAAAACAAAAACTGAAGCAAATGCAGTTATTGCAGTGCAATGGATGCTTCTGACCACGAGTGGGCGCCAAAGCCCACTGAAAGAGTTCTGGAAGACCGGATCAGTCGGCTTATCGCAGCTAGAAGAGGGAAACTATCTCAACTTTCAGTGATGATGAAAACTATTGAAAAACTGAATTGATGGCACAGATGTGAAGAAAGGGGATGCTTAATAAAGTGTTCAAGGCAAGGCAATTTTATTTGTATAGTACATTTCAACAACAAGCAATTCAAAGTGCTTCACATGAAACCATTAAAAACATCCAAAAGTAAGGAAAGGTGATTTAGAAACAGTTAAGAACATTGATTCAAATGTTGCTGTGTAGTTTGAGAATTTCTTTAAGAATTACGAAATGCAGAAACGGTCAATTAAAGGCAGCAACAAACAGTCAAGTCTTTAATCTGGATTTAAATGAGCTGAGGGACTTAACAGGCCTGCTGCTTTCTGGGACCTTGTTCCAGATATTCTCCATGTTTAGTTCTGACTCTGGGAACAGGAAGTAGACCAGTCCCAGACGACCTAAGAGTTTGTGGCGGTTCATAAGGTATCAGCAGATCAGAAATGTACTTTGGGCCTAAACAATTAAGTGGTTATGGCGTTCCACCAAATTAGAAGCATCTAAGCTAGTTTGGCTTTGTTCGAGGGCTTCCAGTCAGGATTTTGAGTGCACAGAAACATTTGAACATTTGATTGGTATTAACGGAACTTTAATTTTTTTTTATCAGGCTGCTCTTGTAAATCTCTTAAGCCTCTCCAGTTGATTCAGAATGCTGCAGCACGTGTATTAACAAGAACTAAGAAAAGGGATCATATCACTCCTGTATTAACTTCTCTGCACCGGCTCCCTGTTAAATCAAGAATAGATTTTAAGGTACTTCTCCTCACCTACAAGACACTTGCTGGTGAGGCACCGTTGTATCTTCAAGAGCTTGTAACACCTTATTGCCCTACAAGGCAACTGCGCTCCATAGATGCTGGTTACTTGTTGTTCCTATGGTTTTAAAAAGTAGGCTGGGGGCCAGAGCCTTCAGTTATCAAGCTCCTCTTTATTGTTAAGCACATTTACTATTACCGTCATCATAAACCAACATTAGCCTCCCCGCAGGCTCCTGTGGATGGTGGTTCTATGTGATGGTGGTTCTATGTGATGGTGGTTCTATGTGATGGTGGTTCTATGTGACGGTGGTTCTATGTGACGGTGGTTCTATGTGACGGTGGTTCTATGTGACGGTGGTTCTATGTGATGGTGGTTCTATCTGATGGTGGTTCTATGTGATGGTGGTTCTATGTGATGGTGGTTCTATGTGATGGTGGTTCTATCTGATGGTGGTTCTATGTGATGACGGTGGTTCTATGTGACGGTGGTTCTATGTGACGGTGGTTCTATGTGATGGTGGTTCTATCTGATGGTGGTTCTATGTGATGGTGGTTCTATGTGATGGTGGTGGTCCCTGCAGTGGTCCTGCTGTGCGTCTGGTTTACTACTCACAGTTACTTGAATCATTTCTGTCATATAGTCTCATGTATTTTACATTGTTCATTCTGTCTACATGACATCATTGTAGTCGTCCGATCAGGAGACGGATCCTCCTCTGACGTTCTCACTAAGGTTTCCTCCCTTTTTTTCCCATGGAACATTTTTTTGGGGGGAGTTTTTCCTGTGCCGATGTGAGGGTTTCGGGACAGAGGATGTCGTGTCGCATGTGTACAGACTGTAAAGCACTAAAGTATAGGAAAATATATTTAATTTAATTGAATTGAAATCATAGGAAAAGGGGCAGAAGACCGGAAGCTAAAATAAGGAGACAGGGAGGACATTTGATGGGCATTGTTAAGTTTCAAATCACAGCAGAGCTATTATTAAGAGAGTGTCAGAACCATGGGCTCAGTAAGCGGATTAAAGGATACTGAAAAAAAAATCTTGTTTGGTTAGGGAAATGGAAAGAGAGGGGGTGAGAGAGTTTCACATTTTGGATTCATTGTATAATATACCGATATAAAAACATGAAGAACCTGAATTCATTCATTCCCCCCACTACTATAAGGAACAAATCACGTCCCCTACACTTATATTCATAATAATGTCCTGTTTTATTGTAGTAATTGTAGCCTGAGGACCGAACCACCGAGCAGATGATCATCTCCAATAAATGCAGAATTTGCTCAAATATGGGTCAAGTATGTCAAAGGACTAATATGATCTTGGAAAATTTACAAACACATCCTTGTAGTTCTCTCCATGACAGCAATGTCAAAGATTGCAATCGCAGGACGAGCACGACTCGGGAAAAGATTTCAAAGCCCAGATGGGTTTCATACTTCAGGCATGTTGAAAGAAAGGAAAGGTTCGGTACACAGAAACAGAACGTTGCAGGCTTTGATCAAACACTAACAGGACAAGTGCTGTGAACACAAAAGGTACGACACTACAGCAGCGAGCCGCCAGGGGGGAGGAGTCAACGAGACACAGGTGGACACAGGTGGACACAGGTGGACACAATCAGGGAAGCAGCCGAAAAGACATGAGGGCAGGAAGTCAAGACGCCTGAAACAAGAGGGGGACATGGGGATTGTTAAAGTAAAGATGAATAAGTGCTTTATTTCAAGCACTAACAAGCAGCTTTTTAAAAAAGGTGTACAGATTCAGACTGTGTTGTCATTGCACTGAATACAGTTACTGAGGCAACGAAATGCAGTCCAGCATCTGACCAGAGGGGCAAAAAAGCAATACATTAAAAAAAGAAGTGCAATGCAGATATAATATACAGGGGATTAAAGGTTAAAGGTGCAAATCTATATCTAGACATTAAGGTGCACGCGAGATTGGGGGTGGGGGGTGCGGGTGAGGTTGGCGGTGATGGAGAGGGGGTAGTTGGGGCAGAGTTGACCGGATGGAATTATTCCCAGAGTGCTTTATTACGTCTTTGTATTTAATCCTTTTCAGAGGGCATCTCTGTTCAAACCCTGGATAACAGATTTATCTGGGATAACATTACAAAGTCATTACAAAGTCTCTCTCCTGTCAGAGACCGAGGGGAGCAGTAATCTGTCTCTTTTTACAACCGGGATATTAAACAATGCTAACAGATGTGTGTAGAAGTCTTCTGAAATGAGGACAGGCTCTCCAGTAGGTCTAATCTGTCTCGCTGTCCGTCATGCAAACGCACACACACACACACACACACACACACACACACAGATAAGTGCATCTATGTGTGTGTTGCACATGGGTTTCTGTGATATGTTTTAATGACAGAAGACTGCAGGAAACCGACGCCTCTCCTTGTAAAAGCCCACACAATAAGTTGTCCATGTTTCAGCAGACGGCACACGGGTCAATACCATAAACACATCGAGGACGGGAGAGATGATCTTTGCAATTACAATTCCTTACTATTCAATTATGAGCCATAGAGAAGCACTTCTGTGGATAGAGAGAGGAATACAACTGCAGGCTCGTTCCGAACAAACTGTAAATTGGTCCGTCCTTCCTCCCAAAAGGCCTTCATCCCTCCAATTGTGGTAATCTTTCGATTTAAAAGGGATTAGAGGGTGTGGTTCAGCTGATTAACCCAACTCTGGTGCACTGGAGATGTAACCAAGCTGAGGGAGTTGACACCAGCAGCAGGGCATTAGGGTAGATTAGGGTCGGCCCGTCTAATTTCCACACCCAGGGAAATGCTCTGTAAAGCGGTTGTGATTCTCTTGGAAAAGTTGATGCACAGGATCACCGGATTCTACTGTCAAACACTTCTGTCATGCCTCAGAATGCTTTACAATCTGCGCCTGTGGGACACATGAGTGCAATAAATGTCACGTGTACACAATGAGTATAAGCATCAGAAACTAGATATGCACATTTGTAGTATACACGATTAAAGGAACCCATTGGCTATTGGTGTATTGATGGATTGTTGCAGGTTTACTGGTTATTTTTAAACCACTGAAAATGCTTTTTATCTCACTTTAATTCAATACACTTTATTTTGGATATTCCAAAATAAAAATTTGCTTCAGAATGCTTTGAAATCAGTACATGTTGGACATGTGAGTGCCATAAATGTCATGTGTACACAATCAGAGTTACGGATCAATACCATTTGTGCCAAGTATCAAGGATTTGTTCTTGTCGGGTGACGCAAACAATAAACCTAAATAGACAAACATGTACACAGGTGAAAAAAAGCAAGAACAGTCTTCAAATTGTAATTAAATCCATCCATCCATCCATCCATCCATTGTCAAACCGCTTATCCTGCACACAGGGTCGCGGGCTGGAGTCCATCCCAGCCAACTTCGGGCGAGAGACAGGGTACATCCTGGACTACACAGAGACACACAACCATTCACACTCACACATCTACGGGCAATTTAAAGTCCCCAATGAACCTGATCCCCAGAACATGTCTTTGGACTGTGGGAGGAAGCCAGAGAACCCGGAGAGAACCCACGCAGACACGGGGAGAACATGCAGACTCCACACAGAAAGGCCACTGGGCGGAATCGAACCCAGGACCTTGTTGGTCTGAGGCGACAGTGCTAACCACCACGCCACCGTGCCGCCCTAATTAATTAAATGCATTATTCAAAGTGTCCGGTGTATTAAATAATATTAAATAAATGAATAATAAATTAAGAGCAGAGAGGAGGTGCAACAATTGTTCTTGGACTGCAGGATGAGGGAGGCGGAGTCAGTAGGGCTTTATTAATGAGTTTATTAATGAGCACTGACAGGAAGAAGCTGTTTTTGTGGCCCAGATGAAAGGGGCTCACTGTCTATGTCCAGGGTGAGAGGGATCAGCTACGGTTTATTGGATTTTATTGTGTTTGTTTGTGTGCAGTTCATAAAGCAGTTGGAGTTTTTAAATGACGCTTTAGACTGTTGGCACTTTACAACCATTACTTTTTTAATTGGCTTTACTGACTCATTACCAGCATTAGCAGTGTCAAGTGGTACTACCTAAATTGTCACTGTATTTGCAATGAAAGCATTTAAATATCTAAGAAATGACAGATATTTAAACAAAATATACAATGTACCTTTAGATGTATCATATTGACAATCTTTATATTATATTTAATATATTCTGTTTTGATTTAACCTCGTTTGCAATTTTTTTTTTTACTATTTAATACATTTCTACCAATTAACTGAGCCAGATGAAATCATCAAATCATTACAGTTTGCTTATTTTTAAAATGTGTTTACTATTGAGAAAGCGACGGACAGGCTGACTAACTGAATGAGCCTGCAGTAAATCACATTCATTTCTTACACACTTACCATAATGCCTTTCCCACGTCCGTAAAACAAGGGGGCAGGCCTCCCCCATTCCAAAAACACAACATTCAATATAATGCCCACTTCTATTGACAGGATGCTATGCTATGCTATCTAAAGATCGGATATTTATGTCTCTATTACAACAGACAAAAAACACAGTCTTCTGTCATGTTGTTGACATGGATGGTGATGCCTTTAGTTTATTGCAGGACTGTTTGCACGGCACGGGTCACATCTGCTGTGGGATGATGACAAGGGGAAAGCCAAATGGAACATGAGGTAAGTACTTACTTGTGTACGTGAGTGAATGCGTGTGTGCACGTAAGTGCGCGCGCTCATGCACATGCGGATGAACGGTAGGACTAATGAGTCTCCTGTGAGCTATTATCTGTACTTTAGCTCAGCACTCTGCCATGATAAAAGCCAACATCCCAGTCCCTAACAGGAGTCCACACCACAACACACCTCTGCCAATTCCAGCGATAACGCACCCACTATGAAGTGCAAACCTCGTCTTGGTTCTTTAATAACATGTGTCACTGGATTCATTTTTTTGGTGGAAATCTTAAATGGACTTGGAATCACTACGGTGTTTGTATGATTCTCAGATTGTGAGCCATTTCTGTATGAAGTGGGTTCACACAGACTTTTCAGTAGACTATGCGCACCGGCACTACAGTCTAATTCTGTCTGACTGCTAAGCTAATTATGAGATTGGTTTTAGGGTGCAGAGCGTCAGCTTAGAGTGTTGTGAACTACGTCCAAGACGACCAAGATCCAACCCTTGATCCACAAACCAAAGCGTTTCTATGTGTCTCTACGACTTGCCTACCTATCGTATCGCATCCACATGTACACAATGTGGCTCAAAGCTTTGTAAGATACAACACAACGTGTAACAAGATGTACATTAAAATAGAAATAAATGATCACACTCACTGTGTGTGTGAGAGAGAGACAGAGAGAGAGAGAGAGTGTAATCCCTTGGAGTGGATGAAGATAATTCCAGGGTGGATATGGCTTTATAGAGTTGGATGTCATGCGTTAAACACCGACTGGAGCTCAGCGGAGCGCGATGGACGCGAGCTAGGTCGATGGTAGAATGGCCCCTTTATCCCACATGGGTCTCTGAGGGATGGCAACGTTCCACCAGCAGCATCAGCAGCAGTTGCGCGCGGAGCTGCGGCAGCTCCTCCATCGGCTCACAGTCGCGTCCTCTCTGAGCCTCCTGTGCTTCTCCTTGGTTTACCTGCTCGCCGGATGCGGCGAGTCACAGCTGGCAGAAAACACTGACATCAAGGCGCCCGCGCGCGAGTTTCTGGGGTCGGGGTCAGGATGGCCGCACGAGAGGAACGGGACAAGCCTTGTCGAGGACGCTGCCAGTCCCGGGCTGGAGGCGAACAGCTCAGGGAGGGACCTGACCGCCACCAGAAGGCTGCCGCAGGCTCTGATCATCGGGGTTAAAAAGGGAGGCACCCGGGCTCTACTGGAGTTTCTGCGGCTCCACCCGGACATCCGAGCCGTGGGTTCGGAGCCGCACTTCTTCGACCGGCATTACGCACGGGGGCTGGACTGGTACAGGTAAGCACACCACGCCTGTTCAATATGAACATCCCAGAGACGTCCACGTCCATTTGTTTTCCATCCATTAAAATGTATATTTTAAAGCAACGCTTAAAATCTCACTGACTTTTTTCTGATTGTCACTTCATTTGGTTCCTGCTCTCTGTGTGTTGGATGAATGTTTAAACTTACTTACCCAGACATATTCACCAAGTTATAGGTGACAGTCAACGGGATACAACCGTCTGTTGGGGGGATTCTCACAGTAACAGTAATCATCTCTGCGGGGGTCGAGCCAGATGTTAATGGGATCATGTGACTTTGTTCTGAGGCAATTCTACCTGGAAGGTCTCTAAATACATGTGATGCATCCACGATTGAGATACAAGGAGATCGAATTCAAGTTGCTCATTACCCCTCCAGTTTAACTTAAAGGGGAAAATGCACAACGCTAAATTAAAAAGGAATGGGCGGACTGTTATGCTATGGTTTAATGTAACAGAAATTAACCAGATCCATAAACTGCACATGGAGCAAAAAAAACAAACAGAGCGCACGTGTCTGTTCAACAGCCGCATGCATGCAAAGCAGTTTTTTGTGCGAGCCGGCAGCATTGCACCGAAACATGAAACTGAAAGGGAGAAAAATAAGTCTGGAGGAAGGTGCCTCAAAACATTTAAAAATAAGACTTATTTGGGAAACCAGTGGTTTCCACATGTGGTTCTGTGGCGGGTCTGACCGCAGCTCCGGGGCAACGTTCCCCCAGTCCATATGTGAAACTCAAATATGGTGTGAAGATACAAGAAAACAGAAGAGTTTGACCAGCAAAAACCAATTGTGTATGGATTAACTGTAAAGCTGTGCAGTGTATTTTGAGGAAGCAAAGTAGTTAATGCATCATAGACAAAAGTTGAAGCAAGAATTTGTCTTTAATAGGGTTTACAAATGGGTGGGTTTACTGACATTCTGAATCTCAAGCTGAGAACCAAAAAGAAAAGGAAAAGGGAACGGGGGATAGGGCTGCACAAAAGAACCACACGTCAGTAAATGTCCTTGCAAACAATATAAAAGGTTACGTCAACGTATGGAGGAAGCTGTTCAACCTGAAACACTGTCCCCTACTTAAAAGATCTGCTATCTTTCTACGTGCATCTGTTAGTCTACCAGCTGGTAGCAATTCTAGCAGTATGGCAAGGAGTGGAAGGGGTAGAATAACGGTATAAAGCTTTGAGGGGGTTGGAGCGGAGTGTTAACAGCACTCCAATGCATAAGATGGTTGATCCAGAGGGTCATATGTAAATCGTTCTGTTAGCTCCAGTTGTAAATAGTCAATAGAGGCCTACCCAAAAGCACTAGTGGTCATGCATCCCAATGTTTAAACACACTGTACTAAAGAGACTCGTTGAGTTATATACTTAGCTAGAGTTCCTTTCTATACCACATGGCCATTATATAACACTCATTCAACAGAACAGGTTCATTAATTTACTAAATTAAGCTCACATCCACACTGCACCCGGCTGCTAGAATTAGAGAGTCCTTCTATTCTATTTACAGAGACTTCTCACAAATGTACGGAAAACGTCTGCAAACACCATAAATAACATTTCACTTTTAAACTCTAACACGCAGACTCAATTTCAGGCATATTTACAGACTTGGGTCAACAGGCACCTTGGGCATACACTTCACTGCAGGGATTTATCCTTCCTCCATGCCTGTGTAGAGGTACGAGGCGTGATGTACGGGTGAGGGCGGTTTAAATATTCTAATGTTGCCAAACGCCACCCTGGGAATTATCTTATATCTTCTCAACCCAACAAAAAAAATGCAAGGCACTCTGGTTCGTCGCAAATGAGGCAGACACAATTTAAAGTAAAAGATGTAATTTTATTAAATTCAATTTACTGTTTAAAAACACAAAAAAACCCTCACCACTCTGGGACGAGCAACGGGGGAACCAATCAGGGCTGGACGGTCCAAAGAAGCAGAGCCAAGGAGAACCACACGTGAAACAACTAAAAGTGAAGCAAACTCAAACGTGCAAAAACGTAACATAAGAGGGACACCACCACCTGGGACACCAATCCACCACCGCAGACTCAGCACCTGAAGGGGGGGAGATGAGGGCAACAGGTTTAAAATAAAAGAAACTAAACCAAAACTAACACAGAAAGAAAAGCTATAGAATTAAATTGAAACTATAATAACACTGACAAACGGCTTAACCAAAGCGAAATCACAAAATAAGAAAATTACAATTGACAAATACTAAGTACGTCCTGTCTCTCGCACAGTTGAAATATGTCTTGACCCAGTTAGGAGGCCCACAGCAAAGCACGCAAAAAGGATCAATGTGGGGAGGCCAAAGACAAAGCAGACCCAGACACGGTGACCTTCGCCAAAGGCAGAGCAGCAGTGGTCTCTGGCCGGTTAGCTGGTGTAGTGCTGCTGCTCAATGATCCACTTCAGACAATCAGCGTGGGTCGGAGGGATCGACGCTACCACGAGGACTACCAGCGGCGGACATTGAGTGCATCAGGTGGAGATCAGTACGCAGCCACACCAGTGAGCTTCTGGGACACAAAGAGCACTTAAATGAGCACTGGACGGACCACGTGGGAGCGAATACAGCTGCTGCCGACAGCCCACCTGTCACCACACGGCGCAGCGTGAGAGACCCCGTAGGTGTCGTAACCGCAGCCTCTGGCAAGTGAAATGCAGACAGGTGCTCTGAGGCTGCCGTTATACTGCATTGTCATGCAGCGACTGGCTGTGATCCAGACCGTTATTAGGACCAATCGCTGCATACTGCCACACTAGCAATACTACTATAAAGCCCAAACACAATGCAGCCTCTAGTGGCCTTTGTTTGAAATTGTTGTAGTGACTTAATGTGCATTGATATTTAGTACTTAAGGACATCTTATTCATACTATTCAGTATATTGATTGGGGGGGAAGCTGGGAAATCAGTGTGTTGAAGAAGCCTGCGTGTATTTCTGGATTTCCAATTTCTAGTGGAATTTTGCTCTTCTGTCCTTCTGAGCGGAAAACCTCTCAATGACATTCGTATTGAAGTCAGGAATGTCCCCGACACTTTGTTTCTCCATGGAGAACGTAGCCAGAGCATTCAGGCCATCCTGTGTCATGGTGTTTCTCAGGAAGGTTTTGATCCTCTTCAGAGTAGAGAAACGTCTCTCGGATCCAGATGTTGTCGTGGGTGTGGTGATGAGGAACCTGAGAAGACTGACAGTCTCTGTGAAGGTGCTCTGAAGGTTGTTATTCATAACAAACTGGTACAAAGAAACTGCATTACTGCAAGCCTTGAACTCACTGTTCTCATAGATGAGGGACAGCTGTGTTTTGAGCTTGGCTCCACATTGGATACACCTCCACTGTTGTTTCACACTCCTTACACACAAACTAACTTGAGCGGCCGTTTAATAAAATGTATTCGCGCTGTGGCAGCAGGACGGCGGTGATGACGAGCGGAGCATCTTAACGCTGATTGGCTTTCGCTAGACAGCGTTGATTTATTCGCTTCGCTCGTTTCACTTTTTTGCGTCTTTCGCGTCATTCGCCCGTTTAAAATTCGCCTCATTCGCGACCAGACGCGTCTGTGCATTGACTTTACATGGAATCTACCTTGCGTGAATAATTCGCTTCGCTTTTGGTGTGAACAAATCATAAGCCTATAGCAGCTTAACTGAGGGCTAGGGAAAGTTTTAAGCTTTATCTTAAAAGAGCTGACCGAATCTGCCCCCCCGGACTGAAAGTGGAACCTGGTTCCACAAAAGAGGAGCTTGATAACTGAAGGCTCTGGCTCCCAGCCTGCTTTTTAAAACCCTAGGAACAACAAGTAACCCAGCATCTACTCACATAGTATAGGCCTGTGTGTGATTGTGAAAAGTGTGTATAACTACATCACAACATATCTCTGTAGCCAGCCTCTGTTGTTCTCCTGGTCCCAGCATCCGTTGCTTTTGTGCTGGTGCTGCTGGTCAGATTCCCTGTCCCGACATGGATGGAGGCTCTGGTCCAAAAAATTAAGTTTTGGTTGCTAACTTGAAATCTTCAAAACAAGTAATTTGGTTGACACCAGAACAAGCCTGTTATTACAAATTATTTTCAATAACTATCTGCATTATTATAGAAATCTGAGCGTAAAATATTTCAGTAAATACGTTATCATACTGAGGCCTATTTGGGCTTCTGCAGACTACTGCAAGTGAGCAACAGCAACAACAGCTTTGTCAGCTGGTAATAAGTATAGTTATTTACCTGATGATCTGAATGCTCTCTGTTAACGTCTGCATGGACAAGTCCTTTAATAAAGTCAGGGTGGATGTTTCTCTTCTGCAGCTGGTTGAATAGCATGTTCTTAGAATCCCGTTCAGTAAAATGAACGAATCTTTTTTAGAGTCATTCGTTCATGTCGGTCATGTGTGAACGGATCTTTCTTCAAGTCATTTGTTGACGGAGGGGGGGGGGGGTGGGGGGTGAACGAACTCTCGAGTCCTTGTGAGGATTTGTTCAAAAAGAACGAATCGTTCATGAACGACACATCACTAATCTGTGGCTGTTTTACAGTCAGAGAAGTCAGCGTGGATATTGAAATTGAAAAAATGGATGGAGGGTGAGAAGGAGCAGAGCACCAGACATAGTAGTTTGGTTTAGTGCAGGGGTGGGCAAACTTTTTTTTTTCAACAGAATCGACGAGTGTACTCGGAGAACCTACGGCAGAATTCTTAATGCAGGTCCCCAAGTGATTTGCTGTATTTTTTTGTTTCGTAGTGCCGTTTCACATTCAGCTCATTCATGTGTGAAAATATGTCCACAGCAAATGCAAAGTCTCTAAGCCCCTTAGCTCAGGGAATTCTTCAGATTTTAGTAACCCTTTCCCCAAACTTAACCAGCGGACACAAAAGTGGTACAGCAAGTCCTGGTGATCGCCATCAGTTTCCTCCAGGAACGTAATAAACTGACAGTGCTGAAGTTCCCTTGCTCTTATGAAGTTCACACGTTTTACAACTGGATTCACGACATGATTAAGCTGCAATACAGACTTCTGTTGGATGATGCAGTGAAGGAAAATAAGATCCTGGTCAGGGTTTTCCTCTTTCACTTTTCAGCAGCCCAACATTTTTTCCAGATTTTTCCACATTGACAAGTTTACTCCACGGTAACTTCATTCTTTTGACGACAGCAGACACCTGGTCCTCTCCCTGCGTTGTTCCTTTCAGGGACTCCATAGTCAAAAAATCTTCTGTTACCACAAAACTGTCGTCAATGCCTCGGATAAAAATGAGGAGCTGAGCAGTGTCTTTAACGTCCGAACTTTCATCCAGTGCTAGTGAGTATAACTCAAAGGAATCTGACTTTTTGTATGATTGGCTGACAATATTTTCATCAATTCCACACGGCGAGTAAAAGTCCTGCGGGATAAACTGACTTTTACTTTTGTTCTCCCGACGCATCATGTTGGCTGTCCTGTTTCTGCGTGGAATGGATGCTAGCGTAGTCAGCATGCTTCGTAGCAAAGTGACGACTGATGTTGTACTCCTAGAAAACAGTTTCCCCCAGCTAACCATCAACAAACTTAGGGTGTCAGGCTAACAAACGTGATGTTCCCAATGCTGTTTGTGTCAGGGAGTTGCGTGGGTAAAAAGGCAGGGAAGGTAGGACTCAAACGCAGCGTTTCTTGGGAAACAAAAAACTCCAAAAAGGCACGAACGAGGTCAGGGAACAGGAGACAGAAACATGGGCTTCTGACGAGTAACAGCTAACAATGACGCGACAAGTGACAACAGACACACGTGGCTTAAATACACAAGGAGGTGCAGGTGATTGGAAACAGCTGGAAACAATCATGACATGACAGACAATCACAGGGGACGACAGGACAAGGCAGGAAGTGACGTGACCCAGGGAGAACAGAGGCAAGAAACTACGAAATAAAACCAGACATGAACCCAAACCGTGACAGTTTGTCTGCTGCATAGCAACCGCCACACGTACAGGACTATTTTCTCTAAGCTACTGCAATACACAAACGGCTACAATACACAACTGGTGGCTATACCTATTTTGTGCTGTAAGGCAGTTATTTACTTACTGTTTCTAATGTCTCTGGCAGCCGTATTATAAAAGCAATAAGGTACTCAAGGCTGCACGTCGGGCGTAACACCCACGAATTGTAACATTATTGACCATAAAGTACAGCCTCTCGTACCTTACTGCTTTAATATGGATGAGACTCAAGAAACAAGGTTCAGCATCTAACCACCACCATCATGGTATGAATCTTCTGATTAAACTCTCATTCACCACGTGAAGTGTGAACTTTATTCCACAAGATACTTTAAAGCTCTATTATATATGAGGATGTTCGTCATTTCCTCCCAAAAATCTAGTTACACTGTTTAATTTTTCTATGGAGTAGCCCGCCCATTAGTTTTTCTCAAAACAAAATGTTCCAGTGTTTCCTCTACCAATATATTGGGGAGTGTATTCTATATACAGGGCTTTATTTTATTAAAATCTTTCTATATTTTTTTTATCTTAAATACTTTTTTCCTTTACTTTCAGAAGTATGATGCCCAAAGCCCTGGAGGGTCAGATTGTTATGGAGAAGACGCCTCGTTACTTTGTTACTTATGAAACGCCAGCACGAGTCCATGCCATGTCACAGGATGTAAAGCTGATTGTGGTCGTCCGTGATCCCGTGTCCAGAGCCATATCTGACTACACACAGATCATCTCCAAGACCCCCGACATCCCTCCCTTTGAGAGCTTGGCCTTCAAGAACTGCACCACAGGTATGGTGTTTAGATCAGTACAACACACATCATGAAAAAAGACAAACTTTGTTGTTGAGTCATAACATTGGGCTGGTACATTTTGTCTGTCAACTCAAACTCCAGTTTTGCATCTCTAGTTGCTATTTTGACTGTAAAAAAGACACATGGATGAATTCCACTGACTACACCATAATCTCCAAACAGCTCTAATAAACCTATGAGCAAAAGTAGTGGGAGCGGTTAGGCCACATACAGAATCTGTCAATGAGGGAAAAAGGGTAAATGTGCTTTTCCTTGGAAAAATGATGTTTAAATATATAACCACAGCAGATTATTTTTACATTTTAAAGGGTATCTGACGGGAAATGTTAACTCTTTTCATGTTATACTACGGTGGTTCCCGAATTGAGGGTTTGCAGTCATGAAAAACAAGAAAAAAAGTTCAAAAACGAAGAAATTTCCTTGACAAAATGTAGTAAAACTGTTGGAGAAAAAGTGGAAAAGTAAATTGATTGTCACGGTTTGGGTTCATGTCTGGCTTTATTTCGTAGTTTCTTGCCTCTGTTCTCCCTGGGTCATGTCACTTCCAGCCTTGTCCTGTCATCCCCTGTGATTGTCTGTCATTTCATGATTGTTTCCAGCTGTTTCCAATCACCTGCACCTCCCTAGCGTATTTAAGCCATGTGTGTCTGTTGTCACTTGTCGCGTCATTGTTAGTTGTCAGAAGCTCAAGCTCAAGCTCAAGCTCAAGCTCAAGTGTCATGTCTGCGAAGAACCACAAACCTTGGTTTATCTCTTTCTTGTCTCTAGGTCAGATCGACACTCTGTGGAGCCCACTCTGGATCGGCTTGTACGCCCAGCACCTGGAGCGCTGGCTGTCCTGGTTTCCTAAGACTCAAATCCATCTCGTCAGCGGGGAAAGGCTCATCTCTGACCCAGCAGGAGAACTGGGACAGGTCCAGGACTTTCTGGGTCTCGAGAAGATTGTCACAGACAAACACTTCTACTTCAATAAAACGAAAGGCTTCCCCTGCCTGAAGAAGCCAGAGGGCAGCAGTAAACCTCACTGCCTGGGGAAAACAAAGGGGAGGACTCATGCCTCCATTGACCCCGAGGCAATGCAGAGACTGAGGGTTTTCTATAAGCCGCATAACCAGCGATTCTATCAGATGGTGGGCAAAGACTTTGGATGGCAGTGATTCTCTAATTTTGCCGATTACGGAACTTGGTTATGAAGTCCAAATGAGTCAGTTAACCACTTCCAGCAGTGGAAATTTCAGGAATTTAGAAAAAAAAGTAGTAGCAGCAGTATCAATACCAGTGGTCCCCAAACTAATGCCCACCTCCACATTTGGCCCGGCCCACTGAACAATACCAGAGACTCATTAGGATTTTTTTCAGTCTGTCCACGCAAATCCTAGACTAGCCCCTGTCAAATAGAACGGAATAATGGAGAAAAGGTTAGGTAAGAGAACAATTTATTCAGAATGCAGGGTATTTAACCTGCAGTGGTCAAACGATTATTTTTTTTGTTCGATGCAAAGAAAAGACTGTTTGTCTCATGTGTCAAGAGGCGGTGGTGGTATTCAAATACAATCTGCGCCGACACTATGAATCCTGTCAAAAAGACGGTGATAACCAGAGAGGGTTATTTGGTTATTTTTTATTTCATTAATAGTGTTATTTACTTACTAACTTTTTTTCTGTGAAGATCCCGGAAAGGGTTATTAATATTTGGTTATGTGTGGCTTTCTGGAAAACAAATGTTTACATTTAGGCACCCCTGCGATTGTTACAAACAAAAAGTTATGTAGGACCCCTGATCAATACAATCACCTATATCCATTCATTAACCATTAATATGGTTCAATGGTTTGAAAGACAGCAGGGTCATTTTATTTATCATCGATGTTCAGCAAAATATGGACTTTAATGGTATCTCATTTGGTAGTCTACTTATTCCTCTGCCATGTGGTTTGATAACTGTGAAAAGTCACGAGTCAGTAGTTGCAATATGTTACAGCTGGATGCTGAATACACAGTTGAACTCAGTGTCTCCAGTTGGCAGTTTAATCCTGATACTCTAGTTAAGTCGTTCTCAACTGGTGGGTCCCGTTTTAAGTGAGTCGCTGGTCTGGGATGCGGGTCTGGGCATGCACGATTCATTTACAGTCTGGACGGGGCGGGGGGTGGGGGGGGGGTGTTGTTTGCTCTAACTGTAGCTGAGGAGGACTGCTGTGCTACGTGCATGTTTTGAGAGGGCGGGGAGGAGGGGGGCTCATGGCAGCATGCGCTGCTTGTCGAGAAAGTGAGAAGTTGTGATGGTGGGTCCCGCAGCTAGATCAGTTGAGAACCACTGCTCTAGTTAGTAGGCTGTATTTGCACAATAAACCCAGAATGGACCTCTACTTTCCCATACAAAAAACATTGTATTTCTACCTGTTGGTTCTTAACTCTCACTGCATAAGAATGTATGGGTAATTAATATATACGCATTAAGCACTGTCCCCAAAAAATAGAAGACAAATTTTTTGTGTCGAGAAGAAGGCGTACGAGAGACAATTCATATGAGCTTAGATATATTGCATTGTTTAATAATGAATGGATAAATGGATGTAGGTGAAATGGTGTGGATCACTTGCGTCCTAACCTATTCGAAATGTATTTGCAAACTTTTCCCCAGAGTGAAGTAAGCGGCCTAATGGAAAACCAAAACAAGACCACGTCAAATCAGAGGTAAACTTACTGTGATGAATAAAACTTTCAGGCTTGTTACTGTGTTACTGTAAGAAGTCCTTGGGGTACAGGGTTGCCGGGTTTCAGTTTGCATGCATTTGCACTAGTTTATAAGAATACAAAATTAAAAGATTTGAGAAAATGATTCAGTTCACACATGTTTTCTTCTTGTCATTGTTTGCCGATAAATAGTATTATAAGTTCATAAAGAGCATTGTTTGTGTAGGCGAGTGAAATTGAATGACACCGCATACAACACTATATTTATGGGTCTTTATTTTTCGACTACTCTTTGGAGAGAGCAGTGTTAAAGAAATTGATGTAACATTACATCAACGGACCAACCAAAACAACATGGGCACATTTAGCACCAAAGAATACATTTTCTGACTTATCCATACACAGTTTAATGTACAGAAATGTATTTACTTACGGAAAAAATTCTACCCATGCACAGGTCAATCACGTGAAAAGAAAAAAACTTAACTGCTCCCCTCTTCACATTACACTAGCTGTACAGTGCCCTCTAGTGGCTTTAGTGGTGAACATAATTTTCCCACTGGGAAACATTTGGTTTTATGTTCAATGTGTGCAAAGACAACATGAGTGCAATTGCTTTGCAAATGTGCGTATAATAAAGCTGATGAAATAGATTCATTTTTGAGGTCGTCGTGGCGCAGGGGGTAGAGCGGGTGTGCTGGGGTGCTGGGAACCGCAAGGTTGGCGATTCGTGTCCCGACTGCCCCATGTCTCAAGTTGAAGTGTCCCTGAGCAAGACCCCTAATTGCTTGTGAAGAGCCATGGGTTTAAAGTGTAATGTAAGTCGCTTTGGATAAAAGCGTCTGCTAAATGAACTGTAATGTAAAGAACAAATATACTATTGCAGTTACCATCTCTAAAACAAGACTGCGAAATACGGCAAGGTTAAAAAGATTAAATCAGAACTGAAGGAAAGGTTCTGGGTTAACAGGAGAAATACATTCTGTTTAAGAAATGTCACCACCTTGTAGACACTAGAGAGAGGGTTCCAGATTCCCATAGGAAAAAAATGATGATAAAATAAACGCCTCGTCCACGTTCCTGACTAGGTGGGGGAGCACCAGGCCAGTGTTGATGTCATCCAACCAGACCCTCGGTCAGGAAAGGAGCTCCCTGCACGCAAACCGACGAATGCAGGCTTCAGAATCACAAGCAATCAAAGGCATGGTTGACAGTCTGAGAAAGGGATTATAACGGACCACATGGAAGGAGGCATAGCTGACAGTAATTTCATCAACCTAGTACCTCAAGAAAGTACAAATATGACTTTCATGATGTTTCCATGATTTTTTTCAACCCGACTTATTCATATAAAATGTTCAGAGAAGATGGCTATATTGGAGAACATGGAGTAAGTTATGATTGACAGTGTTTTCATCAGCATAGCACATCAGGAAAGTACCACTATCAGATTCATGATTTTATCATTTGAATAGTTTTACATGATTGGTTCAAATCAAAATGTTCACCTTTTCATCACTTTTAATGCTTTTGCAGACTGAGAGAAGGCTCAGAACAGAAAGCATTGCAGAACAAATTTGTTCACAGTGTTTTCATCAACCAATAACCTCAGTAATGGACGATTGTAAGTTTCATGATGGTATAGTGATTTCTGAATAGTTTTACAACATGACTTGTTCAAACTAAGATTTTAGCTTATCATTACTTTAAGGGTAGTACAGAGTCTTTCCAAATTGAATATCTGCCAGGCATAATAGGTATTCATAGTTTTTTGTCATGGTTCTACCTTAATGTAATCAAAAAGTGATAAAAAAAAGTAAAGTAAAAGTTTTTTTCTTTGACTTTTGCTGGTAATGTAGCTCAGTGGTAGAGTGCATTCATTGCATGTATGAGGTCCTGGGTTCAATCCCCAGCATCTCCATTAGATATTATGCTCAAATGTAAAAGGTGTTTCCGGTAAGTTGGGGTGAAATCTAATGTTGAGAGGAGCCATCAAGATATCGTCCAACAAGGGAAATAACACCCAAAGTATAATTTACCAAGTAAAAACCACAATTTTACTTTATTAGAATTTGGCGCCGGTGTTACACCCTTGCTGGTTTTTACACCTACTGGTTTTCCTACGCGTGCGTGTTTGTGTTTACTCCACAGCAGCAGATGTGTCCGCCTCAGTTCCCTGATTTGTCACACATTCACAAACACTTTGCTGAAAATCTTCAAAACGCATCACAAATCAATTGCAGAGTTTACGATTGTATAAGTGAGCACCACATGACAGCCACGTATGAAAACATTTATATAAAAAAATATATTAAAGGAAAGATCGGCACAACTTGGATTCGAACCCAGTGGGTCAAAACATCAAAACATCAACCTGGTGGCTGCTCTAAGCAGTGCACCACAGAGACTCACATAAATATGCTCACCCTTTGTATAATTTATCCATTCCGTTGACGTAGATCAGCATGCAGGAAACCTTTTGGTGGATCTAAAAACAACTGGTTACCTTGGGCGCGTCTTGGAACACTTCAGGACATGTGCAACGCTACTTCTTCACGAGGCTGCAGCCTTGCATCGACACATTAGGATAAAAAAAGGGATATTGTGTTCTTACGGCCATAGCGTGACGTACACCACAGACACGAACAAAACACAGTTAAGAAAATATATTAAAAGATCGAACCGACTAGGTTGCAAACCCATGGAGCAAAGTGATAACCCCTCGTACTTCTGCTCTCTCTGTGCGCTGCGCCACGGA